TGAATGACACACTGGACCAGATGGACTTCACAGATATATTCAGAACATTCTATCCTAAAGCCACAGAACACATGTTCTTCTCTAATGCACATGGAACATTCTCCCGAATAGAGCATATACTGGGCCACAAATCATGTTTTAACCAGTACAAAAAAGATGGAGATCATTTCTTCCATATTTTAGGACTATAGTGCTTTGAAACTGGAACTCAATCACAAGAGAAAAGTTGGAAAGAACTCGGATACGTGGAGGCTAAGGAGAATCCTACTAAAGAATGAATGGGTCAACTAGGAAATTAAAGAAGAATTTTTAAAAATTCATGGAAACAAATGAAAATCAAAACACAACTGTTCAAAACCTTTGGGATGCTGTAAAGGCAGTCCTAAGAGGGAAGTATATAGCAATTCAAGCCTTTTTCAAGAAACAAAAAGGTTTCAAATACACCTAAAAAAAGGTTTCAAACCCCCTAAAGGCTAGAGAAAGAAGAGCAAATAAAAACTCAACCCGGCAGGAGAAGAGAAATAATAAAGATTAGAGCAGAAATAAATGAAATAGAAACCAAAAGAACAGTAAAACAGACCAACAAAACTAGGAGCTGGTTCTTTGAAAGAATTAGTAAGATTGAGAAACTCCTGGCCAGACTTAATAAAAATAAAAGAGAAAGGACCCAAATAAATAAAATCATGAATGAAAGAAGAGAGATCACAACCAACACCAAAGAAATACAAACAATTATAAGAACATATTACAAGAACATATTATAAGAACAACAAATTAGGCAATCTGGAAGAAATGGATGCATTCCTAGAGACATATAAACTACCAAAACTGTACCAGGAATAGAAAACTTGAACAGACCCATAACCAGAAAGGAAATTGAAGCAGTAATTAAAAAATCTCCCAACAAACAAGAGTCCAGGGCCAGGTGGTTTCCCAGGGGAATTCTACCAAACATTTAAAGAAGAAATAATACCTATTCTTCTGAAGCTGTTTTTAAAAAATAGAAATGGAAGGAAAACTTTCAAATTCTATTACCTTCATCCCAGAACCAAAGACTTCACCAAAAAGGAGAATTACAGACCAATATCCCTGATGAATATGGATATCAAAATTCTTACCAAAATACTAGTCAAGAGGATCCAGTAGTACATTAAAAGATTATTCACCATGATGAAATGGGATTTATTCCTGGGCTGCAAAGGGGTTCAATATTCACAAGTCAATTAATGTGATACACTACACAAATAAAAGAAGGGACAAGAACAATATGATCCTCTCAACAGATGCCAAAAAAGCATTTGGCAAAGTAAAGCATCTTTTAAAAAAAATTTCACTTATTTATTTGGAAGAGAGAGAGATAGCAAGAGAGAGTAGGAGCTGCGAGGAGTGATTAAAACTTTTCACAGTGTAGGAATAGAGGGAACATAACCTCAAAATATCATAAAAGCCATATATGAAAAGCCCACCACGAATATCATTCTTAATGGGGAAAAACTGAGAGCTTTTCCCCTAAGGTCAGAAACAAGACAGGGATGTCTGGGGCGCCTGGGGGGCTCAGTGGGTTGGGCCTCTGCCTTCGGTTCAGGTCATGATCTCAGGGTCCTGGGATCAAGTCCTGCATTGGGTTCTCTGCTTGGCAGGGGGCCTGCTTCCTCCTCTCCCTCTCTCTGCCTGCCTCTCTGACTACTTGTGATCTCTCTCTGTCAAATAAATAAATAAAATCTTTTAAAAAAGATAAAAAAAAAAGACAGCGATGTCTGTTATCATCATTGCTGTTCAAAATAGTACTAGAAGTCCTAGACTCAGCAATCAGGCAACAAAAAGCAATAAAAAGCATCTGAATCGGGAAAGAAGTCAAACTCTCTCTCTTTGCAGATGTCATGATACTCTATGTGGAAAACTCAAAAGACTCCACCCCAAAATTGCTAGAACTCCTACAGGAAGTCAGCAAAATGGCAGGACATCAAATCAATGCACAGAAATCAGTTGCATTCCTATACACTTAAAATGAGATAGAAGAAAGAGAAATAAAAAATTGATCCCATTTACAATGGCACCCAAAACCATTAGACAGCCAGGAATAAACCCAACCAAAGAGGCAAAGGATTTGTACTCAGAAAACTATAGAACACTCATGAAGGAAACTGAAGAAGACACAAAGAGATGGAAAAATGTTCCATGCTCATGGATTGAAAGAAAAAATATTGTTAAAATGTCTATGCTACCTATCGCAATCTACACATTCAATGCAATCAACCTTGAATGGCCAAAAGAATGTTGAAAAAGAAAACCAAAACTGGTGACATCACAATTCCAGACTTCAATCTCTATTACAAAGCTGTAATCATCAAGACATTATGGTACTGGCACAAAAACAGACACATAGATCAATGGGACAGAACAGAGAACCTGGAAATGGACCCTTAATTCTGTGGTCAACTAATCTTTGACAAAGCAGGAAAGAATGTCCAATGGAAAAAAGACAGTCTCTTCAACAAATGTGTTGGGAAAATTGGACAGCCACATGCAGAACAACGAAACTCAACCATTTCCTTACACCACACACAAAAATAGACTCAAAATGAAAGACCTAAACATGAGACAGAAATCCATCAAAATCCTAGAAGGGAACACAGGCAGCAACTTCTTTGACCTTGGCCACAGCAACTTCTTTTTTTTTTTTTTTTTAAGATTTTATTTATTTATTTGACAGACAGAGATCACAAGTAGGCAGAGAGGCAGGCAGAGAGAGAGGAGGAAGCAGGCTCCCCACCAAGCAGAGAGCCTGATGTGGGGCTCAATCCCAGGACCCTGAGATCATGACCTGAGATGAAGGTAGAGGCTTTAACCCATTGAGCCACACAGGCGCCCCATCCACAGCAACTTCTCCTTAGACATGTCTCCAAAGGCAAAGGAAACAAGGCAAAAATGAACTATTGGGACTTCATCAAGATCAAAAGCTTTTGCACAGTAAAGGAAACAGTCAATAAAACCAAAAGACAACTGACAGAATGGGAGAAGATATGTGCAAATAATATATCAGATAAAGGGCTAGTATCCAAAATCTATAAAGAACTTATCAAACTCAATACCTAAAAAACAAATAATCCAGTGAAAAAATGGGCAGAAGACATGAACAGACATTTCTCCAAAGAAGATTTACAAATGGCCAACAGACACATGAAAAAAATGCTCCACATCACTTGGGATCAGGGAAATACAATTCAAAATCATGATGAGATACCACCTCACACCAGTCAGAATGACTAAAATTAACAAGTCAGAAAATGACAGATGTTGGTGAGGATGTGGAGAAAGGGGAACCCTCCTACACTGTTGGTGGGAATGCAAGCTGGTGCAACCACTCTGGAAAACAGCATCAAGGTTCCTCAAAAAGTTGAAAATAGAGCTACCCTATGACCCAGCAATTGTACCACGGGGTATTTATCCCAAAGGTTCAAAAGTAGTGATCCAAAGGGGCACCTGCACCCCAATGTTTATAGCTGCAATGTCTATAAACATTGGTGTGGAGCCCAGATGTCCATCAATAGATGAATGGATAAAGAAGATATCACATCTTCTTTATTTATATATATATATATATATATATATATATAGTGAAATATATATAATGAAATATTACACAGCCACCAAAAATTGAAATCTTGCCATTTGCAACAGCGTGGATGGAGCTAGAGCATATTATGCTGAGAGAAGTCAGTCAATCAGATAAAGACAATTATCATATGATCTCACTGATATGTGGAATTTAAGAAATAAGAAGAGGATCATAGGGGAAGAGAGGAAAAGATAAAAGAAGATGAAACCAGAGAGGGAGACAAACCATAAGAGACTCTTAATCATAGAAATCATACTGAGGGTTGCTGGAGTGGGGGAGAGGTGGGGGTATGGGGTAGCTGGGTGATGGACATTAAGGAGGGCATATGATGTAATGAGCATTGCATATTCTATGAGACTGATGAACCACTGACCTCTACCTCTAAAACCAATTAAACCAACAATATATTATATATTAATTAATTGAATTTAAATAAAAAATATAACAAAAGATCAATTAAAAAAAGGGAAAAAAAGTTATTCATTTGAGAGAGAGAGAGAGAGAAAGAGCAAGAGGCAGGAGGGTCAGATGGAGAGGGAGAAGCAGACTTCATGCTGAGCAGGGAGCCTGTGGTGTGGCTTGATCCCAGGACCCTGAGATCATGACCTGAGCTGACACCAAGAGTCAGATGTTTAACTGACTGAGCCATCCAGGCACCACTGTTCTAAACATTTTTGTCTTCATTCTGTTCCTTTTTCTGTTTCTCCCCCACTCTCACTTTTGTGTGTATGTGTGTGTTAATCATATAAGCAATGAACCTCTGTTTCACACTTCTAGCATCTTTCTTCCTTTCACCAACCACATCCCATTAGCCTTCCCCCTTTATCACCAGATAAAGGTCTTAATAGACCTTTAAAGACCAGATAAGGGTCTTAATAAAGACCCTTATCATCTGGACCTCAGCAGCAGCCTCTAAATTGTATCTCTGCCCCTGGTTTTTCTCTCCCCAGCATGTGTTTCTTCATTGTTTTCAGAGTAGACGAGTCATTGTCTACAGGATAAAGGTACTTATTTATCTATATCTGTATCTATATCTATCTATCTATCTAGTAGGTTCCACACCCAACATAAGGCTTGAACTCATGACCCTGAGATCAAGAGTTGCATGTTCTGGGGCACCTGGGTGGCTCAGTGGGTTAGGCCTCTGCTTCAGCTCGGGTCACAATCTCGGGGTTCTGGGATCGAGCCCTGCATCGGGTTCCCTGTTTGGTGGGGCGCCTGCTCCCCCCTCTCTCTCTGCCTGCCTCTGCCTACTTGTGATCTCTCTCTCTGTCAAATAAATAAATAAAATCTTAAAAAACAACAACAACAAAAAGAGTTGCATGTTCTACTGACAAAGACAGCCAGGTGCCCCAGCATAAAGGAATCCTAAAATGCTCACCAGTAACTGGTAGGTGGCTCTGCAGGTCCTGGATTTCGTTTTCTTCAAGACTGAACCCGGTATTCTGTAGAACATTTTTTAGGTTACCGACACTAACCCTTCCTCCTTAATAAAAACAAGAAAAAGTAAATAAGGATGTCACAAATGAAAAATGCAGGCCATCAACCTTTCCTAGAAATGGAAGTACAAAGAAGCTATTTACAGCAAGTTGTATGAGAGTCAGAAAGAGCACATGATACCATAACTGAGCTTCTGAGAGAAATTTATATGAGGGAAAAAAAAGTAAAGAAAGAGTTTGGCTCCTGGTGAATTAGGCAAAGACAATCATGTTATTCTGGCCAAAAAGTAAGATTTAAAACTTGCTACAGTAACAACAGATTACCTACTTAATATAATTATACTTAAAGAAAAACACCAGTTAATAAGCCAGAATAACTGAAAACTACTGTTGTAGTTTTGATCAAGTCACTATAAAATAGGATTTATAGAGTCAATTTCAGATGAGTTAAATAATAAATGAAGAAAGTGAAATCTTAGGAAATCAAAGATTAAGTATATATGATTTTTTATACACTGTCTAGACAGTAAAGGACTTCCTAAATACAAAAAAGAAGAAATCACAGAAGAAATGACTGACATAATTAAAACCATAAAAATGAAAAATGTCTGTATATCAAAATGAAACATAATGGACAGAGAGTAGATTTGTGGTTGCTCATCTGGGACGGCTGTCGGGGAATGGGGAGTGATAGCTAATGGGTACAGTATATTTTTGGGGTGATGAAATGTTCTAAATTGATTGTGGTGATGGTTATGCAACTCTGTTAGTAAATTTAAATGGGTGAATTACATGGTATGTAAATTACATTTCAATAAACTTTTGTAAAAAATACAAGATAATAAAGTAAAAATGCAAATAACCACCTGGGAAAATATTTTCTATAGCTATGACAATTGTGCTAATATCTTTAATTTATAAAGTGGTCATTCAAATTAATAGGGAAAAAACCAAATTAATAGGGAAAAGGTTGGTTTCTGATAGGATAATAATTAAAAGACTGAAAGACAGAATGGTATAAAAACAGTTTATCTTCATTGATAACAAAAAAAATTGAAACATTAATTAGATTCCATTTTTCATTTATCAAATTGGCAAGGATCAAAAATTGTGAAAATAATTTATTGTGGCCAGGGCAAAATGGGAACCTGTACTTTTACCAACTTACATTTATCGCAGCCTTAAACATGTTAAGATTTACTGGATTTACCAGAAGAATCTATCCAAAGAAAATGGCTTAAAGTTGGACAAAGATCACAGATATATAAGAGCAAATCATTGTAGACTTCCTAAGTGTTCAATAAGAAAGGAATGATTAGGTAAATTATAAATACGACCTGATGATAGAGCATTAAAAATGGTGTTTACAAAGAATTTTTAAATGACATGGTGGAATTCGTACACTAAAATTTTAGGATTAAGTATAGGATATATAAAATATACAGCAAAAGTTTAAATATCTATAGATACATATATACGAAAAAAGAATAGAGAGAACTATAATAAAAAAAGGTAATATTACCCGGCATTATGGGTAATTGCATTTTTTCTCTGTATGCTACTTTATATATTCCAGATTTTTCTCAAATAGCCAACACACAGTAGAGACTTGGATATTTGTTGAATAAATGCATAATTTCCTGACTATTTATATAATCAGAAAGAAACAGTTACAACAATCTCAGATTTTGTCCTTATCCTTCTTCTCACTCACCTTTGAAAGATTTCACTCCCTCCAGTAATTCTTTCTCAAACACCTTTTTATCAGCTGTAAGATAAACATTATTGAGTTTTTGATGATTCATAGAAATTAGTGTTTACTTTCAGAAAGGGGAAATTTAGAAATTCATCACAATTCATTCTCAGTGAAATGTGAAGTATTTAGAAAACTCGGTGTAGTGACTCTATCCCTGGACAGAATACAAGGCTATTGTTAGTGGCTAGTTTGTTGAAATACACACAGCTTTCCTTTCTCATTTTCTCCTCTCCAGTTTTACTTCATCTTTTCTTTGTTCAGCTTTCCCGCCCTTCTATCCTTTCATTTTCTTCCAGTTTAGACTTTAGATTTCCCTGAAAGGGAAAGAAGTTGTCCTATGATGGGACCTCTGACTGAAGAGGCCCCAGCTCCCTAGACCAAAATTTAAATGGTAAGAACAGGATTTTTTTTTAAATGCTAAGATTGAGTCTTTTAAAAAATATTTTTAATTGACATAAAATGTTTCAAACAGTAGAATTTCCTTCTTTTTTAAACAACAAGATTTGTTTGTTTGAGAGAGAAAGAGCACATGGGTGGGGGGAGGGGCAAAGGGAGAGGGAGAGAGAGAATCCTCAGGCTGACTCCCCACTGAGTGTGGAGACTGACTTGGAGCTGGATCCCAGGACCCAGAGATCATGACCTGAGCTGAAACCATAGTCAGTTGCTTAACTGACTGAGCCACTCAGATGCCCTAAAGAGTAAAATTTCTAATACAAAGTTTAAAACAAACCTTCTGTGAAGTTTTGAGGACTTGAGGAGATAGGAGACACTGCAGACATGGTCCCTACTTTCCCAGAATTTAGGATATTGCCATGCATAAAACAGATCTTCAATAAATATTTGTTGAATGAGTAAGCTTTTAGATATCAGTGAAATAGAACTTCAATGCTTACCAGAAACTGGCAGAGTTTTCAGAAGCTTTTTATGTTCCTTGTTTGTGATCTTTATTCCCATATCTTTCAGAACATTTTTCAGGTCCTCAGTAGGAATCTTCTCTCCTTCAGAAAGAAATACATATACATAATGAAACATCCTTCCCAGGTAGGGTTGGGGGGATGAACTAGGCACAATGAAGTCTTGTTTAGCTAATTTTCTTCCACATAAACTTATATTTCTGGAAAGTTTCTCCAGACTCCACTGGCACGTTCATACTTTTAGTTGGTCGGGACAAAAAAATCTTAGGAGTCATTCCTGACTTCTCCCTTTACCTAGTTTCCATCAGGAAACTCTGTTTATTATTTTTCAGAATTGAGATATGATTGACATGTAACATGATTTTAGTTTCAGGTATACAACATAATGGTTTGATATTGGTTTAAATTATGAAATGATCACCACAATAAGTCTAGTGAAATCCATTACCACAATAACTCCTTTAAAAATATATCCAGAACCCTAAAGATACAAACGTAGTGATCCGAAGGGGCACGTGCACCCGAATGTTTATAGCAGCAATGTCTACAATAGCCAAACTATGGAAAGAACCTAGATGTCCACCAACAGATGAATGGATAAAGAAGATGTGGTATATATACACAATGGAATACTATGCAGCCATCAAAAGAAATGAAATCTTGCCATTTGCGACGATGTGGATGGAACTAGAGGGTATCATGCTTAGCGAAATAAGTCAATTGGAGAAAGACAACTATCATATGATCTCCCTGATATGAGGAAGTGGAGATTCAACATGGGGGGTTAAGGGGGTAGGAGAAGAATAAATGAAACAAGATGGGATTGGGAGGGAGACAAACCATAAATGACTCTTAATCTCACAAAACAAACTGAGGGTTGCTGGGGGGAGGGGGGTTGGGAGGGGGGGTGGGGTTATGGACATTGGGGAGGGTATGTGCTATGGTGAGTGCTGTGAAGTGTGTAAACCTGGCGATTCACAGAACTGTATCCCTGGGGATAAAAATATATTATATGTTTATAAAAAATAAAAAAATTAAAAGCCAAAAAAAATATATCCAGAATCCAAATACTTTTTACCTCTTCATTGCTTTCTGCCCTGGTAAGAATCACCATCATTTCTCACATGGATTACTTTAAAAGCCCTTTTAGGGCTCTACTCCCTACTGCTACCTGTTCTCCACACAGAATCCAGGAAGGTCTAATAAAACCATAGGTCAGATTATATCATGTTTCTGGTCTAAAACCTGCAATGGCTTTCCATTTCTCACAGGAAAAATCCCAAGTCCTGGCAGAGATTTCACAGTCTTGACCAATTTTGCATCCACCACCTCTTTCTCCTCATCTCCTATTACCTTTTTCTTTCCTTATTCAGCCTCAGCTACATTAGCCTTCTTGTTGTTTCTTGAATAGTCCAGGCATGCTCCTGCCTTTGGGTCTTAGTCCATGGCCCCCTGCCTACAACTCTTTCCCTAGAAGTCTTCACATGGATAAAACCCTCACCTCCTTCAAGTATTTGCTCAAATGTCACCTTTTCAAGGAGGCCTGATGATCTGTTTAAAGCCACAAGTGCCTCTTTCCCCTTCCAGTCTCCTTTAGTTTCCTTTTCACTGTTTTCTAAAGCATCTATCACTTCAAACCTACTTTATAATGACTTATTTATTATGTTTATTGCTTATTTCCCCGGTAGCATGTAAGCTCCAGAGGATCAATGATCTTTATTCTGTTTGCTGATGTATCATAACTGTGTAGAACAATGCCTGGCATGTAGTAAGTGCTGAATAAACAGTTGTTTTGTGAATAAAGGAGGAAGGAATCACAACTGTGTTAAAAATATAGTTCCATATAAAACTTCAAGACCACATAATATAATCTTCATCATAACATCTCACTCACCTGTGATATTTTTAACTTCATCCATCAACACATTTAAGTCAGTCTTTCCATTATCTTTAAGATAAAAAAGTGCCAAAAAGATTTTTAGAAAAATTGTGAAACAGATACCCCAAATTCAACCATTTAGAAACATTTTTCCTAGAAGTTTATTATTTTTTCATGTCATCAGTTTAAGTTAATATAGCTCTTGCATTTTATGCTGTCAAAATCTATACAGCACAATACATGAGGCAAGGTTTAAAGCACTCTCCTGTCCTTCAAGACAATCTGCTACTTATTAGACTACTCTTTTCAGGCACTGAAATGACCTCTTTTTAGGGTCTGAAATTAAAAAAAAATTATTATTATTTTTCAAGATTTCATTTATTTACTTGTCAGAGAGAGAGAGAGAGAGAGCGAGCACAGGCAGAGGCAGAGGCAGAGGCAGGTGGAGAATCAGGCTCCCTGCCGAGCAAGGAGCCCAATGTGGGACCCGATCCCAGGATATTGGAATCATGACCCAAGCCGAAGGCATCTGCTTAACCAACTGAGCCATCCAGGCGTCCCTCGGGGTCTGAAATGTTTTGAGAGTTTAAAAATCTTGTTTAAAACCGATGCTTCCATTTTGTCAGTGCTAACTTTACCTTTGGGCTTATGATCACCTTGGTATCAAGTGATCCTCTTAAAGGACAGCGTGCTGGTATGCGTGCCTGGCTGCTCTTAGGTTGCCAAAATGATAATCATCACGTTGATGTATTCAGTTAAATTCCCAGTGTATGAGGACAACACTTTTGTTTCGCAGTGCCTATTCTCAATTGAAAGTCTTTTTCATAGATGATGCACTTAAATTTTTTAGTATATTTCTCCAAGTCTGAAGTTATTAGAGGTCAGTGGATACATTTTTAGTAGTTTGTAAAATTGCAAGTTTGAGAAACACTGGTTTGCAATGTTAAGATAGTAGTTAAAAGATGCTACTGCTGGGGTGCCTGGGTGGCTCAGTGGGTTAAAGACTCTGCCTTTGGCTCGGGTCATGATCCTAGGGTCCTGGGATCAAGACCCGCATTGGGCTCTCTGCTCAGCGGGGAGCCTGCTTCCTCCTCTCTCTGTCTCTGCCTGCCGCTCTGCCTACTTGTCTGTCAAATAAATAAATAAAATCTTTAAAAAAAAAAGATGCTACTGCTCTAATAGGAAAGATTCTGTTTGGAACCTTAAGCTGTCTACAGACCTACTCTTTCTCCACTTATAACTTAGTCAACAGTGTCAATCCATCACCACTCAAACATGTTCACATTCTAATTTTATGTGTAATAATAATCCAAAGATTGTAAATTCCCCTAAGGGTGAGAAACCAAGAATCACTTTGTACTCCTACTATTACTTCAGCATTGGTTTAAGGGTCTGCACAAGATTGATGACCCAAAGAAATATTTACTTATAATTAAGTTCCAGTAAAATGCAAACATATTATAAAGAATGAATTAGCTTTGAAACCATACACATATCCTAGGTTCTCAGATATGGAATTTTTCCTTGCTTGTTCTTTTTTTACGTCTTTTCAATTACGATAATCTTTTATTGGTATCCTTTTATAATTTTATAGCATTTATGATGATGATGATGAAGAAGAATACTATTATGTTATGACTTTCAAGCAGGATAAGGAAGAACCTTTAGTGGAGAATATTCTGTGCCTATAAAGGACAGATCCCCTTATGTCTTTTACTTTGTGGTCTCTAATCAGCTCCATTGAGGCCCCTGGACCCCTGAAAGAGTTTTGCATTCTGTCTCAAATGATGCCACAGATATACAAAGTAGTCTTTAAGAATTAGTTTAGAATTAGCCTCACACTTTAAATCATTGTGCTGGTATCTTTTCTCATGTTTCAGTATACTAGAAAAACAAGGCAATGACAACTATCTGCATTTATTGAACTGGTTGGTAGATTAAAAGAGCTATGGAAGGGATTAAAAAAGACAAAGAAAAAGTCATTTTTGGAAAAACTGCTTACCTCTTATTAAGGCAAATGATCTAGAACAGTGCCTGACACATCATAGGCATTCAATTCAAGTTTATGGAATAAAAGAATGAAAGGTACTACTGATTTAGAAAAGCCCCTATTCACTGACTTGGATCAATCTTGCATCTTTGCTATTTCTTCAAGGGCACAGATGTCTCTTAAAATATCCTCATGAATTTTCCTCAGTTTTACTGGCATGAGTCTAATGTATGCCGATTAATGACATGAAGTACTGCTATCTGTCTTCTTAAATTTATTAGTTCTGGAAGTTCATGGAAGTTCATGGCAGTATGGCAGAGTGGCTAAGAGACAATTTCTGGAGCCAGATTATCTGTCCACCACTTACTAGCTCTCTGACTTTAGGCACACTACTCGACTTTTCTATGCCTTCACATATAAGTTTCCTTATATGTGAAATGGGAATAAAAAGAGAACTTGCTTTGTAGAGTTATTTGCAAGATTAAATAAGGTAATATGCACAAAGTGCTTAAAACAGTGCCTTGCATAGGTCAGGACCATGTAGTGTCAGTCATTGTTATTTAATGCTGGGTTAGCAGTAGGGACTCAAAGATTAAAATCTGAGTATTCTCTGTTAGACCCTGGCATTCCTGTGAAGAGTGACACTTGCCATTTATATGGGGCAGCATTCTTGGTGATCCTTCCCCAAGTGATAACCACTGGGCCCAGTTTGGTAGCTATGCTAAAGTCCTCGCTCTTTCTTTTTCTTCCTCTCTTATACATTCTATCTTTAGTCATTCCAGGACTGAGACCAGCCTTAAGTCCAAAGTTTGGCTCACGGGTATACTGTCACTCAAAACTCTCACCGTCAAGTGGTAGACAGTCCTTCAGTTCCTGAACTTCTTTTTCCTTGAGATTAAGTCCCATGATTTCCAAGAAAGTGTCCACCTTATTTGGAGACACCTTCACCCCTTAGGGAAGAAAGGGATGAGACATGAAAAATATTTGCAATGATGTCAAGAGTGGGTGATTATAGATCATGCCTAGGTATCAGTACTACATAGACAATGAAAAGCAAAGAAAAATTAAACCAACCAAGTCAATGTGGTTTTGGTAACTAAGTCAGGAATTCCTAAACCCTGATCTGTGTGATTCTGTTAGGACTTTGAGGAAAACATTTAAGAGAAGAAAGTGAGTGGTTATGGGTATTTGTAAGTCATGGCAAAGACTAAAATCAGACTCTTTACATGTGTTCACACAGAAGAACTCAAAACTTGCCAAATTAATGGAGAATTATAAATCCATTTATCCACCCATCCACCCAGCCAGCCAGCCAGCCATCTGTTGAGCCATATAGACAGCCAATCCATGGATTTACTCTGTCATGATTCTCTGGGAAACTTTTAAAGAACATATGTTTCTAAATACTATCTCTGGAAATTCAAGATCAATATGACTGGAAAGGAGCCTAGCTATTTGAATGCTTTATTTCCCCCTTTGTGATTCTGATATACAGCTTTATTTGGGAACCACTGCTTTTCGGTTACTGTATTTAAACCATTTTAGTGATGGCAGTATGCTTGAAGCATATAAAGAATAACCACTGACTTAACAAATAGTTGGAAAAGTTGGATTAATAATCTGAAAATTGTAAAACAGGATGAAATTTTGAAAATCAAAGCAAAGCTTGGTGACATGTTTTACTTGCCTTTTCATCAAGCTTCTTACTCACCTTCAAGAGACTCTAACTCTTTCATCAATCTGTTCACATATACCTTTCCTTTGTCTGTAAGAAAGGGAAAAATTCAAGTTTCAGGAAGTAGTGCTGATATTTAAATGAATTTAGATGAAACATGCCTAAGTTCAGAAACATAGACGTTGAAATGTTTTATTCTAAAAATTTATATTATTTTACTTTCAAGAATAAAACTTAAGAGTGGAGACAGCTGTTTGGTGAAATCATTTTGGTGATGGAGGCAGGGGTGGGGGGCATGAAACATTCCTTGTAGAGAGAGTATTAGTTATAAAAAGTCCACATACTTAACTCTCCTTGAGGGTCACTGTGATTTTTTTATGCCCCACCCCCACCACTATGATATTTTTAATGCTTACTATCGACTGGAAGCTTGTTTTGCAGGTCCAGGCTTTTATCTTCTGGGAGCGTTATCCCCATTTTCCCCAGAAAACTATCCAGGTTACTAGTATCGACCTTCTCACCTTTAAAAAGTAAAAGGTGGTAATGGTTGAAAAGCTGAAGAATAACGATCCTATATTATAAAAAAATGTCCATATGACATTTGCTGATTAAACAATGAAGTAAACCAACACGAATGCCAGCTAAGACATAATCTTAGAGCTTTTTGGCTGAAACAGTGATGATCAAATGTAGGCTGGGAGTCAGGAGATGGAAACATTCACCAGTATATGGGTAGAGTGAGAGAACAATCAATAAGGAAAATGATGCTGTTGAAATATAATTTTCTGCCAACATTAAAATCTTGATTTTGCAGAGACTTCTTAATTATATATCATGGAACCATACGGGACTTTTCTCCAGGAGCTTCTTTCTAAGCCCAGACTGGCTCTCTGTTGCACCTCAGGGATTTGGTGGGCTTGCTTGCTTCTCTTCTTGCCAGCTACTACCACCCAGTATACTTTTTGGGCTTCCCTAAGGGTGGCTAGGAAAATAGGTGCAGTCTTCCAGCTCGTTTCTTTTTAGTGTCCCAGGAATACTAGCACATAGATATTTTTATTCTTAGGGCTTTAATATAAGTGCTACAGCGAGACAGACAAGGGAACACCAGACTATCCCCAAAACGGGTAAGACACAAAGCTAACAAGTTTTGTTTGGTAATGGACTTGGTTTTAGTTGCTGGGTACAAGGGCAGGATCACCACTTATCCTTGCCCCCTGTAGCTATTCCCCAATCTGCTTGTGGGATGGCCATGCGAAATTTTCCTTCATGATGGCTCTTCCCTCTAGCTTGAAGAGGCGGTTTAGCAACAAAAACAACAAAATGGTAATTATGTGAGGTGAAGAATGTATTAACTAACCATATTGTGGTAAACATTGTGAAATACATATGTGTATCAAATCATCACAACGTAAACCTTAAACTTACACCATGTTAAATATCAATTGTATCTCAAGAAAACAAGGGGGAAGGAAAGATGCTATTTAGGTAGCCAGTTTGGACCTCCTAATCATTTCTAATTACAGAAAAAGAAAAGTCTTGTTTTTATTTATTTATTTTTAAAAAGATTTTATTTATTTATTTGAGAGAGAGTGAGCGAGAGAGAGCATGAGCAGGGTGGAGGGAGAGCAGGAGAGAGAAAAGCTGACTCCCTGCTGAGCAGGGAGCCCCATGCAGAACTCAATCCCAGAACCCTGAGATCATGACCACAGCTGAAGGCAGAAGCTTAACCGACTGAGCCACCCAGGTGCCCCCAAACTCTTGCTTTTCATCCTCTGGAACCATACTGCAGTGCTTCCATTGGAAGGATACTATCTGGGGAGTTAGCCAGTTTTCTGCACAAGCGCCTGGGAGGAAATGTTTACAAGGGTTCCCCCGCTCGCCCTGGGCCCGACTGCTTCAGACCTCTTCTGTGATGCCTTGGGCTATTGGAGCTTCTGATACCCGCCCCCTCCTAGTAACCAGCCAAAAGAATGACTCTTCAGACACAACAAAGCAGTTCTCTAGTCTGCTATGCTGATCTTGTTTGGACAGACATGGGCCTTCTTGTCTCAAGACTGTCTAACCACACCATTCATCTGTATCATTCCCATTCTTCAAAATATAAGCCTGCAACATTTTCTATCCTCTTGAATCTATTCTGTGCCTTACCACTCTGAGTTTTCTTTCTATTTTTAGCTTTCTTTTCACTCTTCCCATAGTGCCCTCTCAGAGTCATATTTCACTAAGTATGAATTTTTCGATATCTTCAGTCTCTTTACATACTCTTATCTTCTTTCCTAACTGAACTTTGCCTGTTCCTGATATTTTCCTTTTTTATTTCATTTTTTTTTTCCTTGTGAGAGAAAGCTGCTCTTTTTTCTACATCCCATTTGCCTTAGGTCTTGCAATCTCCTAGATCCTGACTGCTGTTTTCTGGCCATACTCAAACCCCTCCCCTTGTGAGAATTACGGTATTTGGATTTCTTTTTACTGTCACTGACTTTTTGGTCATTAAGGAGCTTGTCCCATTACTCACAGTCTTCCTCTGCACCCACATTCCTGGCATCATTATAGGGAATACCAGTCTTCATATGGAGAGTTCATTCCACAACCTGGCCTCCAAATTTCTTGAGCTCCTTATCCTCCATGACTGTCTCCTAAATTCTATACTAGTTAACCATCATGGATAGCCTGAACTTTGTCATCACCTGGAAATGCTTTGCCTCTAAAATCTCAAATTCTAACCTATCTACTTTTGGCCAAAACCTCATATTCTTCCACTTCTTTTACTTCCTTACTCCTACCACACCCATTTCTACAGAGACTTTCATTCCCTCCTCTCTCACTTTCCTCCAAGTTCATAATTTCCATCATAACTTCACTTCTCTTATCCACTAGAGAACTTAACCACTCTCTTGACTATACTTTTAATGCCTTTATGCTTTCATCCTTTTGGCACATCAGCCTTAAGAATCTTTGACTTTGGTGCAACTGAAGAATATCATAATCATGTGAAAAGTTGCCATTACTTATTTTTTATTTTTTTTCAAATTAAATTAAATTCCAATTCAACTAATTAACATGTAGTATATTATTAGTTTCCGAGGTAGAGTTCAGTGATTCCTCAGTTGTGTATACACCCAGTGCTCATTATATCATGTCCTTGTCTCAGTGTCCATCACCTAAGTACCCTATCCCGCTGTTGGCAAGGATGTGGAGAAAGAGGAACCCTCTTACACTGCTAGTGGGAATGCAAGCTAGTGCAGCCTCTCTGGAAAACAGCATGGAGTTTCCTCAAAAAGTTGAAAATAGAGCTACCCTATGACCCAGCAATTGCCATTACTTATTTATAACATCCGACTTTGGTTAGACTCTTGGCACTTCTCAGCAGGGTTTTCATATATATATTCCTCAACTCTAGTTCCTATTCTCTATCAGAGCTATCCCAGACCATCGACACTTTCCTTAACGTCTTGTACCTCGCCACTTCTTTTCATAGATAATTGTTTCATAGATGATTCTGTTTCCTACTATACAGAGAAAATTGAAGCTTTTAGGTAAAATCCTCTGAATTTTACCTACACATGTATGTAGATTCTCTATATCTGTATCCTTCCTGACTTGAAGTCTGCTGGCCTCAGAAAAAGAGGTGGCCTCAGATTCTTACATATTTTAACTGCCTAAGGTTCAGTCTCCCTTAGGTGTCTTACAGGAGCCTTGAACCTGATATGATCAAATGGAAACTGTATCTTTACTTCTAAATTTACTTTACTGAATTCCTTATTTTGTTCAATGTCACTGTCATCCACCCAACTAGCCAGCTCAGAAACTGAGGTGTCATCCTTCATTCCACCCTTTTGATCTATCTCTATACCTGATCAGTAACCAAATTCTATGGATTCTATATCCGTAACATCTCTTCTATATGTCCCTTCCTCTCAAGTCTCACAGAGAATGATTTACTTCTGCCCTTTATTGTCTTTTGCCTGGACAATTACAACATGCTCTCTCACTAGTTTCCTTGACTCTATTCTTGTACATGTATCTTCATCTGTCCTTTATACTTCTGCTAGAGCAATATTTCTAATATGCAAATCTAATCACATAGACTCCTGCTTAAAACCCTGGAATGCCTCCCCATTCTGTGCAGATCAAATTCATACTATTCTACTAGGTATTCAGGGTCCTCCGTGATTTATGAATCTCCTATGGCTGTAACAAATTACCAAAAACATGGTGGTGTAAAACAATACAGATTTTTTTCTCTTATAGTTCTGGAGGTCAGAAGCCTCAAATTAGTTTCACTGAGCTGAAGTCAAGGAGTTAGCTGGGTGGTTCCTTGAGGAGACTCTCAGGAAGAATCCGCTCCCTTGCCTATTCTATTTCTAGAGGCCATTTACACTCCTTAACTTACTCTTCTATCTGAAAAGCCAGCTGTGTAGCATCTTGCTTCTGTTGTCACATTGCCCTCTACTTTTTCTGCTATCCACTATCGCTTTGCTTTCTGGTTTTAAGGACGCTTGTAATTATATTTAGCATTCAACTGGATAACCAAGGATAACCACCCCATCTCAAGACCTTAATCACACCTCCACGGTCTTTTTGGCTATATAAAGGAACAGCCACAAGTTGTGGGGATTAAGACCTGGATATCTTTAGGAGCCATTACTCAGCCCACCACGTCCCACTCTTATTCTCTAAGTTTATTCCTTGCCAAACTCCCGATAGCATTTATGCTTTAGCTACTCCAGCTTTTTTCTAGTTCCATACAGTATTATACAGTTTCTCATTTTTGTGGCTTTTATTATTATTTTTTTCCCTATCAGGAATGCCCATCCTACTCTGACAAAACTGACCTAACTTTTGAGGATGTGCTCATGTGTTGCCCATTCTATTAAAGCATTTCCCAATTTCTCTTCCTCGGGTGCAAGTGACCATTCTGCCCCTTCTTTACTTTGTGTAGGTTTTTAACATAGCACTGATGACATTTTACTGCATTTATTCATATGTATTTATAAGTTTTTTCCTTGGTCCAGCTAAATAAGTTTCTGGAAGGTTGGTTTTTGTTGATTCACATTTGGGATATACAGATGTTGAATAATGAGGTAATAAAGATCTAACCCACCTGTAAAAAGATTTCCTTCATCCATTACCACATTCACGTCAATCTTCCCCTCATCTGTAAGATAGAATTTTATGTGTAAAACAATAATAGAGAGAAATAGAAGACATAAAAGTCATCACTGAAGTACAACACAAAATTCAGCAAATTTTAATGATTTGCTCTAGAATTTTATCCTATTTTCTTATTAAATGGAAAATGTGGAAAGACAAAGCCCTGATTATGAAAGAGATACTTAATTTCATACTTCTAACCACAGTTTTTATTCTATTAAGATAAGCTCCACATAGCAGAGCACTGGGCTGAAACTTAAAAAAAATAGCCCTCTCAGGGCACCTGAGTGGCTCATTTCATTAAGCATCTGCCTTCAGTTCAGGTCATGGAGTTGGGGGGTCTTGGGATTGAGCTCTGCCTTGGACTCCCTGCTCAGCGGGGAAGCCTGCTTCTCCCTCTCCCTCTGCCTTTCCCCCGTTCATGCTCTCTCTCTCTCTCTCAAATAAATAAATAAAATCTTAAAAAAAATAAAAATAAAAAGTAGCCCTCCATTTTCAGATAAGGAAGAACTCCATTTTATTGATTATGATGCTGAATAGCATCTTAAAGGGGGCAAATGTTTCAATAGGAAAGATGGGACTTAGAGCATTAATAATGTCTATTTCTGTACTGGAATGATAGGTGGCACTTAGCTGTGTTCTTCCACTACCCACACTCATGATATATTTAAAAAGCTTTGATCAATCTAATTGAAATTTAATAAAAATTTTTTAATTTTGTATTTTTAAAATCTTTGTGTTGTATTTTCCTCTTAAATGAGGGATGTAGAAGGAACAGCTTGAGATTGTTAGTGCCTCACAGGAAAATGTCTCATCCATTCTCATGTATTTCAACTAGTCCCACAGAAGACTTAGGATAGTCTTGTTTATTTATTTATTTTTTAAAGATTTTTATTTATTTATTTGACAGACAGATCACAAGTAGGCAGAGAGAGAGAGGAGGAAGCAGGCTCCCCACTGAGCAGAGAGCCTGATGTGGGGCCCAATCCCAGGACCCTGGGATCATGGCCTGAGCCGAAGGCAGAGGCTTTAACCCACTGAGCCACCCAGGCGCCCCCTTAGGATAGTCTGAAACAGGTCTGTAATGCTATTTCCTGTGGGCTCATTGACCTGAGAAGTAATACTCAGGGAGATGGCTGATACTTTCACAACCAAAATGCCTGTTGTGGTATTCCAGTAAACTTTCAAGATACCTGGAAAATATAATAAGAAAAAATACCTCCATCTGGGGTGCCTGGGTGTAAGCAAGCCCTTGTAAGGACAGGCTCCATCTGCACTGTGCCTGTCGCCTGCTGGAGTTTCCATGGGTGCTTGTTTTCTAGGGGTAGTCACAGCATTGTTTTTTTTTTTTTTTTTAAATTTTACTGCCAGTATAGTTAATATACAGTGTTATATTAGTTTCAAGTATACAATATAGTGATTCAACAATTCTATACATTACTCAGTGCTCATAATGACAAACACACCCCTTGGTCCCCATGGAATGCCTTTTTTTTTTACTGGAGAATTTCTATATATCTTCTGACAAGTCTTTCTCCAATTCCCTACTTGGCCAACTTAGCTTTTCCCACCTTTAGGATCTTATTGAATGCATTTTTAGTATTATAGCACAACCACATAGTGTTATGATGACCTGTCAGCATATATGTCTCCTTACCAGACTGAGAGAACTCCTAGAGGACAGAGAATCTGTCATCATATTTTTATATTCCTAATAGGTATGTATATTAGGCACTCAAAGTCCACTGCAGGAATTGATGAGTTCTTGACGACTGGGCCTTACCCTTCTGGGTTTTTTTTCTTATGTTTCTACATACTCTAAATATACTCTCAGAAATTCTCATATATGAATGCCAAGTTTCACAGTAGAAGCAGCTTACCATCAGCAGGCAGCTTGCTGAGTAGGTCAAGGTATTCCTCTTCTTCCAGGTCAAAGCCCATACTTTCCATGAAGGGTCCCAAATTATTAACATTAAGCTCCACTCCTTAGGGAAAAAAAAGATAAGAGTGAGAGAAGCAAACGATAGTGATAAAGTAAAAAATGCCAGGCATTATTTAGAGGGAGTACAATCAAAGAATAATAAATTTATTTAAATGGAAAGAGATAGCATGGGCATCAAGAACAGAATCTGTTCCTCCTTTTTGTCCAGAGGATTATAGCTCTCATGAGACATTAATAAGGAGAAAACTAAAGGATTAGGCAAGTCTGCTGAATTCTGGTAAGACACTGCCTTTGTAATCCTACTCCAAAAATAGGACTTGAAATGATAAAGACAAAAATAATTCCTTTTAATGTAGTTACATTAAAAGTTGTAAACGGTCTGCCTCTCTGCCTACTTGTGATCTTTTCTGTCAAATAAATAAATAAAATCTTTAAACAAACAAACAAAAAATTAAAAAAAAATCCCACTACTGACTTAAAAAAAAAGTTGCAAACCATGAGACAAGAATACTTAATAAATAAATGGGTTGGGTTGGCAAATTTGTCATCACCAAAAATTAATGTGGATTTTAAAACCTAAATGTAAAACATAAGGAGTCTCAATTTTACCTGACTGTTCACTTACCTTTGAGAGACCTTATGCCATCCAGCAATCTATGCTTATACAGTTTTCCAGCAGCTGTGGGATAGGACACAATAAAGTAATTGGTAAGGGAGCCTGTTGTAATAATTCAAAACATAGCAATTTCAGAAAGGACAACTCTTAAAGTTTTACTTATTTTTTTTTTCTGTTTATATTCCAACTTAAGAGTTAGACCAATGGCTGAAAGCTCTCAAGAGTAACCTACCCACTTTATGATTTGACAATTGAAACAGTTATTGGTGGTGTCTTGCCATACTTTTTTTCATATCTTTTCATCTAATTCTCATTTCCTACTCTTTTGCATAAGGTCACACACATTAATGCTCCCAAGGGTAAGAGTAGATCTACTGGGACTCATGAGTTAAGAGATGGATGAGTTCTGAGCTAAACAACCTGATGGCCAGAATAGGACATCTTTGAATATTAGCATTTAACATTTCTACATGTTTTTCACATGATATCAAATGGATATCGTTTTAAATATTTCCACTGACAAGCCCATGAAAATAAATTCCACAAGGTAATCCCTTAGTGAGCTCTCTCATCTGTTGCCATCACAGGCTTCATATTTTACAAAAATTCAAATATAGATTTCTATTCCTACATAGATGACGCGTTAGCATGAATTCCTGGCTCCTTTCCCAGAAATCAACCCTGAAGAAACTGAAGTCTGAGCAGAAGCTTGGATTCTAGGAATGAAGTGAAAAGCCACAGCGACACCAGTAGGTGATAGAAAGCTGTCCCGGTGTGAGTGTATGTGCTTACAGCCTAGAGTGGAGGGCTTACTGGCAGTGCAGTTAAAGGACCAATTAGGGAAATACGAAAAGAAACTTCTGCCCTCACCTCTCTGTACTATGATTCTGAGATCACCATTGCCTACCCCTTTTTTTCTACAGAAAGTAGCAGCAAAACCTAGACCCCTAGTGCAAGTGGAAGGTAATATCAGGGCAGCATATAAACCCTTCTGGAGAGAGGACCAGATGTATACAGGTGAAGACTGACAAGCTGCCTCAGGTATATTATCCTCCGTCTCTCTTCGCAGATCTCTAGAGCTGCTGGATTACAATCTGTACAGGTTGCCTTCTTCCAGTTCTACTCCTGAGTTTAAAGGTGAAACTGACCAGAGGTGGTGCCTGGAACAATTTCAGATCAGGAAAATGATCAACAGTATTTGCATCTCTTTGCCCTGGGGCTCATTCCTTCCTTTTTCCCTTCTTCTTAAACCCAACAGGCTGATGTGGAACAGAACTTGACTTTACCCCCGACCTAAAGCACATTTCCAAACACATTAATGATGCCCCGAGAACAAGGGCGCACAGGACCAAAATAACTCATCATCTGAGGAATACCACTGCTCCAAAAACAAACCACAAACGAAGAAACAAATGGAATAACATATTCCATTTGAACAAGAATTATTGGAATTAAAGGAATATAAAATAAACATGATAGAGGGGAACGCACCTGGGGGGCTCTGTTGGTTAAGTGTCAGACTCTTAATGTCAGCTCAGTTTACAATCTCAGGATTGTGAGCCCGAGCCCTGCGTTGGGCTCCCCACTCAGTGGGGTCTGCTTGAGATTCTTTCCCTCTCTGTCTGCCTCTACCCCTGCTCCTGCTCTCTCTGTCTCTGAAATAATTTTCCCTAGCCACTGGACCTAGTGTCATCTTGCTAATTAGTCTGTAGCTTGTCTGTGGTTCCTTTTGTTCCTTTTTTTCCTTTTTTGCTGTCTCCCTTTGTGAACTGGTGATTTTCTGTCAGTGATATAGTTTGACTCCCTTTTTAAGTCTATTTTAAGCTGATAACAGCTTAATTTCCATTGCATACAAAAATTCTACCTGTTTAATCCCTCTTCACATTTTATGTTTTTGATGGCACAATTTGCATTTTTATATTGTGTATCTATTAACAAAGTATTGTAGCTATAGTTATTTCAAATACTTTGGTCCTTTAACTTTTATACTAGAGTTAAGTGGTTAACACATGACCATGGTGTACATTAGAGGATTCTATCCTGACTACGTACTTACTTTTACCAGTGTGCTGAATATTGTCATATGTTTTCATGTTACTTATTAGCATTCTTTCATTTCAGCCTGAAGAACTCCTTGAGGCATTTCTTGGAAGGCATGTCAAGTGATAATAAACTTCCTCAGCTCGGGGTTGTCTGGAAATACCTCTTCTTCATTGCTGATGGACAATTTTGCTGGACTTTAATGTATTCTTGGTTGATGGTTTTTCTTTCAGCACTTTGAATATATCATCTCACTCTCTCTTGGCCTGCAAGGTCTCTCTCTGCTCAGAAATTTGCTGACAACCTAATGGGGGTTTCTTGTAAGTGACAAGCTTCTGTTCTGCTGCTTTCAAAATTCTCTCTTCATCTTTGATTTTTGATACCTTTATTATATTATGTCTCAGCAAAGGTCTCTCTGGGTTGAATTTTTATTGGCAACTATGAGCTTCATGAACTTGGGTGTTCAAATCTCTCCCCAGATTTGGGAAGTTATCAGCCAGTTAAAAAAAAAATAAGCTTTCTGTTCCTTCCTCCTTCTGGTACTTAAATTATGTGTAGATTTTTTTTCTCTTAATGGTGTCCTATAAGTCCCATAGGCTTTCTTTATTCCTTTTCATTCTCTATCCCTTTTGTTCCTTTAATTGGATAATTTCAAATGATCTTTCTTCAGGTTCACGGATTCTTTTTTTCTGCTTGGTTCAGCTGGGTTTTTAAGCTCTTTATTGAATTTCCCAGATCAGTAATTGTAATTTTCAGCTCCAAAGTTTCTGTTTGGTTCATTTTTACATTTTCCATCTCTTTGTTGAACTTCTCATTTTGTTCTTGTATTGTTTCATTTCTTAAATTGTTTTTCTGAGTTCTCTTACAGCTGAGTATCTTTAGAACAAGATACTTTGAATTCTTTGTTAGGCAATTTGTGCATCTCCATTTCTTGGGGGTCAGTTACTGGAAGTTTACTGTGTTCCTTTGGTGGTGTCATGTTTCCCTAATTCTTCATGATCCCTGTAGGCTTGTGTGTGTGTCTGTGCATGTAAAGAAGCAGTTGCCTCTTCTAGACTTTATGGACTGCTTTTGGTAAGAAAAGACTTTCACCTGTTTATAAGGTTATACTTGAGTTGCGACTCTTGGTCTAGCAGTGTGGGGTGCCAAGAGGGGATGTGTGGTGGCTCCAGGTTTGGGGATATGTGGTGTCTTGTCTGCTTACATTTCTGGCATCCATGACATCAAAAACTGCACATTTCTTGGTGAGAGCTGTGGGAGATCCAGAGTGGCTTCAGGGGCTTTTGGGGTCCTTAGAAGCACCCACAGGTCCAGTGGCTAGGGAATATGGAAGGTGGTAGTGGTGGCTAGAGCTAGTGGTTTGGACATGCTCAACTGTGGGGGCTGGCGCAGGTGCATCTATAACAGCAGGGGCTGGCTGCAGATACGCTCCTAGTGATGAGGCTGGCTGGCTTCTCTGAGCCCAAAAACCTGTGGAGTGAAAACTTCAGTGGCAAAATCTGCAGGAAGTCTGCAGTGGCTGTTTTGACAGTTGATTTCTTCAGCAGCAAAAGCTGCTGGGATCCTCTGTGGAGCTGCCTGCTGGGGTCTGTAAGGAGGTCTTCAGTGATGAAAACTGGGGGTTATTTTTAGTATTTGCAAGGGCTCCTCAGCAGCAATAACTGTGGGAGTCATTTCCAGATGGGCTCATTTGCAGATAAGGCCACTGGGAACTACGGTTGCTCCCACTATGTGGCTGATACTGGGATCCCCTTCCCTTTTTCTTTGCTCTTAGCCATCTCTAGATGTCTCACTTTCGTTGGTTTCTGGGTGGAGTGAAACCTAAGCAGGTCCTTTGTGTAGTGCCCCAAAAGTTTGGGGAAGCTGGTCATACAGCCCACTCTCCTTTTCTTGTGAGGGGAGCTCTTTTGGGCTGGAGAGTTCCTTCTTGGCAGTGAGGAGTACTGGTCTAAGGGATGGGATGATATAGGCAAAACAAAACTGCTCTTTTTACCCCCTTTTTTGCGATCATTTTCAGGGTTTTGTTTTTGTTTTTTGTTTTTGCTCCACCGTGTTGCTTAAAGTTTTTAAGTAGACTCCTGAGGTCTCCCAGGGTTGTTTTCATTTGTGGATAACTGTCTATTTTTAAATTTTTAAATTATTTATTTATTTATTTTTTAAAGGTTTTATTTATTTACTTGACACAGAGAGAGAGAGAGACAGCAAGAGAGGGAACACAAACAGGGGGAGTGAGAGAGGAAGAAGCAGGCTTCCCACTGAGCAGGCAGCCTGATGGGCTCTAGGACTCTGGGATCATGACCTGAGTTGAAAGCAGATGCTTAACCAACTGAACCACCCAGGTGTCCTCCCAAAGTAGTTTCTTAAGAAATGATATTTACACAGAAATTTTTTTTTCTGACATTCTTCTCAGAAAATGTCTTATTTTGAAATATGTGAGAATATGAATTTTATTCTCACACTTGATTGATGTTTTAGTAGGATATAGAATTCCAGGTGGGAAAAAATTTTCTAATAATTTTGAGGGTATTACACAATTGTCTTTCATCTTCAGGAGTTGTGAAGTCTAGTACCATTCACATACCCCAAGCTTTCTAAGTGACCTGCTTCTTTCTCTTTGGAAACTTTTTAAATCCCTTTCTTTCTGGTATTCTGATATTTCACAATATACTCTGGTGTGAATCTTTTTTTGCTCCTTGTGGTATGTACTTGGTGAACCCTTTAAATCTGGAGTCACATTCTTTCCAATTTGGAGACTTTAAAAAATATGATTTATTTCACAATTTTTTCCTCTGTTTTCTGTTTTGTCTTTTTTGGGAATTCTTCTATTATTCAGTTGTTGGATTTCTAGGATTAATTTTCTTATCTTTTTCCCTCCTATTTTTCATCTCCTTTGTCTTTTTGTTCCAATATTCAAATTCATCCTCTAGCCCTTCCACCCACTGAATTACTAAATTTCTTTAACTTTTTTCCCAAAAAGCTTTAAAATTTTTTTTAAAAGATTTTATTTATTTGACACACAGAGAGAGATCACAAGTAGGCAGAGAGGCAGGCAGAGAGAGGGGGGAAGCAGTCTCCCTGCTGAGCAGAGAGCCCAATGTGGGACTCGATCCCAGGACCCTGAGATCATGACCTGAGCTGAAGGCAGAGGCTTAACCCACTGAGCCACCCAGGCGGCCTAAAAAATTGTTTTTAAAGTGCTCCCTTTCCACAGTGCTTCCTATCTTGTTGCATGGCCTCCTTTTCTTGTTTCGTAACTAGGGATTTTCTCATTTTTCTGAAGATATTAGTTAAAATTATTTTGAATTATTTTTCTCCTTTCTCCTTTGACTACAGTATTCCCCACTTATCTGCAGTTCTTCTTTCCCTGGTTTCAGTTACCTGTGTCAACTGCTCTGCAGAAGCAGATGGCCTTCCTTCTGATGTGTCATCAGAAGTCCAATAGTAGCCTAATGCTAAATTACAATGTCTACATGATTCATCTTACTTCATCTCATCATGTAGACATTTTATCATCTCATATCATCACAAGAAGAAGGGTGAATACAGTACAATAGGATACTGAGAGAGACAGAGAAAGTCACATGCATGTAACTTTTATTACAGTACATTATAATTGTTTTATTTTATTATTAGTTATTATTGTTAATCTCTCACTGTGCCTAGTTTATACATTAAACTTTATCATAGGTAGGTATATATAAGAAAAAACATATATGGAGAGTTTGGTATTATCCATGGTTTCGAGCATCCACTGGGGGTTTTGGAACATTTCCCTCACACATAAAAGGGATGACTGTATTTCCTCCAAATTCCTTCTTTGTTGCTAGTTCTTACTTCTGTCTTTTATATCACAGAATTTTCTTATACATCATATGATTCTTGGTGAGGTTTTTTTGTTTTAGTAGCACAAATGTCTTTTCATTGCAGGTTAGAGATGTCAGTATCTGAATAAAGGATATTGGAATTCATTTCCAGCATCTAGGGAGGCCAGTGGGAGATGACTTGGAAAATCTCACCATGCAGTATGTTGACTTTTACTTAGTCTCCCTGTTTCATTAGAAAATTCACTCCTAAACTTGGCTGTGTCTGATGTCCCAGAATCTTTCTAGTTTAACCTCTCCAGAGAGTAAATGTCTATGTAGCATGGGTAAGAAATACTTGCTTGACTGTGGAGTGAGGAAAGGGATCTGTAGATCACATTGCTCTTTTTAAAGCCTTTCTACCAATTCTTCTATTTTCAACCATACTCACATTCCTGACTTTGGAGGTAACAGGTGCCTCCACTTCCTGAGCATTTTACAGTTTTATGACATGAAGTGGCTACCTTTTTTTTTTTTTTTTTAAGATTTTATTTTTGAGTAATCTCTACACCCAACGTGGGGTTCAAACTCACAACCCTGAGATCAAAAGTCGAATGCTCTACTGACTGAGCCAACTGAGTGTCCTTGAAGTGACCTTCTTGTTTGCTTCCCCTTTCAGGCTCAGTTTTCACCTTTTATGGTCTTTCATCTACTTTCTATTTTTTGAAATTTAACTGACACCTCTTATCTGCTATAATGTTCTCTACTCTTCTCTTAGTTTTTGCGGATTATGCCTTTTTAAATTTCTTTTACATCTTTTTAGTATTTTAGGAAGTCGTAAAGATAAATGCAAATATTAAAAAAGTGCAGTGTTTATCCAGAAGCTCAAAATATGTATCTCTGTCTTATCTACTCAACCAGATTATGAACTTTTTAAGTGCAGAGATTCTTTTATTTTAAGCAGTAAGATTCTGGCATATATCTCTATAGTTCCTGAATATAGAAATTGTTTTAATAAACATTGCTGGGTTTTTGAAATAGAAAATCTAATAACTATTATCTTTATTTTATATTTTAAAAAATTTCTCATATTTCCATTGACATCATTTTATTATCCTCACCATCATCATAAATAGGCATTGTTATTAACTTATTTCATAGATTATATCTGAATTATTGATCAGACTGAGTCAAATTAATAAAGTGTTTATCCACATAATGTGAATGTGTACTGGGAACCTCTTACCATCAAAATTTTCAGGCTTGTTTGAAGTAATAACCACTCTGTGAAGCCTTAGACAGTCCAGGGATAGTTGGTCAATATCTCCTTTGTACTTTCATAGCAATATAGATATTATTAATATTAGAGCACATATCATAGTGCATAGCATTTGTGTTTTTGTTTTGTATGTGCTGTCCATCTTTACACTGAGTGATTTTAGGACGTGGACTTTGTCTCCTTCATCTTTGTAACTCAGAGCCCAGTATTATGTCTAGTATAATGGCAACCAATTAACTTTTACTGGGTGTATGAATACCTCATTGGCAAAATAAACACTCACCATCAAGTGGCAAACTCTTCATCAACACAGGGTTATCCTTTAGCCTGAGTCTTAACCCTATGTTTCTCAGAATATTTTCCAGGTCTTCAGAGTTAACTTCTTCCCCTTAAAAAAGAAAACAAAGGTAAAAGCCCAGATTTCAAGCTTTAAGTCATCATCATCATCAACTATGTTTGTGTAGCATCATTCTCAAATATAGAATAAAAAGCAATGGAAACATTAAGTGTTGTCTAATTACAGAAAATTAGGAGGGAGATTCAGAAATAGAACTTCCTTTTTTAAGATTTTATTTATTTATTTGATGGAGAGAGACACAGTGAGAGGGGGAACACAAGCAGGGGGAGTGGGAGAGGGAGAAGCAGGCTTCCCGCTGAGCCTGAAGTGGGGCTCGATCCCAAGACCCTGGGATCATGACCTGAGCCGAAGGCAGAGGCTTAATGACTGAGCCACCCAGGTGCCCAAGAAGTAGAACTTCTTTTTGGTAAAAGGGGGCTCATCAATGTACAGTATGTACTCATCAAGGTACAGTATGAAGAAAGTTGGGTGTTCTAACAGCCCACTAAATTAACTGGTGTAAATAATTCTGCCAGCATGTAATATTTGCTCTATTGTTTAATTTTTGTCTAAATTATGAGCTTGTTCACATGGTCATATTACCTGTATGTGTAATCTGCCTTGGCATTTCACTATTAGAATAGTAGAAAATAAAATTATATTATTGAAAACTCTAAAGAACATAGGGGTTGTTATTTATGTATTACCCTGCAGCCTTTTGAATAAGATGTAGGTAACAACTGATTATAATAATGAATAACATTTAATTTATAAGGTTGTTTCTTTAGTTACATGTACATTACCAGTTAAAAGAAATATAATGACAGGATTAATATATCATGGATAAAATAACAGAAAATACTTTAAAAATAACTTCTTAAGTATTAAGAGATCATTTTTATTACGCCTTATCATAATTTCTTCTCACTCACCCAGAAGTTCACCCACTTCATCTAGAAGTTTATCCAGTTTAACTCTTCTCTCCCCTATAAGGCAAGACAAAATTTAGATATAGTCCTGCTATGAACTGAATTGTGTCCCCTCAAATTCATATTTTGAAGCCCTAACCTCTGATATGACTATTTGTAGATAAGGTCTTTAGGAGGTAGTTAAGGTTGTGAGGCCCCAATCTGATAGGATTGTGACCTTATGAGAAGAGGACAATACCCCTTTCTGTCTCTGTCTCTCTGTTTCTCCCCCTGTCTTTCTCCACCTTTTCTATTTCCCTGCCATGTGAAGACACATTGAGAAGACAGGCTCTGCAAGCATAGAAGAAAATCCCCCTCAGGAACTGAATCAGCTTGTACACTGATCTTGGATTTCCCTGAATCCAGAACTGTGAGAAAATAAATTTCTGTAATGTAAGTCACAGACTATGGTATTTATTTATGGCAGCCCGAGTAGACTAATACAGGTCCCCATTACATAAAATTCTTAAACTGTGGAGTAAAGCATAAGGATTTATCAGTTGCCCAAAGCTGTTTCCCCACCCCCCCCATTAGATATTTTATTTTCACACTATAGAAGCACAAGGTTGAAAAAAGAAAAAAAAGCTAAATATGGTAGATGCGTCTGTTCTATTCATTCAACTTTTTCTTTTTGTGTTCCTCATTTACCAGAATGGAAGAAGAGAGATTATTTTCATTTTTTGTTTTTTTTTATGTCAGCTTTATTGAAGTATAATTAGCCTATAAATTTGTAATATATTTAAGGCATACATCATGGTAATTTGATATATGTATACATGAAAGGAATCCCCCACCTAGTTAACTAACACATCTATCACCTCACATATTTATCTTTGTGTGTGTGTGAGAACATTTGAATTTTCTACTCTTTTGGCAAATTTCAGTTATATAATATAGTGTTATTAACCATATTTTACATTTGGTCCTCTGACCTTGCTTGTCTTGTAGCTGAGAGATGGTGTCCTAATGCCATTTTGTTAATAATTATTTTCTGGCTGTTTCATAATTCCTTTGATCCCTTCTTCTCTTGGTCTTTTCCTTTGTAATTGGATTATTTTCTTAGTGGTATGGTTAGAGTCCATTCTCTTTATCTTTTGTGTATCCACTATAGGTTTTTGCTTTGTGGTCATTACAAGGTTTACGTAAAACATATTTATAACATTCTACTTTAAGCTTATAAGAACTTAATGCATACCAAAACTACACGTTTTTACTCTCCCCGTTTTATAAAGCTTTTGTTCTTACAACTTATATCTTTTTCCTGTGTATCCACTAACAAATTAATGTAGTTATAATTATTTTTAATACTTTTGTCTTTTAATGCTCATACTAGATTAGTAAGTGATTTATCTTTGAATATTACATTAGAATATTCTGAAATTAACTGTTTACCTTTAGTCGTGCAATTTATATTTTCATATGTCTTCCTGTTACTAATTAGCATCCTTTAGTTTAAATCTGAAGAAGTTCCTTTAACATTTCTTGCAAGGCTACTCTAGTGGTGATGGACTACTTCAGCTTCTGCTTATCTGGATCAGATCATGATCTGAGTTGAAATGAGTCAGGAGCTTAACTGATTGAGCCACCCAGGTACCCCTGGAAAACTCTTTATCTCTCTTTCAATTCTGAAGGACAGCTTTGCCAGGTGAGTATCTTTGGTTGGCAGTTTTTTTTCTTCCTACAGTTTGAATATATAATGCCATTCCTCTCGAGCCTGCAGAGTTTCTCCTGAAAAATCTGCTGATGGTCTTATTGGAGGTGGGGGGGGGGTTTCCTTCTATATAATACATTTTTTTTTCTTTCTACATTTAAAATTCCCTCCTTCCTTTTAACTTTTAACAATTTAATTTTAATGTATCTTAGTGTGGCTAGTTTTGTTTCATCTGATCTGAAACTTCCTGAGCTTCCTGGAGCTTCATGTCTGTTTCTTTCCTCATGTTAGGTAAGTTTCCAGGCATTATTTCTTTCAATAGACTTTCTGTCCTTTTTTCTCTCTCTTCTCCTTCTGGGAGATATTGTGAAGTATGAATATTTGTTCACTTCCTGGTAGCCCATAAATCCCATAAGCTATTTTCACTCTTTGTCATTCTTTTTCTTTTTGTTCCTCTGTTTGGGTAAATTCCACTGCCCTGTATATGAGTTTGCTAATTCTTTCTTCCACTGATCTAGTCTGCTGTTGAACCCCTCTACTGATTTTTTTAGTTCAGTCATTTTATTCTCCAGCTCTGGGATTTCTGTTCGGTACTTTCTTATGTTTTCTATCTGTTGAAATTCTCACTTTGTTCATGCATTGTTCTCTTGACCTCAGTGAACATCAATTTTATGATCATTATTTTGAACTCTTTATCAAGTAAATCAATTATCTATTTCATTATGGTCTGTTTCTGGAATTTTATCTTGTCCTTTGGAACATATTCTTTTGCTTCTTCATTTTCCTTAACTCCACTGGTTTTTGTACCTTACATAAAAGTGCTACCTCTTTTATTCTTAAAATTTTTATTTTATTTCAAGTTTTTATTTGAATTCCAGTTAGTTAACATACAGTGTTATATTAGTTTCTGATGTACAATATAGTGATTCAGCACTTCCATACATCACCCTGTGCTCATCACAAATGCCCTCCTTAATCCCCATCACTTAGTTGACCCATCCCCTCACTCCCCTCTCCTCTGGTAACCATCAGTTTGTTCTCTACAATTAAGAGCCTGTTTCTTAATTTGTCTCTGTCTCTCTTATTTTTTTCCTTTACTGTTTGTTATGTTTCTGAAATTCCACATATGAGTGAAATCCTATGCTATTTGTTTTTTTCTGACTTATTTCACTTTGCATAATACTCTCTAGCTTCATCTAGCTCCATCTATGTTGTTGCAAATAACAAGATTTCATTCTTTTTTATGGATGAATAGTATTCCTTTTAAAAATATATAAATTTTATGTGGTATACATACACATATACATATATGTATATGTGTATGTATACATACACACATATATATATGTATATGTGTATGTATACCACATCATCTTTATCCATTCATCAATCAATGTCTTGCTAGACTGGTCTCATGTAGGAGATAAACCTTACTGTTACACTTAGCCTGAGCTCCTTGTTGTCTCAAACCTTTGTGATTATCTAAGCTGCCCTCTTTGTTTTCAGTGGCTACCAGTAGTTGAGGGTATGTCCAGATTTGTCAGTGTTCCAAAATGGAAGATCCCAGTCAACATCTAGACGTAGGCTGATTTTTTCATTTTTTAACTTGTCAAATATTTGCTGGATGCCTCCTTATATGCCAGGCCCTATTTTCAGTGCTGGCAATACAAAGCAAACAACATTAAATCTCTGCTTCTGTTGCAGCAATTACTAAAGTCAAAGCAACCACTGGGTTATGAATAATTTCAGACCAAACAATAGAGCATTGCAATAAAACAGAAATTTATTTAAAGTGCTTTTACTATCTCCCTGTTCCTTGGCTCTCTTTGGTTTATCACTGTATCTTTGTTTCTTTGAATATATATATATATTATATATATTCATATATAATATATATATATATATATATATATATATATATATATATATATAATCTTTAAAGATATATATATATCTTTAAAGATTTTATTTATTTGACAGAGAGATCCCGAGTAGGCATAGAGGCAGACAGAGAGAGAGGGGGAAGCAGGCTCCCCATAAAGCAGAGAGCCCGATGCAGGGCTCGATCCCAGGACCCTGAGATCATGACCTGGGCTAAAGGCAGAGGCTTAATCCACTGAGACACCCAGGTGCCTGTCTTTGGTTATATTTTTAAAACTCAGATCTTGGTACCTTTACTGAGCAGGGGCAATGATATTTATTTTGAGACATTCAGTTAGATTATCCTCTAGATAATTTAGGGTCGGGCCATATTCCAATTCCAACAGGAGTTTTATATAATCTTGCTTGACTTATGTGTTACAGAATTATGAGAAAAGGGTTAGAATTAGAAAAGAAATAGGAGACCACTTTTTTGAAAAGCAGAAAGTCTTGATTTTAAGCATCATCAGATCATATTAGATAAGCTTAGGTAAACCAACACTTCTAGGATGCTTATCAAATTATTAGTCAGTCAATAGAATCATTTCAAGATGTTAAAGATGCTAAGATGCTCAAGATACTAAGAGTTATATAGACTGCCCTGATCAGATGCTGTTGCTAAAAATCATGCCAAAAAGTACTAATCCCGTGGGGTGCCTGGGTGGCTCACTTGGTTAGGTGGCTGCCTCCAACTTAGGTCATGATCCTAGGGTCTTGGGATCGAGTCCCACATCAGGCTTCCTGTTCAATGGGGAGTCTGCTTCTCCCTCTACCTCTCTCCCCTGCTTCGTGTTTCTCTCTCTTGCTTGTTCTCTTTCAAATAAAATCTTAAAAAAGTACTAATGCCACATAAAGTTACTAATATATGTTTTTCTTTATATGATAAAGTTTAGCTATTTCTTTTTTTTTTTTTTTTTAGATTTTATTTATTTATTTGACAAAGATCACAAGTAGTCAGAGGCGGGGCAGGGGCAGGCGGGGCGGAAGCAGGCTCCCTGCTGAGCAGAGAACCCAATGTAGGGCTCGATCCCAGGACCCTGGGATCATGACCTGAGCCGAAAGCAGAGGCTTTAACCCACTGAGCCACCCAGGCACCCCAATTTCTTTTTTTTTTAAATAAGGTTTTATTTGTTTATTTTTGGGAGAAAGAGAGAGAGCACAAGTGGGTGGGGGTGGGCAGAGGGAAAGGGAGAAGCAGGCTCTCTGCTGAGCAGTGAGCCTAGTGTGGGGTTCAGTTTCAGGACCCTGGGATCATGACCTGAGCTGGAGGCAGATGCTTAACTGATGAGCCAACCAGGTGCTCCAAAGTTTAGCTATTTCAAAAAATTAACTGTAGTGGGGGTTGCTTATTTAAAATTAAGATTCATGGGCTCCACCTAAGACCTATTTGAACATAGTCTGGAGGGGGTGGGTAATTTCTGTGTAATTTAAAGTTTAATACCTATAAATTTATTTAATGTAACTGTTAGATATATATTGTATATATTTTGCAACAGTACAAGCAACGTTTAACAGTTTCCAGCACTTGCGGGGCACCTGGGTGGCTCAGTGGGTTAAAGCCTCTGCCTTCAGCTCGGGTCATGATCCCACGGTCCTGTGATCGAGCCCTACATTGGGTTCTCTGCTCAGCAGGGAGCTTGCTTCCCCCCACCTCTCTCTGACTACTTGTGATCTCTGTCTGTCAAATAAATAAATAAATAAATAAAATCTTAAGAAAAAAAACCCAAACAAACCAAAAAACCCCAAACAGTTTCTAGCACTCTTCCCTCCCTCCAATTTCTTTTTGTTGCTCTCTGAAATCCTTTATAATTTTCTCTCCCACCCCTCAAAAAATATAATTTTCTCTCCCACCCCTCAATGTAATTTTTTTGTTTTATTTTTTAATGTTTATTTGATCCCAACACTGACTGTCATTTCGTTTTGGTATTCTCTGGCATAGGAACTCTGCAAGCAGCAACATGAGCAATTATTGGTATTTTATCTAAGATTAATATTGAGAGAGTATATCTCCATTCTTTAGGATTGGATCTCTATAAACTTCTGGTTTTTCCATGAAATTAACAAGTGCGTTTGAGAGGTTTCCACAGAAAAAAAAAATTTCCTTATCGGGCACTGTGTACTTGAAATGCTCACCATCAATTGGCAGGTGAGTGCACAGTTCCTCAATTTCTTCCTCCTCAAGTGAGAATCCCATGTTTTCAAGAACATCGTCTAGTTTATTGACATTAACCTTTCCTCCTTAAAAAAGAAAGAGATAAGAATAAAATAAATTTGTATTTATGCCAGAGAGGGAAAAAGTGTTTGGTCGTACAAATTGACCAACACCAACAGGAAGTAAAAAGCAATGTCACCATAAAGGTCTTGGAATGATCAAAAGAATTAGTTCGGGATTAAGAGTAGAAAAATTCTCCCTCTCAATTTCCCAGAAAATACTACTACAGAAATTTCTAGGGTGGGTTTGCCCAGAAGAAAGAGAAGAACAGGCAAGACAGGTGAATTATAGCAAAGAGACAACCAATACACAAATTTCTTACCATTAAGTAAGACTTCAAGTTTGCAACAATGACAAAATACATAGGCCATTTTCCCAAATGTGATTGTATACAATTAATGATTAGCAGTCTAATCATTGAGAAATAAGAGAGATTTTAGAAAAGTAAATGCATAAGCTCGAAGATGTTTTCTCTTCCCCAGCATGCTTCTCACTCACCTTTGTAGGTCTTCACTCCATCCATCAATCTATTCTTATACACCTTTTTATTATCTGTAACATAAGGATCAATTTAGTTTACCAAGAAGTGGAAATTGAGAAAGATAGTAATACTTATTTTTAGATTTTATAAGTTATTATTAGTTATACTCCAAAGAAGGAAGCAAAGAAATGACGAAGATTCTCAAGGTAACTATCCATTCTCTGGCATCTGATGTATTATTGGTGCAACTTTGAAATTAACATTGAAACAGATTTCTTCTCTTCCTTTTTTCTAAAATATCCCTTCTTTCCCTTCTACAACTGTTTTATCACCTTTTCCCTATCTTTGGCTTTAGACTTGTTATAGATGCTGGTTCCAACATTTAAAAATGTTTACCCACAGCAGCAATACCCAAAGAGAACATTATTTGCCAAATTAAGATTTAAATGGTAAGGACAAAATATTTTATGCCAGAAGGTTCTTTCTGCATTTATTTTTCTCTTAATTTTTAAACATTGAGTTATGATTGACACAAAGATTGTGAAGTTTAAGGTGTATTGATTTGAAACATTTATATTGTAATATGATTGCCACTGTATCATTAGTTAATACCTTGATCATGTCAAATAATTATTATTTCTTTTCATGTTGGGAACAATTAAGATCTGGCTACTTAGCAATTTTAATGTTTACAATACAGTTTTGTTATCTATAATCACCTTACTGTGTACCACATCTTTAGGACTCATTTATCCACTAGTAAGTATGTATCCTTAAGTAACATCTCTCCATTCTTTTATTATGCTTCCCAGCCTGTGGTAACCACGATTCCACACCATTGCTGTGATAAACGCTGGGGTGCATGTGCCCCTTCAAATCACTATGTTTGTATCCTTTGAATAAACACCTAGTAGTGCAATTGCTTCATCGTAGTAGCTCTATTTTTAACTTTTTAAGGAATCTTGACACTTGTGTTAAGAGTGGCAGCTACAGTTTGCATTCTCACCAACAGTGTAAGACGGTTCCCCTTTCTCCACAGCCTCACCAACATCTGTCATCACTTGTTCATTTTAGCCATTCTGACCGGGGTGAAGTGGTATCTCATTATGGTTTTGATTTGTATTTCCATGATGCTGAATGATGTGGAGCATTTTTCCCTGTGTTAGCCATTTGTATGTCTTCTTTGGAGAAATGTGTGGTCATGTTTTTTGCCAATTTCTTAACTGGATTTTTTGTTTTTTGGTGTCGAGTTTGATAAGTTCGTCGTAGATTTTTGGATAGCAGTCCTTTACCTGATACATCAATTGAAAGTATCTTCTCCTGTGACATAGGTTGGCTTTTAGTTTTGTTGATTGTTTCCTTTGCTGTGTAGAAACTTTTAATCCTGACAAAGTCCTAATAGTTCATTTTTGCTTTTGTTGCCCTAGCCTCTGGAGACATGTCTTGTAGGAAGTTGCTGCAGCTAAGGTGAAAGATTGTTGCCTGTCCTCTCCTCAAGGATTTTGATGGATTCCTGTCTCACATTTAGGCCTTTTGTCCATTTTGAGCTTATTTTTGTCTATGGTGTAAGCACGTTTCATTCTTCTGCAAACTTCCAAACTCATTCCACAAGGCCAGCATTAATTACCTTGATCCCCAAACCAAGGACCCCACTAAAAAGGAGAATTACAGACCAATATCCCTGATGAACAAGAATGCAAAAATTCTCAACAAGATACTAGCTAATCAGATCCAACAGTACATTAAAAGGATTATTCATCATGTCCAAATGGGATTTATTCCTGGGCTGCAGGGATGGTTCAAATCCACAAATGAATTGACATTGATACACCACATTAACAAAAGAAAGGATAAGAACCCTATGATCCTCTCAAAAGATTCAGAAAAAAACATTTGACAAAATACAGATCCTTTCTTGATAAAAACCATAAAAAAAAGTAGGGATAGAAGGAACATTCTTCAACAGAAGGGTGGCTACCATTTGTCACCATGCAATGCTATTATAATATCATTGACTATATTCCCTATGCTGTATATGTGACTTATTCATTTCATAACTGGATGCCTGTATCTCCAGTTATTGTACTTCCCCTCACCCATTTTGCTCATCTCCCACCTTTCCCTCTCTGGCAACCATCAGTTTGTTCTCTGAATGTATACATCTGATCCTGCTTTTTGTTTGTTTGTTTAATCTTTTTTTATTTAAAAATTTCACATATGAGTGAAATCAAATGGTATTTGCCTTTCTCTGTCTGACTTATTTTGCTTAGCCTAATATCCTCTAGGTCCATCCATGTTGTTGCAAGTGGAAAGATTTCATTTTTTATGGCTGAGAAATAATCCATTGTATATATATACCACATCTTCTTTATCCATTCATCTATCAATCTTGGGCTGTTTCCATATCTTGACTATTATAAATAATGCTTCAATAAAGGGCGCACATATCTTTTTAAACTAGTGTTTTTGTTTCTTTGGTGGTGTAATTGGTGGTGGAATTATTAGATCATATGGTATTTCTACCTTCAATTTTTTGAGGAACCTTCATACTGTTTTCCACCATGGCTGTGCCAATTTACATTCCCAATGATAGTGCACAAAGGTTCCCTTTTCACCACATCCTTGTCAACACTTGTTATTTCTTGTCTTCTTGATTCTATCCATTCTGACGGTTCTAAGGTTATATCTCAGGGAAATGCAAATCAGAACCACAAGATGTTACTTTACACTTATCAGAATGCCTTTAAGCTTTTATGATTTCTTTCTGGTTCTTAGAATTCACTAGGTTGGCTATTGAGAACTTTTGTTTTCCACTAGGTGGCGCTATAGCTTAAGTTTATGGTTTTCGCCCCTAGTGACTCCTGGTAGCTTGTTTTCGGAGCGTGCGTGCTTACTGCAGCAGCTCTCTGGAAGGATGCACGTGTGGCCCTTGCACATGGAACTAACAGCAGAATAGGGGGAGGTGTGGGTTCAGCATCTGAGCACTGGGGATGCCTGACAACTACAGAGAGATCCCAAGGTATGGTACTCGCAGAGGCTCACGGGTTGACTTCCTGCTGAGTGCAATCTCTTGAATGCCAACTGAAAATCATCTCTGCCTCTTTGCCAGTCAGTGAGCTCTCCACTTAGTGCTGTGGGTGCTGGTGGAGAAAAATGGGTTTTCTCAGCTGGTCCTGCTCTGCTGCGGCAGCCAAGCCCTCACTCACTGCTTTCCTTTCCCCTGTGGGAAAGGTCACTGTGGCCCATGTACCACTGCCTTGGGGGAGAGTGGTGCCGGGAAAGTTTCTCTTTACAGCCTCCACTGTGGCCAAACTCATATTTGTCTTTCTTTTTCTCTGATGCTGTGCTGGAGTCTCCCTCCTGGAAGGCTGGACTTCTTCTGCAAGTTCTCATGCCTGGGTCAGCACTCACCAGATCTTTGCCTGACAGCATGAGAGAGGTGTAGGCAATTTTGCTGACTGTGTTGGTTCTGCAGCCCTGTATAGAGGTTGCTTGTCTCTTACAGTTGCACTGGTGATCGAGGCTCCTCCTGGGTCCCTTGGAGTAAGGTGCTAGTTCCAAAACACTCTTGTTTGTGTCTGGGTGTCCAATTCATTGATCAAAAAGGGCGATTATAGAGGAGGAACAACTTACATGCCATGTTGCTGATGTCATTCCTTTTAAAAATTTTAATAGCACTTTAAAGAGTTATGTTTCCAGAATCTTATACAATAACTAAATACTCTCTGAAATCCATGGCCATGCTGGAAATGCTTACCATCCAATGGCAATATGTTCAGCAGCTCCTGGCTTTCTTTCTTTGTTAATTCAATCCCTACATTTTCCAGATAAAGTTGTGTGTCACTGGCATTAATTTTACCACCTTTAAAAAGATGGGAAGTGTGATATGTGAATTTTCATATATAATAATTCTACTTTAAGATAATTATAATAAAACAGCACTATCTCAACTCGTTAGAGATACAACGCAGAAGAGCAAGGAAACAATGGGGCCTGCCTAATTGCATCACAAGAAGGGGTTAAAAAATAACATGATTGCTTTAAGTCTTGTCAAAAGAATGTTTTTATTAATGCTCTAAAAAAATAGGGACAAGCCAACCAGCCTATAATAAAATACACTTCTTAAGAATATGATACTTCTAAAACCATCTATCTTATCTAATTTGTTTTATCTAATAAAACATCTATCTATAATCTTAAAAACAAATGTGTCATCACTATACTAGTAAAATAAGGCTTCTGTATAGTTTTGGAATACTGGGATATACAATTAAAATATGGTATGTATGTACAACAAAGGATCTGGATTTTACATCTTTTCATCATTACTTCTCACTCACCAGAAAATAAATTTGCTGTACCCATAAAGGAGTTCAGTGCAATCTTTCCATTATCTGAAATACAAATCATAAAGCATATGTTAATAAAATATGTATTGCTATTGGGAATAAGGTCCAATTTTTCCATGAAATTTTCCAAGTTGTCATTCCTTACATAGAGGAAATTTGTTGATTTAAACATTTTCTTTTATATCCAACCACAATATAGAATTGTAAAGAAGGTGTTTTAACAAATACTAAATTAGATCTTTAACAAATACTAAATTACATCTTTAATTCTTTTCCATTTGATCCTCCTTTTCACCTAACAGATATCTCTTTGGTGCCATATTGTTGCTCTAAAGTCAGATATCACTGAGCCTCTATTTTAACCCAACGTGACATTCGTTTTTGTTAAATGAGAATATGATAGTCTCTAGTTGTACATTACATACGAAACAATTCCAGACCTTTTTGAACTCATTTTGGTTTTGTCAATTTCTGACCTTTTCTGACATCTATTTCAATAGCTTCTGTTGTTTTCCTCTGAAGAGCTGTTTTGTTTTTCCTAGCTAAATTTGTCCTATTGGTCCTCTGACAATATTGAGAATAATAACAAGAAGTCATATTTCTCATCTTCAAGGATTATAACTCTATAAGTACTTCTAATTTTCTAAGTGAAATTCAATAAGAGTATTCAGATTTCCTGAGAAGATTTCAAAGATTTTTCTGATAGGAAGTGTAAGTGATAAATGAAATACTCACTGTCCCTTTTCAGATGATTGACTAGATCTTGGATTTCTTTCTTTTCAAGGTCATAGTTCAAGTTTTCCAGAATGGTTTCTATTTTATTCTCTAAAATTTTCCCACCTTAATAAAGAAAGAGGTGAAATAAAAATGTGAATTATGCCTAAAATTAAAAGAATTCTACTTAAGTCTACGAACCAAACCCTAATGGGAGGGAGAAAAGCAAAGTTGCAATGCAGATGTTCAAGGAAGACACAAAACTAAGGTGGCAGGGGGCAGGGCTGGGGAATGTGAAATAAAGAACATGCCCTTACACATGTTATAAGACACCCTGTTAAAATTCATTATAGATATTTAAAGCAAAGAAAATAAGTGAAGCCAATTACTCATTTTTCATTTCTTATTGATAATTGGGGGATATGTCAGAAACAACAGCCATAATTCTGGCTACTGAGCTTGAAATCTGCCACTATAACAGTAAACTATTTCTACAAATTTACTGGTTACTTGAACTTGAGTTATAAGTCATAAAGGAGAATGAAAAAGGTTAATAACCTAACTGTTAAATATCACAGAGTGGTTAGGAATATGGGTTCAAATTCTCTTCCACTGTTGAAACTGTGTGACCTTTGGCAAGTGAGTCAATATCTCCCACCTGTAAAATGGTGCTAATGTTAATTAAGTACATATCTCTTAGGACTTTTGTGATAATTAAATGAGTTGCTAGATGTAAAGTATTTAGGACAGTGCCTGGCATTATAATCAAGAGAAATTAGCTATTGTTATTATTAAGCAATTAAAAGGATTTCCAAAAGGAAACACAAAACTTCAAGATCTCATTTTTACTTGATTTCTTATTTTTATCATATTTTTATTCTTATCTTATTATGCTTATCACTCACCTCGGAAAGTCTTTAAACCATCTAGCAACCGACTGCGATAAACCTTTCCATCAGCTATAAGAGAAGTCATAATTGATGTCATGGAGAAAGTGACACAGCAATTCAGAATGAGAGTACAGACTATTCTTTTTTTTTTTTTTTTAAGATTTACTTATTTATTTTAGAAATAGAGAGAGAGAGAGTGCATGAGTGGAAGTAGGGGAAGAGGGAGAGAGAGGAGAAACAGACTCCCCACACTGGGCTCTATTCCAGGACCCCACGATCATGACCCTGGCTGCCAAGAGCTGGACACTTAACCAACTGAGCCACCCAGGTGCACCCAAACTATTTCATAAGGACAATAATGTCACATGATTGGCCTTATAAATTGATCTAATTTCTTTTTTTTTTTAAGATTTTATTTATTCTTTCGATGGAGATAGTGAGAGAGAGAAAGTGAACACACAAGCAGGGGGAGAGGCAGGCAGAGGGAGAGGGAGCTCCGCTAAGAAAGGAGCCTGATCTGGGGGCTCAATCCCAGGACCCTGGGATCATGACCTGTGCTGAAGGCAGATGCTTAACCAACTGAGCCACACAGGCACCCCCAAATTTATCTAATTTCTTATCTATACATCCTTCTCTTCCTTGGTTTTAAGAATAAAGGGAAGGAATAGAGTAAGGTTTTAAATTTATCCATTTCACTATTCTGAAAATTTGTATCTCTGATTTGACTTTTTTACATGACTTCCTCTCCAGTCCCCTCCCACCCCCCAACAACTTCTTTCTCTCTATGCTTTAGGACTGTCAGACATTTCAAAGTCAATATCCTAAACTAAAATTTATTAATTTAAAAATCCCAATTTCTTTATGAAGTTCTCAAGCTAAAGGCCAATAGAGTCAGCTCCACCCCCTACAGTTGCCTCCATGAGGGCAAAGGTTTTTGTCTGTAATTCTACAACCTAAGAAGTGCTCAATAAATACATTGACTCTAAATATATACTTAAAAGTTTCATGATTCCCCACCTACCCCAACAATATATACACTCAAACTACATTATCCTAAAGGCAACAGCAGTGTCAGAAATGCTCACAAGTAATTGGCAGAGTTTTTAGCAGCTTCCAGCATTCTGTAGGTGTGAGTTCTATCCCTAATTTTTTCAAAAAATCACCTACTTCATCAACATGAATCTTGATTCCTTTGAAAAGATGGAAATTATGACTGATGAAAAACTTAAGAGTGATAAGTGATTCTAAATTATGAATTTTATCTAAGTTTAATTGCAGAATTGAGAACAGGGTTGACAAAAGTGCTGAATCAAGACTCTAAGCGACTTTCAAAAACAACTAAATCTCATAATTCTAGAGAGGAAAAAATACATTTTGAATGCTCTTATAAAAGTGGGATAAATTGACACTCTGAAATGGGAGTTGTATAAGACCAGAACCACTTATCTAAATGACTATATAAATAATTCTATAAAGATGGCATCTATATTACATTTTATTTGCCTATGTGATAAGTTAATCAGAAAAAAGATTTATACCAATGTCTTACCATGCCAATTATTGTGGCAACATAGATTTTTGGCTGTTCAAACAATGGAAAGTGATATGCAGTATTGAAAAAAATTCCAGAGAACACTGGATATTTTACTAAGACATAAAAATTCAGCAGTTTTGCTCAAAAAGCGTATAGCCCAAAAGTAATCTGGATCATTATATAAAAGATATCACTAATGTACCAGGAAGAAGAATAATGTCAGTATTATAGGAATAAAATGTTTAAAAGCATAACAGAGAATTATCAGAATATAATGACTTTTTCCTCTAAGTTTTCACTTACCTTTGAATGGATCTACATTTTTCATGAGCGTATTCAGTTTAACCTTTTCATCTGTAAGATAACATACAAATGAGACCCAGCCATAATGACTCAGCTCCAGAAAACATTATAAACAGTTTATATTGTAAAACAAAACACTGAAATGTAGAAACTTAAACCAATTTGTTCTATAAATGTATCCTCGATAAGCATGGAATTGTTGGATCAAATTCTAAATATGGTAAATATAGAACACCGAAGAAGAAACTGTAGTATAAAATACCAAATTCTATACATAGCAGAGCTAGGAAGTTTTTGTTTGTTTTAGTTTCAGGTGTACAATTTGTTGATTCAACATTTCCATACATTATCCAGTGCTCATCACAAGTGCCCTCCTTGAACCCCATCAGCTACTTAATCCATCCACCCAACGATCTCCCTTCTGGTAACCATCGGTTTGTTCTCTATAGTTAAGAATCTGTTTCTTGGTATATGTGCTGTCAAAGCGAGCACAAGAGTCTGTTTCTTGGTTTTCCTCTCTCTTTTCTTCCCCCATGGTTGTTTGTTTTATATCTTTAATTGCACATGAGTGAAATCATATTGTATTTGTTTTTCTCTGACTTATTTCATTTAGCAAAATTTTCTCTAGCTCCATCTATGTTGCTGCAAATGGCAACACTTCATTCTTTCTTTAGGGCTGAGTAATATTCCATTGTATATATATACACATCCCATCTTCTTTATCCATTCATCAGTCCATGGACATTTGGGCTCTTTTCATAATTTGGCTATTGTTGATAGTGCTGCAATAAATATCGTGCTGCATATATCCCTACAAATGAGTATTTTTGTATTCTTTGGGTAAATACCAGCAGTGGTAGGAAGTTTTAAAAGTATCAGTGGACCTGCTTTCCATTTGGCTTGTTCTATTTTAGAATCCAGGAGTACCGTGTCTGGCCACCTTACTATCACAGGATTTAAAAGCAGTGTATACTGTAATATCAGTGTGTTCACCTACTTAAAATATTGTAGATTACTACTTCCATGTGCAGCCTTTACTTAGCACATTCTTCATGCTCCAATTCCACAGCCATCAGATTTCCAATCTTTTCTGAATCCCTCATTTAATTTGTGTAATTACTGGTCGAAAATTTCATTTCTAGGGCCACGTCACACAGCCCCCTGACGGTATCATTCATATCAGAGTCTTTGAAGCCCTGCCTACCTCTCTTATACAAGGCAGTATTATTTAGTAGAAAGGGAAAACCTCTCAAGTCATATAAACCTCTATAGGCTTCTTTAAGAGCATCTTTGCTTCGCCACTGAGCAGCCATGTGGATATGAGCAAGTCAATTAGCTTCTGTACTGAACCTCAATTTCCACATCAGGGTAACTAAGATAATAATCTACCTTTCAGAGTTGTTTTGAGGACTATCGATAACATATTTCAAGTACCAAATATTGTTTGTGGCATACAGTAGCACTTAATACTTTATAATTATTGAGGAATGATGCCAGTATCATGGCAGCATAAGACATCCCTCTTTTTTGTCCCCCCTTTAAACAACTAAATTCAGCATCCGTCCATGAACAAAAGTATCTCTGTTGGGATTGTGGGATCCAGCACCATTTGCCAAGGAACCCAGTAGAAATTTACCCACATGGGTATTGAGTAACAAGGAGACAGACCATGGTACGGGTTAAGAACCAGCCCCAGCCTCTCTCAGGTGTGGCTGGGAAATCCAGGAGAGTGATGACTTGGGCAGACACCCACAATGGGAAGGCTTTGTGGAGGTCCAGCTTTCCTGAGGGGAGATTCCAGTACTCTACTGGAGCAAAACAATATGAGTTTGGATGCGCTGGAGTGGGTGAGAGGAATCCTGCTAGGGCTGCCCCACCCACAAGGCAACACACTGCAGAGCTGCACTACTAGCTGGTGGCAATCTCTCCCCAGGATGGGGGAGGAGGGGAAAGAAATCTGGGAGTGATTTCCTAGCTACTCCAGTTGTATGTAATGCTGCTAGGGAAGCCAGTTTTTCTCCTGCAGCACCCAAAGTGTTGAGGTGGTGCCTCTGTGACTGGCGAAAAGGATGAGATCAGGAATGGGCAGATAATATTAAAGAGCATTAAACAAATGTGGTTTCTGTTGACTGCCTTCAGGACTCAGTAGGGAAGCTTGTCCATGAACTGCTGGGAGAACCTTACTTGAAGACCTCCACACCTGGCCTATGGGCACTTCCAAAACCACTAAATCCCTACTTCCCCCCAACTCTGCAGCAGCTGCCTGTGCCTGCTCACGAACGTGGTGTTGAGAGTAAACCGGGAGTGCCCTCAGAAAACATTCCACGGTCTGTGGGCAAGGGAGAAACCGCAAACTTGAGTTGTAGCTCCACCTTTTGGAAAACAAAAGAGAGGTTTTCTTTCAACAGACCGCCTGATGTGTTTTAAGAACCAGAAAGGATTACAAGCTTAAGAATTCTGCCAGAAGAGGGAGCAAGAAGTGTGGAGCAGGGGTATCCATACAGTGTTGGAGGAAGTCCCAGAAATAAGCAGGACCAAGGAAAGCTATCTCCCACCTGAAGATAATCTTCAAGACAAGTAGAGCTTTGGAGGAAGTGATTACTGTCTTTTCTGCCGTTATACGTTCCTTCTTTTAGTCTAGTTAAAATTTATGGTGATTTAAAGGATTTTTATTTTTTTTTTTTTCTCCTGACTGTTGTAAAATTTCTTCTTTAACTTTCCTTTGTTTCATTTCTCCACCTGCTTCTTGGATCTGTCAATTTCTAGTTGGCATCTAGGAATTTAGTCCTGGAGCGGGGAGTCACTATTTTCTGATTTAAACACTAATGATCTGAGTTAATACCTTTTCCCACATGAATACCTTTGGAAGTTTTATTAGAGGAGCTCACTCTCCCTAAAGGCACAACAACATGCTCACCATCAGCTGGCAGACGGTTCCGCAGGTCCTCAAGTTCCTCATCCTCCAGCTCATAACCCAAGTTTTCCAGGACGCTTCCTATTTTAGAGGTGCGACACTTTCCACCTCAGGGAAGAAGGAATAGGGATAAAATATAGGAACTAATACCCAAGGAAAATGCTGGCTATATTCATACACCAATGAAACAAAGCCACAGGATGATAATTTTTAAAAAAACTGTTTAGGGCTACATGTGGGACATGTTCAACACACTCCAAAATGGAGATTAATTGTGGAAGCCAGGAATAGAATATATTCTGCCAATCTCATCTCAGGGGTCCTTTATACAGTGTGCAGGAACGATGTATTTAGAAAAAAAATCATAATTGTATTTATATATTAATTCCATATGCTACCTTTTTATATTATAACTTTTTCCGTGTCAGAAAACTCTAAATTACCACATTGGATGTTGTTGCATCTTAAGCAGATCTACAGGCTAATGGGATAATAAAATCAATAATCTAATTGTTGTATAATGATAAGGTGTTTTAAAAGTTCAACTAAAGTCTTTAGATCTTAGTTTTACTTGCCCTCTTATTGAGATTCTCACTTACCAGGAAAAGCTTTTATATAATCGAGCAATGTATTTTTCTCTATCTTTCCATCAGCTGTGAAATAAGACACATTTAAGGTAAGAAAAAAGGTTATATGGACAGTGAAAAAAGAGTAGGAAGAGCATAATTTCATAAATACATACTTTAAAAATATTTTCTTAAGTAAGAAAAAATAAGATGAAGAGAAAATTCCTAATGTGGACAGAATGACAATTCTTCTACACTGAAACAGAGATACCTTTTTCCCCCACTCTGATTTCTCCTTTTCCATCCTCTGTTACCTGCTAATTTAGCCTTTTCTCTTTGCCCTAAGCTTTATTAACCTCAGAGTAATGATATTTTTTTAAAAAAAGTCTTTGTTTTTAAGTAATCTCTACACACAATGTGAGGCTCAAAATTACAACCCTGAGATCAAGAGTCACCTGCTCTACCAACAGAGCCAGCCAGGTGCCACAGAGTAATGATACTCCGAATGGCAGGACCCCGGTATGAAGATATCATAGCCACTCAAAACTACCTAAATGTTGAAGTCATAATTTCTTTTACAAGTAAAGGTTGATCTTTTTGCCTTTTAGATTTTTACGGGAGACCAGGTGATTCCATTCTTCAGATGCCCTCACACCAAAGTGTACACTAGCACAGAGATACTCCACACATACACAATGGTACATAAACTACCTACCTGTAACTGGCAACATTTTCAACAGCCCCAAGAGCTCTCTATCTGTGAGCTCTATCCCCATGTTTCTCAGTGCTTTGTGTATGTCCTTGGGTTCAACTTTTCCTCCTTTAAAAGACAGGAATGGTAATAGATGAGGATTGCCTACTGAATCCAAATGATGAAGTATCTAAGCTTGCACTGGGTTATCTACAGTTATTTGACGTTATTTCTGTGTTCTAAATAAAATACTTATTTATAATGCTCTTAATGACCTCAGAAGAATTAGCCCAGATCATAGTAAAAGAATATATAGGAGGTGAAGTGATCTAACGTGTGTATAGGCAACCACCTAATCTAAATTTTATTATTATCACTAAAATCTGTTACTCTTTGCTTTGCCTGACTTGTGAGGTAGATTATCTTCACTGCCCACATTATTTGTATCCCTGTCAAAGTTTCACCTTAAAATTTACTGGGTTACAGTAGATGTTAGTTAAATATTTTAAGTGAATGAACAGATGTGTTGCCCATTGGAACGAGTCACAAAATAAAAATGAAGTTTCAGAGCATACAGTAACTTGTTATAAAGAAAGAGCACCACAGCATTTTTACCAAAACATAAATAATCCAATGTAATATTCATGTCATTAGGATCAACTTTAATCATTAAAAAAGTAGAAGTTAAAGGTCAATGACAGAATAAGAAAATACAACCTAAGATGTGTAGGTGAATGTGAGGTATTTGCATTTTAGTTTTACATCTTTTCACAAAACATCTTGCTCACCTGTGAATGTCTTTATTTCTTCTAGCAGTTTATGCAGATCAGCCATCCCAAAAGCTAAAAAACAAAACATTAATTCAAACAGATACAATTGTGTACTGACTGAGAAAAACTGTTAAACAGAGCAAGAGAATTAATTTTTTATGATTTATTGTTAAAGACACATATGCAGATAAGCATGAAACAGAAAACTACTGTCTAAAAATGTTTACTGTTAATTTCATTATTTATTCTCTGCTTTCTTTTAATATCTCAACCACTCCACACCATGGAACATCTCCCTCCTCAGGCTTGTTCTCTTCACTTTCTCCCACCTACTACACCAGATCCCCAGAACAAGAGCAAAAACTTCCATTTGGCACTTTAAGTCTAGCTATTTCTCTGTTTAACACTCTCCAGTACTGACACTGCCAAATTAGCTTAGTTTTTTGCATTTTTTATAGATAAGTTCATTACATACTCAAAGATTGTGAGTGCCTTTAAATGAAAAGAATATATGTATTCTGTAATTTACCTAGACATTCTAACCCAATAAGTAGCATAATGCTTTGCACATAGTAATATTAAATGCTTTAAAATTAAACAGTGAAATGGAACATGTTCGAATAACAGAATTAAGCTCTTATATCAGGATATTTTTCCAGGATTGCAGATGCAGTATATTATAGGGCAATACCCCAAACTTAGAAATTATGCATATTATTAGCATTTTCTTACCAAAAAAACCACTATTTATTACTATGGGATCCCATTCTTCCTTTGGGGTAGTTTCCAGTATGTCCTCTCCATACACTGACTTAACAGATTTGCCCCTTGGGGGCTTGTGCTACATGGACAGCACAAGGTCATTTTATTTAAAACTTCCAGTGAACTATCAGTTAACACCTACTGATTACCCTAACTGAAAGTCCTCATTGAAAGCCTTGAATAGTGGCTAAACATATTACTAAATTAATTCAATTTCTCATTCATTCAACAAATATTTATAGAGTATCAAATATCTGCGTACATGTGCAAGACACTGGCAGATACAGCAGTGAGCAACACAGACATGGCTCTTGTCCGCACAGAGTCTTCATTTACTACTTATTCCACTAAGCCTAGGTAGGAAGACACTTGATCTTTCTTTCAGCTTCTCCATCAGGACACATTTTCAGAAATCTCTCTTTTATTTTTTATTCTAAGATAGCAAGGAAAATTTGTGCTGATTTCACAGGATCAATAGCAAAGGTATGATGGATAATCGTGTATATGATGATAGTGGGAAACATTGAGGGAAGCAGAATACTATTTATTTCATCTGGGTTTAATAAACACTTATCTTAGCTCCATATGTACATAATATCCTCTAGCCTGAGGATTAAACCCAATAGCTTCTCAAATTTTTAACTGGAGATCTCAGTCTGGAATTCAGTTATTTAATTTCATCTCTCAGAAAATAAAGAGTTTGATCAATTTGTTGGATAGGGTAGTATTTTAAAACTTTTTTTTCCCATCCATAAGTATTTATTTCCTTTTCTTCTTGGAAACCTCAATAAAAGGATAGGAAAGGAATAAAAATGTAGGGGCACCTGGGTGGCTTAGAGGGTTAAGCCTCTGCCTTCAGCTCAGGTCATGATATCAGGGTCCTGGGATTGAGTACCACATCAGGCTCTCTGCTCAGCAGGGAGCCTGCTTCCCCACCCCCCCAACTTGTGATGTCTGTTAAATAAATAAGTTAAATCTTTAAAAATGTAATCACTCACAAAAAACCCCAACAATATAGGAGAAGACACCAGTGAACAAGAAACTTCACAAATATTTAGAAATTAGAAAGCAAGCAAGGTAGTGTTAACTAATTTAGCAGAGCTGAGGAAAGGGAATTATAACATGAAAGCTTATGAGGGGTTAATAATAAAACATCATAATTGAAATGTCTCTGACAGATCGTAAACTGAAGTGAATAGGAAGTAAAGCCAACCCTTTCTGGAGGAATGTGTTTCATTTTAGGTCTCAAAGAATTCTCAGAGTAATTCTTCAGTGACACTGAACAGCATATAGTAAATAACCAAACACATTGGGAAATAAGGACACCATAAGTGAGAATCAGAAGAAACAATAGTGAGAAAAAAAAGCCACAATCTGTTAACTGGAATTATGAGACCAAGATTATAAGTAATTATGTAAACTTGAAAATATCTGCAGAAAATGAAAATACATGAACTACTAGATTTGAAAGAAAACTAAGTCAAATTTCTGGAAATTGAGGATAAAAAACAAAAGAATACCCAACAAAATATAAAAAAGAATATAAACAACAGGAATATAAGAAATGAAATGAAGAAGTAAATAGCTAGATGCAATAGCAGACAAGACACAGCTGAAAAGTGAGAGTACTGGAAGTCAGGTCAGGCAAAATCATCCAGAATGACCCACGGGAAGAAAAATATAGAAAATAATGGAGACGGGTTAAGTGTCACAGATTATGGAGGGAAAAGGCTTACTGTACATTTAATTGGAGTTCTGGAGTTGGGGGAACCTATGGGGTAGAGACAATGTTGGAAGAGACAGTGGCTGAGAATTTTCCAGATCTGATGAAAAATTCCAATTCTCAGACTCAGAAGTCCCAAAGAATCCCAGGGAGAATAAGCGGAAAGGAATCTATTCCTTTCTTTCACATTACAGTGAAACTGCAGAACTAAAGAGAAATGTTTTAAAAGAAAAGAAAGATTATTCTCCAAAAACCAGTAGATTCACAGCTGACTTCTCATCAGCAACGTTATAAAGAAGAAGATAGTGGAATGATAACTTCAATGAGCTGAATGAAAATAACTGTCCACCTATAATTTTAAACCAGGAGAAAATATCTTTCAAAAATAAGGGTAAAAAAAGACAACTGACAGAATGGGAGAAGATATTCACAAATGACTTGTCAGATAAAGGGCTAGTATCCAAAATCTATAAAGAACATATCAAACTCAACACCCAAAGATGATCCAATCAAGAAATGGGCAGGGGCACCTGGGTGGCTCAGTGGGTTAAACCTCTGCCTTTGGCTCAGGTCATGATCCCAGGGTCCTGGGATCGAGCCCCACATAGGGGTCTCTGCTCAGCGGAGAGCCTGCTCCCCCCCCCCCCCGCCCCCCTCTCCCCCCTTTTGTTTTCTGTTTGTCAAAAAAAAAAAAAAAAACTTTAGGGAAAAAAAAAAAAGAGAAATGAGAAGAGGACATGAACAGACATTTCTGCAAAGAAGACATCCAGATGGCCAACAGACACATGGAAAAGTGCTCAACATCACTTGGCATCAGGGAAACACAAATCAAAACCACAATGAGATACCACCTCACACTAGTCAGAATGGCTGAAATTAACAAGTCAGGAAAGGACAGATGCTGGCGAGGATGTGGAGAAAGAGGAACCCTCCTACACTGTTGCTGGGAATGCAAGCTGGTGCAGCCACTCTGGAAAACAGCATGGAGATTCCTCAGAAAGTTGAAAATAGAGCTACACTACGACCCAGCAATCGCACTACTGGGTATTTACCCTAAAGATACAGATGTAGTGATCCAAAGGGGCACATGCACCCGAATGTTTATAGCAGCAATGTCCACAATAGCCAAACTATGGAAAGAACCTAGATGTCCATCAACAGATGAATGGATAAAGATTTTTAAAGAATATAAGAAGTATATTTCTTGGTAATTAGAGTAAGAAAATTAGAAAACTATTTTTTAAAAGATTTTATTTATTGACTTGAGAGAGAGAAAGAGAGTATGCAAGAAGGGGGTGGGAGAGGGACAAGCATACTCTATGCCCAGTACAGAGCCCAATGTGGGGCTCCCTCCCAGGACCCTGAGATAATGATGTGAGCCAAAACCAAGATGCTTAACTGGCTTAATGACTGAGGCACCCATAGAAGGGTATTTTTAAAGTGTATGTATGCTATGTAATCTTTACACTCAATTGGGACTCAAACTCACAACCCTGGTATCAAGAGTTGCATGTTCTTCTGACTGGGTCAGCCAGGTACTCCTGGAAGACTATTTTATTTTATTTTTATTTATTTTTCTTGTTATGTTCAGTTGGCACTGTATAGTACATCATTACTTAAAAAATTTTTTTTTACATCATTAGTTTTTGATGTAGTATTCAATGATACATTAGTTGCTCATCACAACACATGTCCTCAATACCCACCACTTGACTATCTCATCCCCCCATCCCTCTCCCCTCTGAAACCCTCAGTTTGTTTCCCAGAGTCCATAGTCTATCATGGTTCATCTCCCTCTCTGATTTATCCCCCTTGAGTTTTCCCTCCCTCCCCTATGGTCCTCCATGCTATTCCTTATGTTTCACATATGAGTCAAACCATATGATGATTGTCTTTCTCTGCTTGACTTATTTTACTTAGCATAATCCCCTCCAGTCCCATCCATGTTGATGCATATGGTGGATATTCATTGTTTCTGATGGTTGAATAGTATTCCATTGTATATATGGACCACATCTAGAAGACTGTTTTAAAGAGAATGTAAAGCATGGCTGTTTAAAAGTTCCTAATGTAGACCAGGGAATAACATAAGCCAGTGCAAAAAGACAGGGAGAAGGGATCGGGAAGTTGGTATATCATATAGGTATAGAGGAACTGTTAGTTCATAACCTTGAAAGCTTCCTGGATGAAATCTAAAACTGGCCCCCATAAACAGAGGGCAGAGAGAGACCAAAGAAAGAGGCAGACCATTCCAGATTGGTAGGTGGCAGATTTAATAAGCAAGGGAATTTACATACAAAGCGTCTCCTGGGTGGCTGCAGGATGAGTAGTTATCTGCATGGACTCTCCTGAACCTTAAAAGTCACATAGAGGCCTTAACTGGGTTCGGTCATGTGTACTGTCCAGATGGCTTTGAAACACATTGCTCCCTTAAGACTGCATCCTTGAACATGACTCCCACTGTAAGAATGGTGGGCAGATCATATATTCCAGGGAGGAAGTAAGAAGCCTCTGAGTCCAGCTCAAGGGTCAACCAGTAGTCACACCCTTTTAATTACCTCCTCCAACAGGAATGTATAGCTGGATGACAAGACTTTTTTTTTTTTTAATCTTTTTCAAGTTTTTATTTAAATTCCAGTTAGTTAACATACTGTATAATACTAGTTAACATACTGTAAAATACTAATTTAGTGATTCACCACGTTCATACAACACCCAGTGCTCATCACAAGTGCCCTCCTTAACACCTACCCCTATTTAACCCATCTGCCTGATCACTTCCCTCCATCAACCCTCAGAAAACAAAATCCCTTTGTTTTCTACAGTTAAGAGTCTGTTTTACGGTTTGCCTCTCTCTTTTTTCCCCACCATGTTCATCTGTTTTGTTCCTTAAATTCCACATATGAGTGTAATCATATGGCATTTGGGTGACAAGACTTTTTTCTTAACTTTTTTTTTTTTTTTAAAGGTTTTATCCATCCAGTTGACAGAGAGATAGAGATCACAAGTAGGCAGAGGCAGGCAGGGGGAGAGAGAGAAGCAGGCTCTCCGCCGAGCAGGGAGCCCGATGCGGGGCTCGATCTCAGGACTCTGAGATCATGACCTGAGCTGAAGGTAGAGGCTTTAACCACTGAGCCACCCAGGCGCCCCAACTTCTTTTTTTAAATTAACATAATTCTGTTACGCTGAAAAGAAAAAAAAATAAATAAAGGAAGGAAAAAAACATATAATGTATTATTTTGTTTCAGGGGTACAGGTCTGTGATTCATCAGTCTTTCACAATTCACAGCAGTCACCATAGCACATACCCTCCCCAGTGTCCATCTCCCAGCCACCCCATCCCTCCCACGCACCTCCCCTCCAACAATTCTCAGTTTGTTTCCTGAGATTAAGAGTCTCTTATGGTTTGTGGGTGACAAGACTTTAAAAAGATATTTAAATCGTTTCCTGTCTTGCTAATTTTGGCCATTCTAACTGGTGTAAGGTGGTATCTCAATGTGGCTTTCATTTGAATCTCCCTGATGGCAAGTGATGATGAACAGGTGGTGGGTATTGCAGAGGGCACAGATTGCATGGAGCACTGGGTGTGGTGCAAAAATAATGAATACTGTTACGCTGAAAAAAATAAAAAAAAGATATTTAAATTGTGTAGTTAATCTGGAATTAGCAACCTGTTCTCTGTGGGTAATAAGCCCTCTTTCAACTTCTTTCAAGTAAATATTTATCACCTATAACTCACTCTAACACATGTACCATGCACCCTGAGATTAATGAAAATACACTGAGTCAAAATGTTCTTTTATGTTTAAAGAGTCAAAAAGAGTTAAAAAGTCGTATTAGCATCCAAACAGATCTAGTTTCAGGAATTCTCAGACATAAGCTTATAAATCTAAATTTCCCTTAAAAGGTCTCTAATATCTATGATGCTCACCATCAGTTGGTAAGTTTTGTGACAGATCTTTAATCTTCTCATCTGGGAGCTTGATTTTCATGTTTTCTAAAATTTCTTCCAGGTTACTAACATCAACCTTCCCACCTAAAGAAAGAATCAGGAACACAAGAGGAATGTAATGACTTTCCTGAAGGAGGAAATTTCAGTGAATCCCCATGCACCATAGCTAGCAGCAAAAATATCAATGACTCCACACTCAAGTGTCCACAAAGGTGGACAAAATGAAATTAGAATTATAACCTCTTCCTTGCTCTTGAGGACAATCTTACAAAGCACAAATTCATCTCCAGTGAATTATAATGGTAGAGACAACAAATTGAAAACTTCTTTCTGGTAGGTGGGGCCATAAATGCTCAGTTTAGCTCTTCTAGTCACTGAAATGCCCTGAACAGTTGCCAATTTTTACCTCACATCTTCCATGTAGACCCAGATTTAAATCTGCTCTTAAGCTAAATTTGATAAAGACCAAATTTACTAAGCAGCAAAAGGAAAGATTTTGAACATGGCATCTATATTCAAAATAGCAAAATCAGTTCAGATGAGAGGTGGTAAGATCCACAAGAGAAGAGCCAAATGATAATATGAGGCAGGAGAACCTTATTTATCTTTCTTTTCACCATGTTACTTACGATTGAAAGATTTCACTTCATCTAGCAATCTATTTTTATATACATTTCCATAATCTGTAAGAAAAAGCACAATTGATATCACAGATAAAGTAATTATAGATGTTTAAAGAAAACAAATGTATCATTTCACAAAGATACTTTTAAATGATTTGCCTTAGAGATAACTTTGATTTTTACCCTCCAGTGAATCTGGAACTCTGAGAAACCTCTCAGGGTGCTGTGTCTGACTGAGTGCAAAGCCAGCAACTGGAGGCAAACGCCTTAATGGAATATGAACACATCTTTCTTTCACTTTCTTTGGCTTTTCCTTCTTTCTCCTACTCCTTTCTACTCCTCCCATCCTTTTTTACATCTCTCAGCTTAACTTTTAGTTTTGACGGCGACAATAAAATTTTATACCCAAAGGCAAGAAAATAGAGTTGCTGATTCCCAAAGAAAGAATGAAATTACACTTCCCAAAGGAAGAACAAGGCCATGCTAAAGTTTCTTAGACTTTCTTTTTGTGGTTGTTTTAAAATTAGAATATGTAATAAATACGGCTTTTTTCTTTTTTTTTAAGTTGTCTTAAACACAAAAGATCAACTTCCCTTGAAAGCTCTCATAGTATTTGAAATGCTTACCATCAACTGGAAGACTTTTTACCAGTTCCAGGTATTCTTGAGGTGTGAATTCTATCCCAATATCTTCTAAAATATTTTTCAGATCTTTGACATTAACTTTTTCTCCTTTAAAAAAGAGAAATGGCAAGTATAGTTAACACTATTATGTAAGTATCTAAGTATTACTAAGTATTAGAGTATTCTAAGTATTCAAAAAAAATGAAATAAAATTGTCCACATTTATAAATCACCATCCCTAGCTGCCAGATGGAAGACAAAGGTACAGTAAGACCGGCTCCGTGGAGTATAGGGCAGGCAGAGAATTAGGATTTACTCCCTTGACCCTAGGGAAAGATGCACTTTCATAGCGTTGGAGCTAAGAAAGTATAATTCTCAGTAAACTGTGGATTTAAGTAATTATTGTCTTGTAAATTAGAATGTAGATGTTAACCTGATATTGCTCTCTGCTTGTCCGAAAATTATTAGATTATTTGGACAAAATCCTAATTTTTACTTCAAATATTATTGTGGTAATCTAGATCAAGGATTAGCACACATTTTCTGTAAAGAGACAGACAGTAAATATTTTAGAATTTGCAGGATATAGAGCCTCTGTTGCAGCTACTCAACTCTGCTATTGTAGCAGAAAAGCAGCCATTAATAATGCAGTTCCAATAAAACTTTATTTATAAAAAGAGGCAGGGGACTAGATTTGGTGTGTGGCCAGTAGTTTGTTTTTCCCTGATACAGATTTTCAGCTTTTCAGTGGTAAAGATCAGAAGCATTATTATTGGTATTTTAGAGGATATAGGACTTGCTACAGAGAAATGAGGAAAAAATTTAATCCAGGTAACCCAAAGACTGACTCTGGACACCTAGACACAAGCACTTGTAACAACACCCTTGTAACCACCATCTAGGTGAGAAAGAGAACACTGATAACACTCTGGGGGTCTCTCATTGTCTTTTCCAGTCCCTATCCACACTCTTTCTCTATAGGTTATCACTATCCTGACTTTTTGGACAGGGATTTTTTGCTTTTCTTTACACATTTCTCACAATTATTTAAAAAAAAAAAAAACAAGTTATAGAACCCTTACATTATTAGGGTTAGGGAACATTGCACATCATTTATGAAAGCATTTTTATAGAGGTAAATGAAGCAAAATGAAAGACTATGTTGTTATATAGGTAATAAAATTATGATTTTTTAAAAAGAAGAAGAGGCAATATAAAATTCAGGATAATGTTATCTCAAAAAGTGGGAAGGCATGGTAAAAGGAGAGGGAAGCAACCATGTGTTGATGTAATGATATTGGAAATATTCCAGTTATTTTGTTGAGGGGGAGTCATGGAAATTAGTAAAACGCTTATAGATTTACATGTTCACTGAAAAAACAAGATGGGAAAATGTCATTAAAGAATTAGAATTTTAACCTTTATGATAACTTTTTAACTTGCCTATAACTGCTGTCACATCACTCATCACTTTTTTTAGAGAAATATTTCCATCAGCTGTAATACAAAACATAAAAATGTCAGACATTGATACAAGACAGGAAAGCTTTGACATGGAGCAAAGTGAAAAGCCCATATATTCTATTAAATAATTGTGTTAACCTTAAATTTATATTCCTTGGTTTGAGCGCTTAATTCCTTATTAGTAAGGACAATGGTGTTTGGCCCATGTCCCTTGAACACAGGGACTATGTGTTCATAGTCCCTGACTATACTGACTATGACAAACGTATTATCTCCAGTTCTCAAATCTTCAGAGACTTTCTTGTAAGTATGGCAAAAGAGATCATCAATAAAGGTCAATTCATTTTGGTTTGTTTTTGGTGAACCTTACATCTAGCCCAAATACTAAGCCAGGGGCTTCACATCTTCCATCTATTTAAATAAGCTTTTCTCAAGTGTTTCAACTCTGTGTCTGTCTCAGTATGGTGGTGACATGGGCTTATTAGATATTTGAGGAAATATTAATGATCTATTAGATCCTATCATAGATATTTTTCTCTCAATTATTTCAGGCTGTCTTGGTTAGGCATTCATTCATTTCCCCCACTGTTCCCATGTTTGTTTCTCTCTACCATTCTCTGGCATGACATCAGCTGTGAATAACCTCTCAGCAGTAATCACTGTGAGTAGGGTGATAATTTCAGATGAATACAGATGAATTCAGATGAATACAGATGAATACAGGATTTCCTTTTATCTTAAGGCCAAGTTCTTCTTCATAATTCTTAAAAATATCTTAAATTCATCAAATCAATCTAGTTCTAAAAATTCTTATGTATGATCCCAAGATTCTAAGCCCTCCCCTAAAAGGCAAAATAATTGTTTACAATGCTCACCATCCATAGATTGCTTTTGTAGCACACTTTTAAGCTCCTTATTTTTGAGCTTGATCCCCATGTTCCCCAAAACTGTGTTCAGGTTATTGACATTAATCTTCCCTCCTTAGAAAGAGAGGGAGAAGTAAGAAAAAAAAACAATAAAGACACAATATGAAAAATATTTCTTGTGCTGATAAGTTAATTCAACTCTCAATATGCCTGGCTGCTGGTTAGAGTTCTAACTGGAATTACCTTATTGGAAAGTGATTTGGCAATAACTATCATGATTCTTTAAAATGTTCATAACTCTCAACCCACTAATTCCACTTTGGGGAATGCAGAAAAAGCTATGCAAAAGGAGAAGGGAAATGTTCATTATAATCTTACTTGTCACAAGTAAAGAAAGAAAAAAAAAAGAAAGAAAGAAAGAGGGAAGAAAGGAAGGGAGAGAAGGAAGAAGGAAGAACCATAATTTAAATTTCTAATGACAGGGATTGGTAAGTAAACCATTATATCTTCATTCCACAGAAAATGACATAGCCATAGCTGTTACAGAAGGTGATTGCACAGGAAAAAAATGTTATTTTATAGGGTGAAGTTGTATCATGAGGTCATTTAATATATATGAATTAAAATCGTATGCCCAGTAAAAATATACATACATGAATAATGTAAACAATGCATGTGACTCTCTCTGACATTCCACAGTCAGCAAGCACATAAATAGAGTGAATCTCAGATGGACAACATCGGTTTATTATTCCATCACGTGCATTCATTTCCCCTAAACCTATTGTACTGTAACTATTTTAAGTCAATGTGATTCTAATATTGGATGTAGCTTTAATATTGTGGCCCTTAGATAAATTAGGTTAATTGCTTAACTAATTGCTTAACTATAGGGATAACAGTGTATTCCATCACTGCAAGAAAAAGTGACTTATCAGGACTGGTATGTTGGTGTCTTTTACAGAGTCTTCCAGTGGGATTTCAGAGCACTTCTGACTCGATGAGATTATTGTTTAATTATGTAGGGCTTCAGAATATTAAGAATGGTAATGATTAGATAGTAGGATTATAGATGATTATTTTTTCTTTAATTTATATTTAGTGGGCATATAGCACCTTTTATATTGAAAAAAATAGAAGAGGGACTCCTGGATGGCTCAGTCAGTTAAGTGTCTGACTCTATTTCGGCTCAGCTGTGATCTCAGGGTGATGAGACTGAGCCCCTCATTGGGCTCCATACTGGTCATGGAGCCTGCTTAGGACCATCTCTCTCCCTCTCCTTCTCCCTTCCCCTGGCACTCTCTTAAAAAAAAAAAAAAAAGAAAAAATAGAAGAAAATTAACAGTTCACAGCTGAGCATTATGATGCTTATTTTCAGCACTGTAAAGGTTAATAGTCTAATTGGACCTATCCAAAAGACATAGGAAGACAATTGTGGAGATCCTTAGGACTGATTCCTTTGAGTCTCACACTGGGATCAAGTGTATATAGCACCAAAAAAAAAAAAAAGACTTTAAGATTAATATATAGAAGGAATGGCAGAGGAATCATGATCATGATAAAAAATACAAATACAGAGATTAAAAATCTCATATACTTTCTTATTATATTTCTTACCCACCTTTGAAGGACTTCAAAGCTGAGAGCAATCTGTTCTGAAAAACTTTCTTATCATCTGTAAGAAAAGGGACAGTTCGGGACACAGAATGAGTCACAAATAGAATCTAAGGGTCAGAGTTTCCTTTGTGTGACTAACTTTAGAAATCCATCCACTTTCACCTTCAAATCACGATGAAGTTAAGCAATTAAAAATTTCTCACTATGGTACAGAGTGATACATAGTGTAGAGGTAAAGCTTGGGTTCAAATTCTTGTTCTGCTGCTGCCTAGCTTTGTGGCCTTAAGGGAGAAACTGTGGCCTTTCTGTACCACAGTTTCCTCTACTATAAGATGGGCATAAGGTGCCATCATTTGTGAGGTGAGGACTAACTTGGCACATCATTAGGTCTCAACAAATGTTAGCGGTTATTGTTACTAGATCCAGTAATCCATCCACTAATCACACCCTCAATATAAAACCACTAATTCACAGGGAATCATGCACCCCCATGTTTATAGCAGCATTATTTATAATAGCCAAATTATGGAAGCTGCCCAAGTATGTAGTGATAGATAAATGGATAAAGAAGATGTGGTATATATGTATACTATATTATATATATATATGGAATATATATGTTTATTATATAAGTATAATATTATTCAGCCATAAAAAATAATGAAGTGTTGCCATTTGCAATGGCATGGATGGGGCTAGAGAGTATTAGGCTAAGTGAAATAAGTCAGTCAGAGAAAGACAAATACCATATGATCTCACTCATCTGTGGAATTTAAGAACCAAAACAAGCAAAGGAAAAAAAAGAGAGAGAGAGAGAAAAAAAACAGGAAACAGACTCTTAACTACAGAGAACCTGCTGTAGGTGGGGTGATGGGTGAAATAGGTGATGGGGATTAAGAAGCATACTTGTGGGCACCTGGGTCACTCAGTCAGTTAAGGTCATGAAATTGGGGTCCTGCGATTGAGCCCTGTGCTGGGCTCCTACTCAGCAGGGAGTCTTCTTATTCTTTTCCCTCTGCTCCTTTCCCTGTTTATGCTCTCTCTCTTTCTCTAATAAATAAATACAATCGTAAGAAAAAAAAAAAGAAGTACACTGGGTGATGTAAGGAATTGTTGAATGACTATATTGTACGATATATGTACATATTATACGGCACTATGTTAGCGGCATTGGAATTAAAATAAATTATATTTTATTAAATATTTATCAAATAAAATAAAATAAAATAAAAACTTGATTAAAAAAATAAATTGAGCTTGACAGAGGGAGGCATTGTCAGAGTTTAGCTCTGGGAGGGTTAGCGGCAACGCAAGGAAAAATGACTCTGGGAGAGAACAGGAATTTATGAGGACTTCTGCAACGTTACTGAGAGAGACAAGATGTAAATCCTTCTTTCCTCTCCCTTTCAAAATCATTAGTAACATCTTTCCCTAATGCTGATTTTGTGGAAAAGGATTCTTTTGACAGCTGGATTTCGTACTTGAATTGGCACAGAGTAACGGACTGTCCACACGGAAGCAAGAGCTGAAGGATGGGTGCCTGAACATATGTCACTTTAAAGTATAAACATCACAAGCAGAACCTTAAAACTGAACTTTCTGGAGGTTGTAGATGCAGCTCACCATCAGCTGGTAGTGATTTTTGTAGATCAAGACATTCCTTATCATTGACTTCTATCCCCATGTCTCCAAGAATGTTTTTTAGATCAGTGGCATCAACCTTTTCTCCTTTGAAAATAAAGTGTTTATAGGTGAAAATTTTAGAAATTAATAACTCAGTATTATGGAGGTTCAAAACTTCCAAGTTCTTGACTTATATGATACGTATTTTTAAAATATACTTAAAATAGCTTTTATTGGGGCACCTGGGTTGGAGCCTCTGCCTCAGGTCATGGTCCCAGGGTTCTGGGATCGAGCCCCTCATGAGGCTCTCTGCTCAGCAGGGAGTCTGCTTCCTCCTCTCTCTCTGCCTGCTTCTCTGCCTAGTTGTGATCTCTGTCTCTCAAATAAATAAATAAAATCTTAAAAAAAATAGCTTTTATTGCATCATTCTCAATTTGGGGTTAAAGAGCAAAGGTAAAATGGGATGTAGAAATAGTGTATCATTAGAAGTCAAAACAAACTTGTTCCTAAATTATTAATACAAGAAAGTCTCTCATAATTTGGGGGATAATGTGTAGAATAAAATCTAGTTACCAAATTGGATAATGAATTGCCAAGAGAAATAATTATGGCAAGAGATCTTATACTGACTTATGGAATTGATTGTTCACAAAATCCACATAATCTTGAGCTTTACAAAACTTTACCTTATTTATTCATATGCTTACCTAAAATTTAGCTATTTACATGTAGGCAAAGACATATATACATATATGAGAAAAACATCTCTACAGTATATAGGACTTGTTATCAAAAACAAGTTCTGTAGTTTATTTTTAAAACAGATAATTCAATGCTGAAAATAAAAAAAAAATAAAATTAAAAAAAACAGGTAATTCAAGATCAAATGGATTTTATCAGGCAGAAATATTTTACAATAACTGGGTAAGATGGTAAAATTAATATGACCAATAGACTACTGGGACAATAACATTTAAAATATAATTTATTATGAGGCATTAGGGTTTCAGTGTTATAGAAACTCACCTGTAAAATCTTTCATTTTCAGTGTCACATTTTCCAGATCAACCTTCCCATCAACTGTAAAACAGAGCAGTCAAAGACAAAGAATGAGACTGTTCCTTCTTTTTTCTCTACCTATGACACTTGTCCCCCAACTAGAATGTTGATATCATCTTGAATTTTAGTTCTAGACTATTAATTTTTCATCATACTTACGTAGGTATAAGGATAAGTTTTTAATTTTTTAAAGGATTTTATTTATTTACTTGACAGAAAGAGAGGGAGAGAGAGAGTATAAACAGGGGGAGCAGCAGGCAGAGGGAGAGGGAGAAATAAGTTCCCTGCCCAGCAGAGAGCCCCATGCAGGGCTTGGTCCCATGACCCTCAGATCATGACCTGAGCCAAACCAAGAGTCAGACGCTTAGCTGACTGAGCCACCCAGGTATCCCTTGTCTTTATATTTGAATGACATCTTAGCTGTATATAATTTTCTTTGCCACACTTTCTTTTTCAAATTTGTGGACATTATTCCATTCTTTTCTGGAATTAAATGTTGGCTTGGAAACCTATTGCCTCTCCTCCCAATCTATTACGTGCTTTCTAACATCTGTATGTTTTAAGAATTCCTATTTTTCCTCAATAAGTAAACAAAGAATTACTTCACTGTAGAATATTCTGGATCAACATTTTCTGGAACTGGTGTTGTGTCTTTGATTTGCATTCATTCCTTCATTTTAGAAAACTTTTCTTTTTTTCCTTAAACTAGATTTGATTAAAAATTTTTATTTGCTATATTCTCTATTTTAAAGATATTTGATATTCTTATGTTGGTTCACTTTGTGAATTATCCATATATACTAGATTTTTGAGAGAGAGAGAGAGAGAGAGAGAGAGAAGTTATCTATCCAATTTGCTTTACTCTAGATCTGGACATTTTAGTGAGAAACCTCTGGATTTTACCAGGTTAATTTCTGAGGGAGGAGAAAGGCTAAGAGGAGTCTAATTGTGTTATACTACTGTTTCTACTCAAAAAATCTTTTATCTCCTTAGTTGTCCTCATTAAACATTTATGGCATTAGGCTGGCCTCCTTTTATTATTTGATTGGTGCTGAATTTCCTTCGTTGATTTTTTACTTTTTTTGTTCTTGTTGTTCACTTTGTTAGATATTAGAGGAAAGAAAAACTAGACAGATTTTGGTTTCTTTATCATCTTAAACTGGAGTCCTCTGGATCAGTAAGCATTAAACTAAACAGTTCCTTAAATATTTGAAAGAATTTATTCTTAAAACTCTCTGGGCCTGTTACCCTTTGTTAGAGTGGTGGGTGGTGGTGGGAAATTGACAGATATAATTATTTGATAGTTTTTTTCAACTGTCATTATTGGCCTATTCATATTTTTCACTTCTTCTTTGATCAATATTGGTAATTTATTTCTTTTACTTTGGAAAAATGTTCATTTATTAATATAATTAACATCTTAATCTCATGTTATATATAACACCTTATTATAATAATATTATTTTACTCCATATCCACAATTATATCTCTTGAAATTCTTTTTTTTTTTTTTTTTTTAAGATTTTATTTATTTATTTGACAGAGAGAGATCACAAGCAGATGGAGAGGCAGGCAGAGAGAGAGAGAGAGAGAGGGAAGCAGGTTCCCTGCTGAGCAGAGAGCCCGACGTGGGACTCGATCCCAGGACCCTGAGATCATGACCTGAGCCGAAGGCAGCAGCTTAACCCACTGAGCCACCCAGGCGCCCCTCTCTTGAAATTCTTATTGTGTTTCCCTCTATCCCTTTCTAGTCTTTCTGACTATATCTGAACAACCAAGTCTAATCATTCTTCATCATAGACTGTTCTCTTACTCACTGTTTAATGTTTCTTTTAAATGTTTCACTTTCTATTTTCCTTTTCTTCTTCATGCTTTGACCTAAGAATGGTTTGTCAGAACTCTTACTAATTTTCATTATTCATAGAATACTCTGCTAATGAAGAGTCTGATGTGCTTTCATTTGAGACCTACATTCAGCTACATGCTTTTAAAAATGTTCTGTTGAGGGGTGTCTGGGTGGTTCAGCCAATTAAGCAGCTGCCTTCAGCTCTGGTCATGATCCGGGTGTGTTGGGATTGAGCCCTAAGTCGGGCTCCCTGCTCAGCGGGGAGCTTGCTTCTTCCCCTCCTCAGGACCCTCCCCCTAGTTTGTGCTCTCTCTCAAATAAATAAATAAAATCTTTTAAAAAATATCCTGTTGGTACTAAATACTATCATTGTTCTATTGATACTCTCAAACCCAAGCTGTCCTAAAGGGAATATATTTTTATGTACAATGCTCACCATCAACTGGTAGGTTTTGTGAAAAATCTTCAAGTTCTTTATGTGAAAGCTCAATCCCCATATTTTTCAGAAATGTGTCCAGGTTATTCATATCAACCTTTCCTCCTTAGGAGAGACAAAGATCATAAAAACAACCAGGATGTGGAAAAATTCCTTATTAGTTCATGTATATTATGGTTCTAACTTTACACATGAAGACATTAAAGCCCAGTAAGACCTAGCCAAGCATACAAGGAGGATCAGCATTAAAACTGGATATAGAGTCTCATTGTTTGATTGTATCTTTTGTTCATATCAACATAGTACAAGTTCTAAAAGGGCTGGGTAATTTTCCAGGGATTTATGGAACATATAACATATCCATAAATATTAGAAAATACATACATAAAATTTTTAATGTAATAAAAATAAATTAATGTATATGAAAAATAAGAGACTATCTCAGATTTATTTGTTTTCTCATTATATTTCTCACTCACTTTTAAGAGTCTTCACACCATCCAGCAACCTTTTTTGGTACACCTTTCCTTCAGCTTTAAGAAAAGGCATAATTCAGGTGAGAGAAAAATAGTAAGGGAGATTCACTGAAACAATAAATACCCTACAATTCTTTCCCTAACTCCATAATTTCAAAAAAGATGTACTTGTTAATAATTTTTCTGAAATTTACCTGGTTTATTCTCAAATAATAACAAAGTTTCCTTGGAGAAAGATTTTAATGAGGCAAATTTATTCACTCTTGCATTAAAGGCAAGGATTATGGCTTAAAACTTATAAAGCATATATCTCATTTGATTTACATTTATTGCTGGTTTCTTTCCTTACACTCTTTATTCTTCCATTTTTACATCTTTCCACTCTCAGGAGTATTAATGGAACTGAGAACAACAATACATATATGTTATTGGCAGGATTAAGTGAGAGAGATATTGCCCACCATAATAAAAACTAAATGACCCAAATTTTCTTTGGCAAAAATCAAATAATTAAAAAGAAAGTTGCATTCTAGAAAAAAAAAAAGTTTTAAAAAATGATTTTTTTAAAAAAAGAAAACAAAACAACCTGGTAACAATCTGGTATCATTTTAGAAGAAAATCCTACAGTCAAGCACTCTAAAGCTCCTTGAAGTATACACAGTATATTTTAAATCCTTACCATCAAGTGGTAGAGTTTTTACAAAATTAAAGTATTCCTTGTCTGTGACTTCCACTTTCATGTCTTTCAGCACATCATATACATCACTGACATCAATCTGCTCACCTAGAAAAGACAGAAATAGTGACAAAGAAGAATTTGGGAAGAACACAAAAGTAGTGAGTTATTACAATCAAATGCTGTTAACTAGCAATATTTGCACTCATGTGCCATTAAGACAACTTCATGGGTAGTTAAAAATCATGTATTCTATAACAAACAAAAAATTATCACCTTGAGTGATTATATAAATACATAAAAAAATAAAACAAATAATAATTTGGGTCTTTCCTTCACAAAATAGAAATGGAGGTAGTTTTCCTGATAGCTTGAAATTATAATAATATTAGGAGCAGTAGAATATTAGGCACATAAGTCTAGAAAGGTACATAGATTATACACTTATATGAATATAATATATTATATTATATATATATTATATATGCTTATTAGAAATTGTTCCAAAAATAGGGCCTTGGGCTTCCCCAATAATTTTTGTTTTGTATTATTTTTATGGTAAATAATCTTTTGATTATTATAAATAGTTTTATACTTTTGTAACTTTAGAAAGGAAAAACAATTTTGGTTTAATTAAGTCTTTTGGTTTAAATCAGTGGAAAGTGAATCTCTGAACGCTTACTGCCTAGAATCCTAAACTTTCAATCAATAAATTAGGTGTATTGCATATTTCAAATGTATATGTCTAGTATGGATATTTCTTTTTATTTATTCTGCTTAGGAGTCACTTAGCTTCTTTAGATTGGCACTATTTATCTGTTCTGAAAAGTTCTTTTCAAATATTGCCTCTGTCTTGCTCTCTTTATCTTTTCTTCCTGGAATTCTAGATATATGTTAGATTTTCTTATCTATCCTTGGTGTCTCATAACCTCTCTTTCATATTTCACATTTCTTTTTCTGTGCTATATACTTTGTATTTTTTTAAGTTCCTTAGTTGTTTCTTCAGCTGTTTATAAATTACTGTTAAAATCTTCAAGTGTTTTAAATTTTTACTATTTTCATTTCTCAAAGTCTATTTGGTTCTTTATCAAATCTGCTTGGTCTTTACTCAGATATACTCAAGCCTCTCTTTTAATTATTAAATTATATGAAGCATGCTTATTTAATAATTTTTGGTCTGATAATTTCAAAATCTAAAATCTTCACTGATCTGATTTTGCTAAAGGTTGTTCATGACAGGTATCTTACTCATAGTGTTTCATTTCTGTATATATTTAATAATTTTAAACTATGAATTGCTCTTTACGTGAAATTCATTGTTTTGAGAAGAGTATCCTTCAAGACAGGAGTCAGACTGATTCATTCTTTTTTTTTTTTTTTAAAGATTTTATTTATTTATTTGACAGACAGAGATCACAAGTAGGCAGAGAGAGAGGGGGAAGCAGGCCCCCTGCTGAGCAGAGAGCCCGATGTGGGGCTCGATCCCAGGACCCCGGATCATGACCCAAGCTGAAGGCAGAGGCTTCAACCCACTGAGCCACCCAGGCACCCCAGACTGATTCATTCTGATGTGCATGAAGTTAGGCCAAGCTTCGGAAGCATTAACACAGTGTATCAATAGTATTCATTAAAAGACTCATTGCAAGAGATTCTTAATCTCCAGAAACAAACTGAGGGTTGCTGGGGTGTGGGTGGGAGGGATGGGGTGGATGGGTTGTGGACATTGGGGAGGGTACGTGCTATGGTGAGTGCTGTGAAATGTGTAAGCCTGAAGATTCACAGACCTGTACCCCTGGGGCAAATAATATATTATGTGTTAATAAAAATTTTTTTAAATTAAAAAATAAATAAAAGACCCATTGCTTATTATAGCTTATCCCTTAAATCAGTAGCCTTGGCTATATCCTTCTTGCTTCAGAGCAAATGCAGTTTCTAAATTGCTAGGCAAATCTTCTTCAATCTTAAATTAAGATCATATTTAAATCTGAGGATACTATATAGAATTACAATCTCTATTGTTAACTGAAAATATCTAATTTTTTTTTACCAATTAGTTACTAATTATGGAATATTGCTACTTTCTCCCCATACTATTATCCATTGGTATAACACTCTCAATCAGTGACTTTATTACCTTTAGCCTATGAAGAAGATTTCTACTTCTATAATTATAATTTCCATAATTGTATTTCTGTATTTCAATAAGTGTCCATGTCCTAAACAGATCTTTTGGGTATTTGAGTACCACACTGACTTAATATTATTTGTTGATGGGTCTTGTCTTAATAGTGAAAAGGGACCATAGTAGATTAAAGATGCAATAATTAGTTAGTTTTTCTTGAAAGATATAAGTCCTTCAGATACAAGGTTGGTTCAAGTGACTGAAAAATGGCCCTTTCTAGAGATTTCAAATTGGTAAAACTAAATGATAGGTGATATACTTTTATAGTAATTATTACTTGATGCTTTGATTCTGGTCAAAGAAATGCTGTCTTAAAGGTAAAAAAGCCCACAGTAAAACAGATGGTATAATGACTAGAGATAATGCTTCAGCAGATCTTACTAAATAGACTGTGCAGAAAAGAGTTAACATAGCAGGCGTAAGGCTGCTACCTTTAGAAGAGCCTGCTTGCTATTTGTACTTGGCTGGTATCTGGGAACTTGGATTTCAGAATGTTTCCTCTAATACCAACGGAAAACGCTAGTTCACTGTGCCTAAACTTGTGCAAACAATGTGATTTCTGGTGAATACCTGTTTTTCTTCTGGGAGTCTGGTATATTGATAGCTGATAGGCAGAGGGTGCCTATGTGAATAGCCCTAAATAAAAAACCTTGGGGACTGAGACTCCAACAGGCTTCCCAGGGCATCCGTGTGTAACTACATCTTTGCTGCTGGAGATAAGGTATGTTATGTGTAACCCCTCATAAGAAGGAGAGCATAGGAAGTCTGCACATGGATTCTTCTAGAAGCTTCCTATATCTTTTTTTCTTACTGATCCAAGCTATGTCTTTGGTGTTCACTCTTTGTATCATATAGTTGTATGGGTTTTGACAAATGCAATATGTTATGTAGTCACCATTATGGTAACATACGGAATAATTTCACTGACCTACAGTTCTGTTGTGGCCCTTATATCTCGTCTCCCTATGCCTCTCTATGCCACCCCCCTAAACTCCTGGCAACCACTGACTTTTCCACATCTTTCCACAGATTGATAGCTCATTTCTTTTAATCACTGAATAATATTTCATTATATGGATATATCACTGTTTATCCATTCTTCTATTCAAGGACATCTTACTTGCTTGAAAATTTTGGCAATTATAAATAAAGCTGCTACAAACATTTGTGTGCAGGTTTTGTGTTCACATGTTTTCAACTTATTTGGGTAAATACTTAATTTGTGGTTATTGGATCTTATGAAAAGAGAGTAGGTTTAGCCTTGTAAGAAACTGCCAAATTGTCTTCCAAAGTGACTGTACCATTTTGCATTCCTCTTGCTGGCCATTTTAATAGGTGTGTAGTGTTCCCTCATTATTTTAATTTGCAATTCTCTAATGACATGTGATGTTGAACATCTTTTCATATCCTTATCTGCCATCTGTATATCTTCTTTGGTGAGGTGAATATTCAGAGTTTTTGCTCACTTTTTAATTAGCTTGTTTCCTCATTGTTGAGCTTTAAGAATTCTTTGAATATTTTTGATATAAGCCCCTTATCAGATATGTGTTTTGCAAATATTTCCTCCCAGCCTGTGGTTCATCTTCTCATTTTTAAAAAATTAACATTCTTTTTGAAGGACCTTTTATAGATAGGAAAAACAAGTATAGGATCAGAGTCAAAGACTCCATTATAGAAGCACAAAATTTGACCTCAATTTTGTAAAGAAATAATTGGAATGGTCAGGTTATAATATCCATAAGGGTAAGATCTGGCAAAGCCAAGATTGCTACCTGGTTGTATCAGATAATATTTCAAATTGACATTTACCAGAATCTTACATAAAACAACCGATCACTATAGGAACAAATTTTCCACATTATTAAACACTGATTAAGATATTTTATATTATACTAGAGAGTATCACCAATTCATGCCTCATCTGAAATAAAAATAATTATGGAAAATCTGTAACTTTGAGCCCTGGATTAGAATCACATCCTAAGGAACCCTTTGGGCATATCCAAATGGATTTTATATAGTTGCTTCTCTCTGAGTTATGAATATGTACTAATAATATTATGTTTATTTTCTGGATGGGTTGAAACACTCGTCAAAAATCCATAGCACTCATACTGGCCAACAAATTTTGGATATCCTGCTACCTATTTAGAACATTCCATCTTATCTGTTCAATTATAGGGCAATATTCTTCATTTTTGTAATTATTCATGATTATACAAGAATTATATAAGGTATAGTAATAATTGTATAATGTATAATAATAATTGTCCATTATTTAAAACTTCAATGTATTTTGAACACCAAAACTTCTGGAAAAATGGAAGAGACCTTATCAGAATTGCAAAATTATATTAGAGACTTAAATTGAGGTTCCACAGAGTGTCCAGGAAGCAGGTGGTTCATATAAGTCACCTGCTGCCCCAAGATCCAAGATCCTCAGAACAAGTGGAAAGCTGCATGAAGTAGAGAGCTTCCATCCAAGACCGTAAGAATAAGAAAACACTGATTGTCAGTGCTTTGTGTATTTTTCACGTATTTTTATTCATTATTTTTGTCAAATCTTTTCTTTTCATTATTTAGTATTATACACTTCTGACTTAGCCTATCATGATCTCCCTTACTTCTACCAATAACTTATTGAGGTTTAAGTTTGCTAGAGACAATCACTTTGCTAGAGTTAGGACAATCCTAACTCTATAACTCAGTCTTTTTTTTTTTTTTAAGATTTTATTTATTTATTTGACAGAGAAAGAGTACAAGCAGGGGAAGCAGCAGGGAGAGGGAGAAGCAAGCTCTCACTGAGCAGGGAGCCTGATGTGGGGCTCTATCCCAGGACCCTGGGATCATGACCTGAGTTGAAGGCAGGTGCTTAACTGACTGGGCCACCCAGGTGCCCCAGTAACTACATATCTTTTTTTTTTTTTTTAAAACATGGAAACATCAATTTAATTTAGCATTTAGATTTTTTTAAAATTTATTTTTAGTGTCCAGAATTCATTGTTTATGCACCACACTCAGTGCTCCATGCAATGCATGCCCTCCATAATACCCCCACCAGGCTCACCTAACCCCCCACCACCCTCCCCTCCAAAACCCTCAGTTAGTTCCTCAGAGTCCACAGTCTTTCATGGTTCATCTCCCCCTCCAATTTCCCCCAACTCCCTTCTCCTCTCCATCTCCCCATATAACTCAGTCTTTTACTAGCAAATCAATTTAAAGAATTACTGTAGGGCTAATTGAAAATTTATGTGTATGAATTGTGCATGGCTTTCCAATGTTCTCAGTGGATCTTGTCTTCTTAGTCCAAAGGGATAGAAACTTTTCTGGGGAAATAAATAATATCTGGTGGAAGAGATTCCTAAGTATAATGTATTTTATCCATAGTAATAAAAAATTTGTAACTGACTTAGCATATAATATAGTTCACACCCTATCATTCAGCACAATAAGCCAGTTAAAATTTCCTAGATAAACAACAGAATTGCTTTGAATTTTCTTTTGACCAACTACTGGAGGGTGTGCACCTTTTTAAATAATGCATATTGTATTTCGATCCACACTACAGATCTAACTTATCTAAGAAAAGACAACTTGGGTATGTAAAATAGACTTAAGGCATTATAGGAACTGGTCTTCTTTCAGGCCTGAGAAATATTGAACCATGATTCTAGAGTGCTTTCCATTTCCTTCTTATAATACCTTCAGCTAGTTTTGTTTGTCTCACAGCTATTTGAAGTCTGCTTTTCAGAGTCTTAAATGCTTCTGTGTAGCCAGTGTATGAACAAATAATTAAACAATGATTCAAAGACAAAACCAGGATGAAATTATCCTGACATTCAGATGTCAGCTCCTCTGAAGAAAAATCTATAATAGTGAAGGTCTGGACAGTTCTTGATGACCTCTCCTGTGCTTTTGGTTGAGTGAAGATCAAAAAAGGTGGAATGAAGAATAAAAACATTCCCACATTATTAAGAAAAGGCTGTTGCCATGGCTATAATAGAACATTATCAAATGAATTAAATTATAAAAAACAAAACAAAATGTGTTTGTACAGTGCCATCTTCCATTGCTAGGAGAAACAAAGACCTAAGGTCACCTCTTATATTATGCAGAGTTAATATCAGACTTAAAAATATAACATTGTCTGTTATTTATAATAAAAGGCATGTCTTTATAATGTTAGAGGAAAATACTACATATAATAATATAAGGCTAATATAACTGTCCAAGAAATTATATTGTTGATGACTTATTCAAATAATTATGGCTACATATAGTATCTCAGTTATAACCTAAATCTTGAAATTTTCTGTCTTATGCAAAGACCTAGTACCTCTGTTGCAAAAGCACGGATTATAAAAAAAAAAATCACAGATTATTAAAGCAGGTAGAAATGTTTAATTAATGTTAATTAATGAAAATGTTTAATTAATAAGGGTTAAAATGTTGAAATTAACAAGGGACTAAAGGGATGGTGGAAAATATCATTAAAACAGTGTAAAGAATTGTTATTTTTCACTTACCTAAAGCAGTTCTCAATTCTTCCATCAATGTATTTAGTTTGACCTTCCCTTTATCTGTAAGTTAAGACAAAATTTAGACACTGGTAATCCAAACTCCAAAAAAAAGCATAAAGCATAAAATACTTAAATTATGAAGTAGAGCCCAGATGAAAGCTTTCACTGTATCTTGTCCTTCTTAAATTTATAATTCTTGGATTTTAAAAATAGATAGCTCCATTATCTTCCAGGGGCACTAAGATTCTTTGAATCATAAAGTCTATCTTAGGAAAAATGTTCTCTCAAGTCTTTTGGATTCATTCTATTTCTAACTCCATGTTTCTCTAGGAATGGTTGATAACACATGATTGGTATACATTTAAACCCATTGTTTAAACCATAAGAAACTCTTAATCTCAGAAACCAAACTGAGAGTTGCTGGATGGGTAGGAGTTAGGAGGAATGAGGTGCCTAGGTGATGGACATTGGGGAGGGTATGTGCTATGGTGAGTGCTGTGAATTGTGTAAGACTGATGAATCACAGACCTTTACCCCTGAAACAAATAATACATTATATTTTAATAAAAATAAAACTATTGTTTATGGTATTATGTTATTTTCTATCACTGGAGAAAGACAAAGAATCCCAGGAAAAGGAGAAATGAAGAGCACAGTGTGTGGTAAACTAAAGCTTTTAAATTTTGCTTGAGGGAAAAAATGCCATGTAGGGAGTGGAAAGATGAGTTGAAAGAGATTGGCTGGAGCTAACATTTTAGACCTTGGATTTAGACTGCCTGGAATTGGAATAGAGCAGTGAAAGAAAAAGGCAAAAATCCTGGCTCCACAAAATTTACATTAATTTTGTTTTATTTATGGCTGTATTCCTAAGGCTGAAACAGAGCCTGCTAGGTGTTAGGTGTTCAATAGGCATTGTCACATGAATGAATAAATTAATTTATCATAAAAGTGCTAACATTGGCATATTGTAAGACTCAATGCATGTAAGTTGTGAAGGGTCAGTGAAAGGTTTTAACTGGAAGAATTACAAGGTCAGATTTTCACTCTAGTGAAGTCATCTTGTGAGTGTGTGTAGAATGAATTTAAGGCAATGGGACCAGTGGGTGTTATACTAGTCAGGAGCCTTCTGTAGTAGTATAAGCAAAGAATGATGAGAATTTAAGAGTAGCATAGCAAAAAAAAAAAAAAAAAAAAGAGTAGCATAGCAAAGACAGAGATAGATTGGGGATATTCTTAAGAGGAAAAATGAAGGAACATGAGAAGTTAAAGATAATTTCTGATTTATTTCATGGGTAAGTGTGGGTGGATAACAGTGGCAGAAAAATAAAAAAATAATTAGGAATTTAACAGGGAAAATAGTTTACTTTTTGTATGTTGAATTCAGAATTCCATTGAGAAATCTACATCTCCACAGAGATTTGTTGATATAGGAGATCTCTTAATTGACCTCCCCTTAACTACCCTGATGGCCTGAACTATATTCATCATTTCTACTGTAAAATATTCATACTGAGGCTGATGGCATGTTAAACTTACATCTAGTAAGCTATACTTTTAGTAAGCCAACACATTTGTGTTCCTATGGGTTGAGTTGTTGAGTTTGTTTCCAGGTTTGTTTATAAAGAGTTGTACTTATTAAATTGATAATTTAATCATTATACAAACTGATGAACTATAAATGGAAAAGGGAGTTATTACCATAAAAGCAAATTTGAATGATTTGAGAAGTTTATGTAAAGCTGAATTTGGTGTGGATAAAAAGACTGGGGAAAGAATGAAAATCTAGATGGATTCTGACAGAAATTTCTGCTCAACTTCTAAAAAAAGTACTTTGCTCCACTTAAGAGAAACTGAAAATGGGAGTGTATTTCAGATGATAAAGAAGTATTTTTGTACAAGAAAATCTTCAAAGAGTATGGCTACATTAAGTTAAAATGTAGTCCCTTTTTTTTCATGGAAAGAAAACATGCATAGTACATATATATCACTTTTTTTTTAAAGATTTTATTTATTTATTTGACAGACAGAGATCACAAGTAGGCAGAGAGGCAGGCAGAGAGAGAGGAAGGGAAGCAGGCTCCCTGCCGAGCAAAGAGCCTGACGCGGGACTCGATCCCAGGACCCTGAGATCATGACCCGAGCCGAAGGCAGCGGCTCAACCCACTGAGCCACCCAGGCGCCCCCCATATATATCACTTTTATTATTCCTTACTCTAATTGGATTTTTAGAGTATCTGATCAAATACTTGCCCCCATTATGCTACATAAAAAGACCTCACTGTCCTCGCCGGAAATGCATGAAATAAGTATAGGTTTGAGATAAAAGATTTGAAATCTTAAATACATATAGTTAATTGGAATCAGCCAGGAAGAGTGTAGAAAGAACAATACTTTGAAAATAGAACTGTTATATTACTATCATTTAAGCCAGTGATTTTTTTTTCAGGTTTTATTTATTTATTTGACAGAGGGAGATCACAAGTAGGCAGAGAGGCGGGTGGGGGCGGGGAGAGCAGGCTTTCTGCTGAGCAGAGAGCCCGACTCAGGGCTCCATCCCAGGACCCTGAGATCATGACCTGAGCTGAAAGCAGAGGCTTAACCCACTGAGCCACCCAGGAATCCCTAAACCAGTAATTTTCAAAATTTTTTACTGTAAGTCACACTAAGAACTCTAAACACACACACACACACACACACACACACAATTGATTATGAAGATTCATGAAACAATATCTAGTTTTACTGTCTCAGTAAAAAATACTCACTTAACCCTCTAGTTTGAAGGGAGAAAGAAAAGCCTATATAAAAAGTAAGCCTATGAACAAGAGTGCCCATTCTCACCACTCCTATTCAACATAGGACTAGAAGTCTAAGCCAGAGCAATCAGACAAGAAAAAAGAAGACATCCAAATAGGAAAGGAAGAAGCATAATTGTCTTTGTTTGCAGATGATATGATCTTAAATGTAGAAAATCCTAAAGACTCCACCAAAAACTGTCAGAACTAATCAATGAATTCAGTAAAGTTGCAGTATACAAAATCAGCATACAGAAATCAGTTGCATTTCTATAAACTTTATATCTGAAAAAGATAGAAAGAAAATAATACCACTCACAATGGCATAAAAAAACAAAAAAAAATACTTGGAAATAAATTTAAATAAGGAAGTGAAAGATCTATACAATGAAAACTATAAAACCATGATGAAAGAAATTGAAAAAAAAAATGGAAATACAGCTCACATTCATGGGTCAGAAAAATTAATATTGTTAAAATGTCTGTATTACCAAAAGTTATTTATAGATTCACTCGAATTCCTATAAAAATTCCAATGGTAGTTTTTCACAGACATAGGAAAAAAATCCTTAAGTTTATATGGGACCACAGAAGACCCTGAATAGTCAAAGCAATACTGAGAAAGAACAAAGCTGGAGGCATAACCCTTCTTGATTTCAAATGATACTATAGAGTGATTATTGAAAGATATGAATTTAGTGCCATTGTGTTACCTGTAGAGCTGGTGTTTCTGGTCCTTTCTAGTCTTTGTTGCTATTGATCTTTTTATTTTCACCCTAGAGAGTCCCCCTTAAAATTTCTTGCAGGGCTGGTTTTAGTGGTCACGAACTCCTTTAGTTTTTGTTTGTTTGGGAAACTCTTTCTTTCTATTCTGAATGACAGTCTTGCTCGTTAAGAATTCTTGGCAGCTTATTTTCCCCATTCAGCACGTTGAACATTTCCTTCCACTCTCTTCTGCCCTGCCAGCTTTCAGTAGACAGATTTGCTGTAAACCTGTCCTGTCTTCCCTTGTAGGTTAAAGTCATTTTCTCTTGCTGCTTTCAGGAGTCTTTCCTTATCTGTGTATTTTGTGAATTTGATTATGATATGCCTTGGCAATGATTGGCTTTGTTGAATTTAATGGGTGTTCTCTGTGCTTTTTGGATTTTTATGTCTGTGTCCTTCCTCAGGTTAGGGAAGTTTTCAGTGATAATTTGTGCAAATAAACCTTCTGTCCCCCTTTCTCTATTTTCATCTTCTGGGACTCCTATGGTATATATGTTAATACATTTTAATAAGTCACTGAGTTCCCTAAGTCTACCTTTGTGGTCATTGCCTTTCTTTCCCTCTTCTTTTCAGCTTCATTTTCCCCCATACTTTTATCTTCTATATTACTGATTTGCTCTTCAGCTTTGTCCATCCTCACTTTTATGGCCTCCACTTGGGATTGCATCTTGGTTATAGCATTTTAAATTTCGGCATGACTAGATTTTAGTTCTTTTGTCTCTGAAGTAAGGGTCTCTCTAGTGTCTTCTATGCTTTTTTTAAGCCTGGCTAATTCCTTATAATCATTGTTTTAAATTCTAGTTAAGACATCTTACTTATATCTATACTGATTAAATCCCTAGTTGTACTACCTCCTGTACTTTCTTTTGGGGTGAATTTCTCCATCTCATCATTTTGTCCAGAAAAGAAAAGAAGAAAGAAAAAAGCCAAAATAAAACACCCAACAACAACAACAAAACTAGATTCTGCTTGTGTTTTGGTCTGCTTGTTAAAAGAATCTTCCGAAAGGTGGTCACTTTTTTGCTTGTAGACTTGTAGTTTTCATCCTTTTAGACCTCTGATTGATTTTCTTGGGTATTCAGAATGATCTGATAACTACCCAGCCATATTCAAGGGATGAGACATGCTTAAGGTCTCCCTAATCTTCCACCGTCTTAACTCCTCCCCCTCAAACTATACTACAAAGTTAATCAAACAGTATGGCACAGTATAAAAGTAGACTCATGGGCCAACAGAACATAATCAAGAGCCCAGAAATAAAACCCCACACATACACTCAACTATTAACAAGTCAGCCAAGAACATTCAATAGGGAAAGGACAGTCTCTTCAATGGTGTTGGGAAAACTGGATAACCACAGGCAAAAGAATGAAATTGTCCCACTATCTTATACCACTCAAAAACATGAACTTAAATGAAAGACTTAAATGTAGGACCCCAAACAATAAAATTTCCAGAGGAAAACGTAGCTTCTTGACATGAGTCTTGAGTTATTCTTCTAGTTATGACACCAAAAGCACAAGCAACAAAAGAAAAAATTAGTAAGCGGGACTACACCAAACAAAAAGTTTGTACAGCAACAGAAACAATCAATAAAGTGAAAGTGCAACTTACAAAATGAGAGAAAATATTTGCAAACCATATATCTGATAAGGGATTGAGATTAAAACATATAAAGAATTCATACACTCAATACCAAACTGCCCCCACCCCCCAATCCAATTAAAGGATGGATAGAGGAACTGAATAGCCATCTTTCCTTAGAATACACACAAGTGGCCAACCAGGTACATGAAAAGGTGTTCAATAAACTCATTATCAGGGAAATGCAAATTAAAACCACAATGAGCTAGCACTTCAAACTTATTAGAATGGCTCTCATCAGAAAGATAAGAGATAACAAATGCTGGTGGGGATGTGGAGGAGAGGAAACCCTTGCTCTTCATTGATGGGAATAAAAATTGGTGTGGTCATTGTAGAAAACAGAATAGAGGTTCCTTAAGAAATTAAAGATAGAACTACCATATGATCCATTAATCCCATAACACAGCATAAAATTTAAAAGCCCACTTTGAAATAGGATTCAAAAAGATATCTATACTCCCATGTTCACTGTAATGTGAATCACAATAGCTAAGTTATATGTCTGTCAGTGGATGAATGGGTAAAGAAGATGTGGTATATTATATACAATAGAAAATTACTCAGCCATGAGAAAGAAGGAAATCTTGCCATTTGTGACAACATGGATAAGCTTTGAGGGTATTATGGTAAGTGAAATAAGTTAGATGGAGAGAGACTAATGCTGTATGATATCACTTATGTGTGGAATCTAAAAATGCTGAACTCAGGGTGTGTAGGTACCACTGTTGGTTGAGCATTTGACTCTTGGTTTCGACTCATGTTGTAATCTCAGGGTGGTGGGATCAAGCTCAGTGTGGAGTCTGCTTAAGACTCTCTCTCCTTCCCTTTCTGCCCTTCCCTGCTTTCAAATAAATAAAACTTTAAAAAATAACAAAAGCAAACACTGAGGTCATAGAAACAGAGTAGAATGGTCATTGTCAGGGGCTGAGGGAGGAGGTGGGAAAATGGAGAGATGTTAGGTAAAGGTTATAAACTCCCATTTCTAGTGTGAATGAATTCTGAGAATATAATACAGAATGGTGATTATAGTTAACAACACTGTATTATATACTTGAAAGTTCCTAAGAGTAGATCTTAAATGCTTTCACCATAAAAAAAAGATAATTATGTAATGTCGCAGAGGTGTTAACTATGGCAGTAATCATTTTGCAATATGCAAGTATGTCAAATCAACAGGTTGTACTTAAGCGTACACAATGTTATATGCCAATTACATCTCAGTAAAGATGAAAACAAGAAGTACTCCTTAAAAAGTACAGTTATGTGCTTACCAGCATCTGGCAGTCTTTCTATCAGATCCATGAACTCTTTTTCTTTGATGCTGATTCCCATGTTTTCTAAAAGAGTGTCCAGTTTGTTGACATCAACATCGCCTTCTAAGTAAGGAGCAGAAAAGGAATATAGTAAAAATGAATGTTTCTAAAACTGGACCACGCATTCACTGCTGTGTTATTATTCCTTTTCATAAAGCATGTGTTTTATTCCAATAAAAAACATTTCACCTATTTCTTAGTATTATTAAGGTTTTCAAGACAAACGCCAAAAACCCAGTTTTGCTCAGGAATAGGAAAATAAAAATTCTTCTCAATTTTCTAATAGGATTTTGAAAAGCTAGAGCTAGAGATGACTGACATAATATTCTATAAAACAGGAGTTGTTTTTGTTGTCTGCACTTTCAAATTATTTACCTCTGCTTTTGACTGAAATCTTTATCTGACAATGTTCCTTCTTCACATTTTGCTTTGCATTTTAATCTTGTTTCTCTGGGGTTGAGTTAGGAAAATCCAAGAAAGTTTAATACTTTCTGCCAAATCTTAGCACAAGAAACTACTTGGTTTATCTGGTAAAATTCAGATTTACTGAAGAAAGCATAAATAAATACAATGACATAGGAAAGGATGATTCATGTTTTAACAACACAAATAAAGGTTTCAGATTCAGTCCTTTCCCTGTGCTTCTTACTCACGTTTAAGAGACTTTATGTCCTTCATCAACCTTTTTTGATACACTTTTCCATCAGCTATAAAAAATGAGATATTTTGAAAATGGAATCAGAAAGATAGCACACCTTATTTATTTATTTATTTATTTCTATTATGTTCAGGTAGCCACCATATAAATACACATCTTTTAATTTCAGGAAGAATTTAGAATCTTTGCATAGGAATATTTCAAATGCAAATAGATAAATAAACATACCAAAATATTCACTCTCAATGGTAAAGGAGTGAATTGCAAATCATAATCATGAGATGCTCTTTTTTTTTCCCCCCTGTATTGAGAATGTAGAGAAAATAACATCCTAAAATATTATTTGTGGGAGATCAAATTACAATATTCTGGAAGGATATGTGAGAAAACAAACAAAATATCTTCCACTTTACAACTCTACTTAAGGAATTTATCTTGAAAAATTTTGGAATACTTGCAAAGATTTATTCACAAAGTTGCCAAATAAAAAAAGAATATACATTCATAGATGGAGAACTAGAAAAAACATACATCAAAATTCTCATAATAGTTGTTGCTTTTAGTTGGGAATAGAGATGGTTTTATTTTCACTTATCTTCATCATCAAGGTTTCTGTGATAAATATACATGTTAATATTGTGAAGAGGTGAGAAGTATAAGTAAATTAATATACACATATTATCTATGAATCTATCTTCTACTGGGCACTAGAAGGAAGTGTACCAAAATATTAATAATGGTTCTTTGGGTTATTGGATTAAAAAGCATTTTTTATAAGTTTTTTTGGTTTTATTTAATCTAATGAGGAAGTTAAGAATTGTGGCTTTTTCTCAATGCACAAAATTACCCACTTATTGGAAAACTATATATTCAATGCTGCAGAAACACACATAGCTACATTATTAGCTGGTGCTGGGAAAACTGGATGCCTTCCTCCTTCTCTTCTTTATCTTTTTAAAAAATCCTTTTTTTTAAAGAAATCCAGCTGATCAGCAACCTGAGGGCTGAGTAATGCACTTTGCCTTTGATAGCAGCTTATAATTTAAATGGGTTAGACTGACAATTTTTAAATCAAAATCCAAAGTGATGAAATTTTTTTGTATTTGCATTAACTTTTTAATATTTTAAAAACATTTTTCATTTTAATTTGTAATTTTTCTCTTTCTTTCTTTTTTTTTTTTAATTCAAGATTTATTGAGTGCCTGTTATGTGCTAGATACTGTTCCAGGTACTTGGGACACATCAGAGAGCAAGACAAAGGTCCCTGCCCTCATGGAGCTTACAGTCTGGCACTTCCTAGCCCTGTACTGGCGGACTGTCTGGGGCCGGGCAGGCCCCCGCCCCTCCCTGTGCCAGATGTGGGCATCCACAGGCCTGGCTCAGACGTGGGCAACGTGCCTGCTGCACTTTCAGTGCCAAACAGGACACCCAGCCCCAACCCACCGAGACAGCAGAAAGGGCTGGAAGTTGACTTTTAATAATAAAGTACAAGGGGGACAGGCAGAGGGACTTGAGCCGGGTGGTCAGGTGTCCTACCACGCCCGGGCCTGGGCTAGCTACACGAAGTGCTGCTGCTTGGTGGCTGCCTTGCTGGCAAGGTCCTTCGCCTTCTCTGTAGCTGCCAGTGCTGTCTCCTTCGCCTTCTCCTTGGCTTCCTTGGCTGTCTCAACGAGGGTTTTGGAAGGGGCCTCACCCTGCAGCTTGGCCAAGATGTACTCAAAGCCCTTCATGGTCTTGGTCACATTGCTTTTGAACAGGGCAAGACCAAACTCCTGGACAGCTCTGGAGACACCAAATAAGCTAGAGGAGACCCAGGCTTCCCGGCGGATCTCGGTCCAGCCGCTGTCCTCAGAGTTCACACAGTAAACACATCGTTCCTCCACCACTATCAGCTGGGCGTGTTGATGTTCCAGGTGAAGGCGGTCATGGTCTGGTTCTGCGGGTCCACAATAGAATCCTCCAGGATGTACACCGAGTGAGCGACATTGGCAGGAAACAGTCGCTCGGGCCAGCCGGGCATCCTGTTGGTCTTGGTCAGGAGACGCGGGGACAGGAGTTTCTGGTCAGGGGTCACCTCCCGGTGCACTATGTCTTCCGCTGACATATTTGCTATAGGGATTCGGGTACCGCTGCCAGGAGGCAGCGAACACTTGGCCCCAGGAACTCCGGAGCACGCTCTGGCCCAGGAAAGACTTCACCATCGTCCCGGCCTGGGAGGGCTCAGGACCCGCGCAGCATCAGGGGTGCGAAGCCCCGGGGTGGGGCACGCGGAGACCCGGCCGGGGCTTGGCGCACGCCCGCCAGGCTCGCAGCTCAGTCACCACCGCGCCGCGGCCAAGGAGCCGCCGCCACCGTGAGGAGTTGTCGAGCCGCGCGCCTCTTTTTTTTTTTTTTTAAATGTTCAGTTAGCCAGCATAGGGTACATCATCAGTTTTTGATGTAGTGTCCAGTGATTCATTATGTGGGTATTAAGGAGGGCATGTGTTGTGATGAGCACTGGGTGTTATTTGCAACTATTTTGTCATTTTTCACATGTGGAAACAATTCCACAGAACTAGGCTTATAGCACCCATGAGACTTACCATCAAGTGGCAGTGTCTTCACCAAATTCAAAAGTTCATTAGGTGTGAGCTCAATCCCCCAGTTTTCCAAGACACTTCCAAGTTTATTAGCATCTACTTTGCCTCCTTTGAAAGAAAAATGAATTATTGATGCATGACAATTTTAGGACCTTAAAATTATCCAAAATAACGAAAAGCTGGTTTAAAGAATGCCATTCTAACTTTCATATTCTCACATATTCTAATAGTGTTTAAGGATAATGAGGCAGAACTTACTCCTTGATTCTTCATAGAATGGTCTCCTAAGACTAATGGCAAGATACCATAGAAGAAAATCAGGTTACATAATTGGCCAGTAATTTAGGATACCTAGCCTTTTTTTCTTTTTAATACTGAATCATGCGATGATTACTTAAAGCAATCTTATCAACTTAATTTTCTAAGAATATTCCTCTTCCTATATTCTGTGCCTACCCACATTTGGTGATTTAAGCCAGCAGTTATTAACTCAAGATTGTAGGAGGCTGAGGGTAGAAGAAATTAGTGAAACTAGCTATGGTGAACTAGATAACCCCTTGTCCAAAGAGACAATATACCGGTTACTGTCGTGAGGGAATATAAGGCTAGTGTTGCCAAATCTTATAAACTTGACTACAGGTTGGACTCAATTCATGGAGAGCCAATTTGTTAAACCTCTGATTTAAACACTAGTTAAGGTCAGTGTAATACTGGTAGGAACTACAGAAAACATAATTTATGACTTAAGTATCACCACTTATTTATTTATTTTTTAAAGATTTTATTTATTTACTTGAGAGAGTGTGAAAGAAGAGAGAGAAAACACAAGCACGGATTGGGGGCAGGGGCAGAGGGAGAGAGAGAAGCAGATTCCCCATTGAGCAGGGAGACCCATGTGGGGCTCAGGACCTGAGCTAAAGGCAGATGCTTAACCAACTGAGCCACCCAGGCACCCCTTACCACTGACTTTTATAGGCAAACCCTAGATAATTCAAAATCAAATGCAGAAGTAAAGTTGAATATAAATATTTCATTAAAATATGTAAAATATCAACATTAATAAATTTATGGTATAATATTAGGAAAACACTATTCAAAATATAACATAGGGTTAGGAGTGTCTTAGTAATGTTTTACTCACCTGAGAAAGATTTTACTTCATTCATCAGCTTTTCCAGATCAACTTTACCTTTAACTGTAAGACAAGGAATAAATTGGATGGAAACATGACAATGAGACCAAGAAAATATGTTACAGAGAGCAGAAAACTTAGTATTTATTTGCTTTAGAAAATTTAAGCTCTTGCAGGCACACACTTCCAGTTTAAAGTAAGTCTTGGGAATATAACATACAGTATAACTATAGTTAATATTGAAATAATATTTGAAAGTTGCTAAGAGAGTAGATCTGTAAGGTTCTCATCACAACCAAAAAAAATGTAAAAGTGATTAATTTTTTAAAAAAATTTTTAATTTTTTAATTTTTAAAAATTTTTTAATTTTTAAAAAAGCGATTAATTCATGTCATTTAGTTTCTGAAAAGAAAAGTGCTTTTTCTCCCCCAGCAAAAAAATACCCAATGTTGATGAGAAAATCTAGCTATAACCTAGGAAACATGGTATAAAGTGTAGTTAATCATTAATTCAACAAACCTGTTTTTGAGTACCGACAAAGTGCCAGCACAATGGCCAGAAAAGTCTATCAATTACCAATAAGTTGCTAATTCTGTGGTGAGAATTTTTGGACCTTATTCTTTGTCTGTTAAAGTATTCCTGGCCACTAACAACATTCTTTTTTTTTTTTTAATTTATTTTTTTCAGTGTTCCAAGAGTCATTGTTTATGTACCACTAGTAACTCCTGCATCAGTACCAATTACAGGTCAGGGCAAAATGAAAAATGTATGTTGGTTTACCTGGATTATTATAGTTAACCAAGCCTATCATGAAGAAGAAATGGGATCCTTGGAGGGGATTATAATTTTCAGGCCTGTCATTGTACATGGGTCACTATGGTTGTCTGTTCATCTTTTTCTTTATCTGGTTTATTACTGGGAAAATTTTTTTTTTGTGGTTTCCATGTTTTTTTATTATGTTTCGTTGGCCAACATATGGTTAGTTTTTGATGTAGTGTTCAATGATTCATTAGTTGTGTATAACACCCAGTGCTCATCGCAACAGGTGCCTTCGGTTACCCTCCCCACTTCTGTAACTCTCAGTTTAGTTCCTAGATTCCAGTCTCTCATGGTTTGTTTGGTTCTCTGATTTCTTCCCGTTCAGCTTTCTCTCCTTTCCACTGTGGTCCTCTGTGCTATTCCTTATGTTCCACTATGAGTGAAACCATATATATGAAAATTGTCTTTCTCTGTTTGACTTATTTCACTTGGTATAATCCTCTCCAGGTCCATCCATGACAATTCAAATGGTGGGTATTCACCCTTTCTGATTGTTGAGTAATTATTCCATTGTATATATGAACCAGATCACTCTGACCCAAGATGAAAGGGCTCTCTGCCATAGGCCATCTAACTGGAGGGAGTTCTCTTTCATTAAAATATTCCAAGTTCATCTCAGTTGAGGAGGAATCTATTAGTAGGAACTGAGACACCTATGTGACAAGGAAAATTTTTTAAAACCAAAGTTGATCATTTTCTTTTACTTAGAATGATATCCTTTTTTTGTATTTACTTTAATAAAAATTTGGAAGGGCTTTTGTGAACATGCTCCAGTCCTTTTTACTACTATCTCAAAGCTGTTTGCTTTTTTTTTTTTTTTAAGGATTTTATTTATTCATTTGACAGATCACAAGTAGGCAGAGAGGCAGGCAGAGAAAGGAAGGGAAGCAGGCTCCCTGCTGAGCAGAGAGTCGGATGCGGGGCTCGATCCCAGGACCCTCAGATCATGACCTGAGCTGAAAGCAGAGGCTTTAACCCAGTGAGCCACCCAGGCACCCCAAAGCTGTTTGCTTTTTGAAATTCAAATGTTGATGGTCTTTCTAGGATGCTGGGGCTCTGTCAATTCTCGGGCTTGGTTGTGTCCTGGAGGAAAGAATGGGCGTGGGGTTCTTTCTGCCCTCAATGAGGGAAGCAGCAGAGAGCTGTCAGAGCACAGGAACAGAACTGGAAAGTAGTAGATCCTGGGAAACACTTGGCATTTAGAATGCTGAAGACCCTGAGGAAGCTCAGTCAAGGCCAGTATGAGGGTATTCCAATTCCTCTGATTCCTAAGAGACCAAGAAGGAATAAAACAGGTGGGCAGAAACATTTATTTTCCTGAGGTGGTGGAAAGAGAGATGCCAGAACAGATGCTATCTTCTTTTCTGTAAGTTATGTTATGGAATATGTAATATTAAGTGCTAAATAAAGAATCTTGAAATAGAAGGGAGATTATGTAAGAGATATTTTAGGAGTTGATTGATTGTGAGAATTGAAAATGTTATAGCTGAGGAAGTAAAGACATTCCAAAGATCTTATGGTGGGGAGTAGAGGAAATTGTGGGAAGAATAAGAGTATTCTAAAAGTTTCTGCTTATTGGGATTGTAGGGTGGGGGGTGGGGAGGAAGGGATAAAGCTGAAATAAAATATATGATGGGTAAAGGTATCTTGATGAAGAAAAAAGCAGTATTTTGTTGCCAATAATAATTAAGTTATAGGTAAGTATGACAGTGAATGAGAAGAAAAGAAATCAAATATAATGAATGACAACTTGAACCAACTGGTAATAATAAGCATAAGAAAAAAGAAAACAATAGTAGAAAATGAATAATAAACATAAAATAAAATAAATATATATGTCTAGTATTACACCAAATCTGAACAAATGGAAACTTCTCATTAAAAAAAGGAAAGATTATCAAATGAGTTCCTTAAAAACCCAGCAATATGATGACTTTGCAAAATATATTTCAACCAAATGATAAAGAAAATTGAAAATAAAGGAGTGAGAACATGACCTAAGCCAAAATTAAGAGTCAGACACCCAACTGACTGAACCACCCTCATGCTCCAAGAAGAATCTTATAAAAATTCAATTTAATAGGAGATGTTAACCCTCTAAATGGAAGAAGATATATTTTGTAGACAAAATAGAAGAAAAGATACAAAGGAATTGAATAATACTAGTGATAAACTTGATTTCATAATACATATATAGAAATCTATGTGCACTGGTGAGTGCTGTGAAGTGTGTAAGCCTGACAATTCACTAACTGTACTCCTGGGGCAAATAATACATTAAATGCTAATAAAAATAATTAATAAAAAAAGAAATCTATGTACACTCTCTAGAGACTATACATTATTTTTATATGCCTACAGATTTACAAAAATTGATAAAGTACATGGCCATAATGAAACCTTTAACAAAACAGAGATTCTTTTTAACATTTCAGTGGCCACATTATCTGGTAGAACTCCAAAGTTTATATATAATAAATAAAAGACTTAAAAAGAAAATAAGAAATATACTTCTAGATACTAGATAATCTTTGTATCAATTATAAGTTAGTAGAAAGTAATGATTAAGAAAACTCTTCATATCCAAACCAAAAGGATGTAGTGAAGCTGCGTTCAGAAGAAAATGTATGGCCTTACACTGCTTCATTTAATAATGAAGCAGAAAGACAAAAAGAAACTAAGCACTCCTAGAATGTAGGTATGAAAGAGAAACAACCATTTCCCAAGTGGTTGGACAAACAATCAGATAAAAAAGTGGGCAAACAATTTGAATAGATATTTTATTAAAAAAGTATAAATGACTAATAAACACTTGGAAAAGTTCTCAATATCATTAATCATCAAGGAAATGTAAAATCAAGCCATACTGAGATAGCATCACACACTAACCAGAAGGACTAAAATTAAAAACAATGATAATAATAAATGTTGGTGAGGAGTTGAGCTAAGAGAACCTTCAGATGTTGTTGGTGGGAGTATAAGATGGTACATTCACTTTGGAAAATTACCTAACAGATACTTACAAAACTAAAGACACATTTACCCTGGGAGGCAGCATTTCTACTCATGGTATCTACCCAGAAGAATAGTAAACACATGTTCAAAAATATCTTAAACAAAAAACGTCTCGTACAAGAATGTTCATAGCAGTTTTATTTGTGCTAGAGAAAAGCTAAAAAAAAGCATAGGCCCAATAATAGTAGAAGTGATAACATACTGTGGTATATTTATATAAAAGAATATTATTCAGCAATTCAAACAAATTACTGACATGAGCAACAGTATAGGCGAATCTAAGACTTGTATGCTGAGTAAAAAAAGCTGTGGCAGAACATAATTTTCAAGGATGGCTGAGCTATGTATGTCCTGTCCCACAGCCCTCATTACAACGTGCCTGATACGCCTCCCACCAAGAACTTAGATTGAGTCTGGGCAGTGTCTTGTGATTGCTTTAATAACAGTGTTTGGTGGAAGTGTGCTCTGACGTCATCCTAGTTATAAACTTAGAGAAGAACTATTCTAAGTTGTCTGCACAGACTTTTTCTCTATAGGACCCAGGTGGAAGTGACAAACAAATACTGAGATGGCAGCCAGATAGAGCTGCTATTCTCTAGCCATTAAAATAAAAAGAACATTAAAGATCACCATCCCTATATTCAGTATCTGTTTTATAAATACTGGTGTCATGTAGCAAATGTGGCCAAAGAGTTCAAGCAGAATTTGAGCAATACTTACCAATTCTCCCTACTCCATAGGGAGAAAAAAGGTAAGGCTGAATGAAAAAAACAGAGATAACCCGAAATCCTTCTCTAATTTGCACATAAGACTAGCAAGAGATAGGATGGGTTCTTTCTTTGGACTTGAGTTTTTTCCCTAAGCTTTTCAGAATGCCTTCTTGATGCCAAAGAAGCATTTTTAACGACTGTTATAAATAGGCTTATAAAAGAATTTTTTCTGTAGTGTTTAATGGTATCTAAAATGCTCACCATCAACTGGCAGATTTTGTGTTATGTCTTTAAGCTCCTTTTCAGTAAGGTCCATTCCTATGTTTTCCAAAACTGCATTCACTTTATTGGAATCAATCTTCCCGCCTTATGGAAAGAGAGACAGATGTAGAAGCAGAAGTTAATGTCCCTAAATTGTTGGATAAACCCTCACCCTCCTGAGGATTATGGTTATCATATTCATCCAAAGGACCAAAGCCTCATGAGAAGAAGACAGAGTAAAAAATAAGAGTTAGAATTAGAACATACTGTTTTAATTTTAATCTTCATATAAGCATACCCAGAATAAAAACTGAAAGGTGATGGAATGACTTCTCAGAGAATTCTAGTAAGGTGATAATAATTCCTGTGTCTCAAATGACTATTGTCTCACTTTCATTGTGTTTATTTTTTTTTATTAACATATAATGTGCTATTTGTTTCAGGGGTACAGGTCTGTGATTCATCAGTCTTACACAATTCACAACACTCACCATAGCACATACGCTCCCCAGTGTCCATCACCCAGCCACCCCTTTCCTCACATCCCCTTCCCCTCCAGCAACCCTGTTTGTTTCCTGAGATTAAGAGACTCTTACGTTTTGTCTCCCTCTCTGATTTCATCTTGTTTCATTTTTCCCTCTCTTCCCTTATGATCTTCTGTTTTGTTTCACAAATTCCTCATTGTGTTTATTTTTACAGTTAACTTCTAGTTATGCTAAAGGATGCTGGTTCTCCATTACCATTTAACATATTTTTAAAATTCAAGTTAAAAGTAAATCAGTTTAAATGAAAATATCAATAATACTACAAATACTGTGTGGATTTGGCAGATATCACGAAGGTAGTTTTGGGAACCTTGCTTAGACATGACCTTCTTCCTGGCCTGCTTTCTGTCTATTCAGTCCTATGTTCCTTCAATTTCTTGAAGGCTTTCTAGAGCTCTCTTGTTCTCTCTCTCTCCTTTGGTCTAAATGTCAGATTAGTAGTCTCTTGCTGCTGAATAAACTAACTGAAGAAGTGCTAATTTCCCTTTACTTTTGCTGTACAGCCTGGGCTCTGATAATTTCTTTTTCTGTCAAAGTTTGAGAAATCCCAAGAGAGCATGGGAGTTCTTTCCAAGTTACATCATAAGAAATGATCTCCTAAAGAACACATTGATCGATAAAAAACCCAAAATTATGTAATAATGTGTTAGGTGTCAAGGTTGACAATTTAATCACAAGGAATTAGTAGAAATGCCAAACATGATGACCTCAGATTAATTTGTGTCTTAGTAAGCTTCTCCCTCACCTTTAAGAAATTTTATGCCATCCAGCAACCTTCTTTGGTAGACCTTTCCATCTATAAGGAAAACATTGTTCAGATCACAGAAACTTCATAGTGGAGCTTCATTGACAGTAAGAATCAGCAATTTCAGTAAGACATATTTACGAACTGCCTTAGAAATTTTCTGATTTAGTGGCAAACAATGAAATTATAGGGCATCGGGATACTGACACTCAATCATTCTGAAATATATCTTTTCCTTTTCTTTTGCAATATTTTCATTTTCCCCTATTAGATTTCTCTTTCTTTTTTCTTATTTATTCTGGCTTAAATTTCAGATCTCTTGATAGACTCAAAAGTTACAAAATATATAATTATATAAAAGATATTAAGTGAACCCTGATGATAGGAGTCATGATAACACAATGGTTGATTCTTAAACTAAAGATTAAATGGCACAGATAACATTTTAAGGTACAATAGAGTCATTTTAAATTATGTAACATGGCTCATAAGATAATTTCTGACAAGCAATAAGATAGAGACAATTTTAGAGTTTTTGCAATTTAACAATATGCTTCCTCAGATGACTATATTTTTATTTGAAATACTCACTATCAACTGGCAGAGTTTTCATCAGTTGTGAGAGTTCTTTATCTGTGAGTTCTATTCCCATGTTTCTTAGAATTGTTCCTATGTCATTGACATCAAATTCCTCTCCTTCAAAAGGATAGAAATGATAATGTTTGATTTTAAAGAACATCTCATTATTCCAAATCATGATGAAATCTTCTACTACTGTATTAACCCCAACTACTTAATGCATAATAAAGTCAAATGAGTCCTGTTTGAATATAGTTATGGCAGAACATTGAAGTGTTTATTTCCACAACTTTAGTAATAATAGAGAGAAAATAAGAGAGTACATAGTTATGCATTTCATAATTTTCTATTGTGAGAGATTACTAGTAGGTAATAAAACTTTAGTCTCTTTTTATTATACTAACCTCTTTTTTAGTAAATACCTTAATTTGGAAAAAAAAAGAGATCATATGGCCTAATGTGGCACTATGTTTTATTGTTGAAACTTTGACAAACCAAAGTCAAAGTCTAGGAAATCAAACTACAATCAGTTTATTAAAAATAGCATAATTTAAAGGGAACAACAGGAAAGAAAGAATTTTCAGGAAAGAACAGGAAACAACATGTATGAAGAATCACAACTAATCATGAAACACTACATAAAAATCTAATGATGTACTGTATGGTGACTAACATAACATAATAAAAATACATATAAAAAATCAGAATCATATATACTTGGTAATTTCTTCCTCACCTGTAACAGCTTCTACCTTATCCGTCAGGTTTTTCAGATCAACTTTCTTATAGCCTATAAGACAAAGTTTAATCAGAGAAAAACAGTATCATGGACTCAGAAAAAAGATACATAAGACAAGTCCTTTTTTTTTTTTAAAAGAAGTCCTTTTTATTTAAGATTTAATGTTCGAAGATGACCAAAGCAAATAAATTTGTTTACAATGAAGACCAAGATTTAATAGTAAATAATGAATAAAAGTGATCTTAAAATGTTGTATTAAATAATAAAAATGAAAATTGTGAAAACAAGTTTATCTTATCTAATATTTAAGAAAATTCAGGTTGTAATTATAGCTATTCTAATAGTTATTCTATAGGCTGTAAAATAATTCTTAGGAGAAGCAATGAAGCCACACTGACTTCTACAAGTGTGTTGAGATATTTTTTTCTGAGAAAGTTAGGTAATTGTACACTACAGTATCCTTTTGAACTTTGAAACAAGATGTAGAAAAATAACCTTTATGAAAATGATTGACTTTTCCTAAGGGTTCCTTCAAATCTTTTGAAATCCATTTTTGTATATTGAATGTCCTATCTCATTATTATTCATGTAGAATTTTTCTTCAATTATTAAATGTTGGAACTCTGCCAGGTCCACATTTTTCATGGCTTTGTGTGATTTGGGCAGTCCTTCAATGTTACTTTTACTTAGTTCATGAAATGATGCATGTTTCTCAAGTTTCATAAGGAGTATTATCTTGTGGTACCACGTGTTGATGAAATGGGCACTGCTGTACTAAGCAGTGAGGGATTTTAGAGAGAAGCTAATTACTTAAGTGGTCAACTTAGTGATTCCCGAAACCTAATTGGTGGATAAGAACACAGCCCAAATCCTATCATTTTACCAGACCATTTGCATTCATCTTTAATTAAAAGCAAAATAAATTGAGATTAAAAAGTTAGAATTTTAAAACATACTTTGTGAAACAAATTAAAAAATATATAAGCGTATGAAGAAAAGGTAAATTTACCTCTCCTCAGTTTCATGACTACTCCTCCCCATTACTAACAGTTTTGTGTATATCCTTCCAGACTTTCCTTATGTTTATAAAGGTATACTATATATATTTTTTCAAAATTAATTATACTATACCTATTTTTCTGTTAACTTGTTATAGTGACCACAAAAATAAAGCCATCTCAAATCCATGAACAGAGAAATGAGGAATGGGTCAATGGATTGGGTTATAACCTGAGTTGATGTCAGAAATATATGGCACAGCGAGAAAAAAATACATTACAGATCCTATTTTTGTAAAACCAGACAACAGTAATCCCTCCCCTTCTCACTAGCACCTATCCCTACCCTGAGATGTATGTATAAAGAAACAGATTACAGATTTTAAATCAACAAAAATAAATGGCCTTTTTGCCCCTTGAGTTCTTGTAAAAGCTATTCACATGGCTTCAGGCAACAAATAATTTAAACATTTGAAACAGTCACAGTTAATCCTGCAAGCTCAACATCTTTTAAAATCACTGTGTTTTCCATAGGGCTCACCACTCAGAAGATCCTTTAACAGATTGAGTTCCTGTTCTGTAAGCTTGACCTCCATGGCTTCTAAAACAGGATCCAGATTATTTACATCAACCTTCCCTCCTTGAAAACATGAAAGGAAAGGGAAAAAATTGAATGATTATAAATATTTAGAAAAATGTGTAAACACATATTATTATCTTCAACTAACAGGCAATATACTGTTTTCCCCCAGCTTTATTGAGATATAACTGGCATATAAAATTGTGTAAGTTTAAGGTATACAATGTAATGATTTGATATACGTATATTGCAAAATGGTTACCACAATAAGGTTAGTTAACACATCCATCATCTCACAGTTACATCGTGTGTGTGTATGTGTGTGTGTGTGTATAGTTAAGATTTACTCTTTAAGCAATTTCCACAAATACGATATAGTATTGTCAACTACAGTCACAATGTTGTACATGTTGTACATGGTATCTCCAGAATTTACTCCTCTGATAGCTGGAGGTTTGTATTCTTTGATTATCTTCACCCATTCCTTTCCCCATTCCCCTGCCTCTGGCAACTATCAATCAGTTCTGGGTTTGTTTGTTTGTTTGTTTGTTTTTTCTGGATTCCAGATATAAGTGAAATCATATCGTATTGTATCAGACTGTTTTTTTCTGTCTGACTTATTTCACTTAGCATTGTGTCCTCAAGATTCATCCATGTTGTTGTAAATGGCAAGACTTCCTTCTTTTTTACAGCTGAGTAGTATTCTAATGTGTGTGTGTGTGTGTGTATCTCCTATTTTATTTATTCATTCATCTGTCCATAGATACATTGTTTCTGTGTCTTGAGTATTGTTAAATAATACCGCAAGGAACACGGGGGTATAAACACTTCTTTAAGATAGTAATAGTTGTTTACTGTTACGTGAATACACATGCTGAAAGAGAATGACTTCCTAATCTAGTATAACTGCGAAAATTTTCAGAGAAAGAACAAAACCACAATAGATTTGCATGATTCCTTATAAGCAGAGTTACAATTTAAAGAATTAAAAGTTAGAATTTGAACTTGTTTCCTCCAGTGTTAGACATACAGGCCCAGGAAAAAGTGAGGTGGGACAGGGCTGTGCAGCTGTAACTGAACAGCACTGAACAAAAATCTCCACACAGAAACAGAGATCGTATTTGTTTCCTAAACTCTTACTCTCAGATTATTTTCTCTGCTCCTGCTCACATTTTGGAATAAATGTTAAACCTTCCTCTCTGCGTCCCACTTTCCTCCTTCCTCCCCACTTCCTTCCTTGCTTTCTTTCTTTCCTCCTCCTATCTTTCCTTCCATCTTTATTTCTGTTCATATGTTTCTTCAGAGAAAGCCTGAAAAATGCAATCCAGTAGAAAACTTACATCTAAGACAAAGTAAGGGTTATTACCAGGAAAAACACAGATGTGATACAAGCAGCAAATTGTGTTATAATGTGTATAAAATTTATACCAATACCAATCTATTGGTATAAATTTAATGATAATTAGGGAGAGAGCCCAAATGTCCTTCAACTGATGAATGGTTAAAGATGTGGTACACACACACACACACACACACACACAGAAATATTATTCAGCCATCAAAAAGAATTAAATCTTGCCATTTGCAATGATGTGGATGGAACTAGAGCATATTACACTAAATGAAATAAGTCAGAGAAAGACAAATACAATATGATTTTACTCATATGCAGAATTAAGAAACAAAACAGATGAACACAGAAGAAGGGAAGGAAAAGTAAAATAACAGAGAGGGAGGCAAACCATAGAGGCTCTTAATTATAGAGAACTAACTGAGGGTTGCTGGAGGGTAGGTGGGTGGGGGAATGGGCTTGACAGGTGAAGGGGATTAAGGAGGGCACTTGCGGGGATGAGCACTGGGTATTCTATGTAACTGATGAATCATCAAATTCTACTCCTGAAACCAATACTATATGTTAACTAACTTAAATTTAAATAAAATTTTAAAAATTTAAGGCTTAAGGATATTTCATATGTCTCCTCTTTGTACTTCTTACTCACTTTTATTATATCTCACACCCTTCAGCAACCTGTTCTGAAACACCTTTTCATGAGCTGTAAGAGAAGGCACAGTTCAGATCTCTAGGAAATTGGTATGAAGAGTTACCAAATCATTATAAATTATATGACCGTAGAAGATACATTTCAATGATTTGCTTTAAAAATTAACCTATTTTATAGTTATACAATAAGGACATTTAAAAATATAAGTGTTTTCCATAGTGACAAACATGCCAACTCTTTGGAATTAGAGACATTTATTGAACTCTCTCATGGTGCAATTCTAAAAAATACATTAAACTGTATCTTTCTTTTTTTTCAGATTTTTTATTTATTTGAGAGAGAGAGAGAATGAGAAAGAGAGAGAGCATGAGAAGGGGGAGGGTCAGAGGGAGAAGCAGACTCCCTGCTGGGCAGGGAGCCTGATGTGGGACTCGATCCAGGGACTCCAGGATCGTGATCTGAGCTGAAGGCAGTTGCTTAACCAACTGAGCCACCCAGGTGCCCATGTCTTTCTTTTTATTCCACTGATGTCCTATTTCTCCTTCTGATTTTTCATTGCTCTGATTGAAAAACTGTGGCTGATCTGAAGGGGAAGAATTAGTCAATTGGACAACTATATGGCAATGTAGTGATGAATCTAAAATTGTGATCGAAGAGGTAATGACAGAATTTCTATCAATCTAAGGCATTTTTAAGGCAAAACTGTACTATTAGAAGATTGAGAATGGGTCACATTAACCCATTAAATCAAGTTCCCTGGATGGCAAGGTGGCGTTTATGTGGCATTTACTTACCATCAATGGGTAGTGTTTTCAGCAAGTGCTTGTGCTCCTTATCTGTAAGCTCAATCCCCATGTCTTTCAGAATATTTTGTAGGTCACTGGCATCAATCTTTTCTCCTTTGAAAAGATGGAATAGTTGTAGGTTAAAATATGAAGGGACAATCTAATTATTTTAAATCATGTAGACATACACTTCTGCTGCTCTAGTCTTTTCTCTAATACCAGAATAAGAAGGAAAAGCAGAGTGAAAGATTTCCTGATAAAAAGAGTCAAATGGTAAATAAAAAATAGAATTTGTCCCTTAGTAATACTAAACAGGAAGGGGTGGCTGGGTGGCTCAGTCAGTTAAGGGTTTGCCTTCAGCTCAGATCATGTTCCTGAGGTCCTGGGATCGAGCCCTACATTGGGCTCTGTGCTCAGCAGGGAGTTTGCTTCCCTCTCTCCTCTGCCCCTCTCCCTGCTTGTACTCTTTCCCACTCTCTCAAATAAATAAATAATGTCTTTCAAAAAGATAGTGAACAGGATATATTCCTGATACTGAGAATAATACCACATAGTGCAGAAGCAAATCTGATCATATAGTTACCTAAAAATAAGGTCAAGAGATGGTTAGTATAATATAATACACAATTAACAAACTATGACATATTTTACTTTATTTTGTTAAAACTATGTGATTAGTTGGCGGCAGTGGACTTATTATTTTTAATGTTCCACTCTACTTTTACTGTGTCCATCTAGTTTTTGGTCTATAAGTACCAGCCAGATAGTTTCATTGAAAAAAAAAGAAGCATCAGAGTATAAGACTTATTAGGAGGAAGTTATCTTTTTGTTTTACTTATAAACTCAGATCATGTTAGATTAAGCTATTGATCAGTAGATGCAAATATTTATCAAAATGAATGCTGAAAATATGTGAATTTATAGCCAGTTTGAGAACATGTTATTAAAATTTTTAATGTAAATCATGATTTATTACAAATCATTTTTAACAAATTCTTACCTGTAAAAGCTTTCGCTTTATCCTTCAAAGTTTCCAAAGCAACTTTATTATCACCTGTAACAAAAAACCATAACTTGAAGCTCATAAAATGATGTAAAACACATACACATGTATATATATAAAACACAATGATGTAAAACACAACTCCTCCCCTTCACATTATAATAGCACTTAAGTGTCCTGGACATCTTATTAAGTACTTCAAGTTGTCATTCAATAAATATTTACTCAGAATATGTTATAAGCATAGAGTAGAAAAAAAATTAAAATATTAAAGATATACTTATTTCAAAAATGTAAATTTGACTTTCTATTTCATAAAATATCAACTGTTGAATTTGACGATGAAAAGATAGGATTCAAAAGTGGCTTTCTTGTTCTTGGAATTGGGAAGACTCTTCTAGAGACCATGCCACCTGTGTTCACAAACTACATTCCCAGCTTCTTTGTCAGTGTCATTGCCTCATCTCCAATCTTGACATCTTCTGCATAAAAAGTTCCCTTCCATTCCTCTCATTGCTAAAAGGTACATAAAATCTAAAACTCAAAATCCAACAGTATCTCATATGCTCACCACTGACGGGCAGGTTTTGTTTCAGATCTTCCAGTTCCTTGTCAGTGAGCTCGATTCCCATGTTGCCTACAACGGTTTCTAGGTTCTTGACGTCAATCTTCCCTTAATCAGAAAGAGAAAGGCCTGTGAGGAAAATTGAGTGACTCTAAGAAAGTTATTTTTAAGTTAAAATTTTTTTTTTAAGAGAAGATGGGTCTTTCTGTCAAGGCATAAAAACTAAAATTTTATTACCAAAACATGGATACCACAAAGTCCAACTCTGGGCAAATACTTACAATAAGGAGTACAGTAACAGAATCAACATGGCAGTTAAGGTGAATGGTAAATGTAGTTACTGTTCCAATAGGAATTCTAGGTTTATAGTGACTTTGTACTCACCTGTAATAGCTTTCACTGCTTCCATCAAGTTAGGCAGATCAACATTCCCATTTGCTACATAAGTCCAAAAGAGACATATAATCAGTGACATGAACTTAGAAAAAGATATAAATTATTCATATAGTATAATAAATTCCAGCTAAATTTGACTCATATCCTAATTTTAATGGATATTCCTGTAAGTAGAGGATTACCCGATGCCCTAGTGCTATCTCTTGGGCTCACCATCAACTTGTAGTTGTCCTGACAGTTCAGCAAATTCCTCCTCTGTGAGCCTCATTCCCATATTTTCCAAATTAGTATAGAGGTTATTAGTTTTCATCTTCCCACCTTAGGAAAGAGACAGTGAAGCAACATTTGGAAAAAAAAGTATATATAGCAAAATTTAAAAAAAAATAGTGAAACTATTAACTTTAATGACCACATATTATTAAAACAAAAGAGACAAAACATAAAACATATTTCATGCCTCTGTTATGGTTACATTTCAACAAGACTAAAACCCCAAATAGACCTGTCCACTTGAAGACCCAAAGAGAAAGTCAGGAGAGAGTCAGAATGAGAATTGTATTTCCTTTAGTCTATTCTTTTTGACAAGCCTACATAATAAAACAGGGTTAAGGGGCTCGAACAAATAGAACTACAGGCCACTAACTTAATTACTCAGAACAAAAAGTAGGGTTATTTTTGTTTATTGATTTGACATATTATGTATCATTGTAGCTGACCATTGCTCTTTGAAAATGATCAGGGTTTTTTGTTTGTTTGTATTTCATAGGATTGATTTTTCTTTTTGAGAAAGAGTTGAAAAAAATCTAAGAAGATACTGGACTGCCTGCCAAGAGAGAGTGCATATTAACAGCAGATAAAATGTAGTTATGCTGAAGGAATCATAAATGAAAACTTAAAGAGGGCCAAGGTTCATGCTTAGATGATATATCTGGAGAATCCAGATAATATGCCTTATAATTTTGTTTCTTACTTACTTTTAGGAGACTTCATAGCCTTCAGTAACCTATTACGATATAACTTTCCATTGGCTGTAAGAAAAGTCAGAATTCATGTAATGGTAAAATGAATATGAAATTCACAAAAATAGCACAAGTAGAATCATTTGGAAACAGAAAATCTAGTCTTTTATCAATATACAAAAATTGATTGTATATACTGTTGCAATGAGCAAACCAAAAAGGAAACTAAGAAAGCAATTCCATTTACAAGAGCATCAAAAAGAGTAAAATGCTTAAGAATCATTTTAACAAAAGAAGTACAAAACTTATACTCTGGAGATTATAAAACATTGTAGAAAGAAATTAAAGAAGACCTAAAGAAATGAAAAGACACCTAAGTTTATGGATTGGAAGACTTAATATTGTGAATATGGCAATACTCCCCAAATTGATCCATGGAATCAATGCACTCTTATAAAAAATTCTAGCTGGTTTGTTTGCAGAAATTAATGAGCTGATCCTAATATTCATATGGTAAAGCTGGGGCCCCAAATAGCAAAAATAATCTTGAAAAGGAAAAAAGAAGTGGGGGTCTCACACTTTTTTTTTTTTAAAAGATTTTATTTATTTATTTGAAAGAGAGGCAGTGAGAGAGAGCATGAGCGAGGAGAAGGTCAGAGGGAGAAGCAGACCTCCCTGTGGAGCTGGGAGCCCGATGCGGGACTCGATCCTGGGACTCCGAGATCATGACCTGAGCTGAAAGCAGTCGTCCAACCAACTGAGCCACCCAGGCGTCCCTCACACTTTTTTTATTTAAAGATTTATTGATTTATTTGAGAAAGTGAGCACGCTGGCTTGTGATGTTCATGGGGGGAGGGACAGGGCAGAGGGAGAGAATCTTAAGTAGTCTCCCTGCTGAGCGCAGAGCCCCATATAGGGCTCAATCCCACAACCCATGAGATTATGACCTGAGCTGAAACCAATAGTTGGACACTTAATCAATGGAGCCATCTAGGCACCCCACACACTTTTCATTTTAAAAACTACAAAACTACAGTAATCAAGACAGTGGGATACTGTCATTAAAAAAAAAAGTGGATATATAGATCAATGGAATAGAATTTTGAATCCAGAAATAAGCCTTCCAATTTCTGGTCAATTGACTTTTGACAAGGGTACCAGCACCATTCAGTGAAGTAAGAACGGGCTTTTCGACAAATGGTGCTGGGACAACTGGATATTCACATGCAAAGAGAATATTCTTTTGGATCCCTATCTCACACTATATACAAAAATTAACTCAAGATGGGGCCGTTGGGTGGCTCAGTCAGCTAAGTGTGTGACTCTTGATTTTGGTTTGGGCTGTGATCTCAGGGTCATGAGATTGAGCTCTGCATAAGGTTCTATGCTGGGTGTAGAGCCTGCTTGGGATTCTCTCTCTCCCTCTCTCTCTGCCCCTGCTCAACTCTCTGTAAAAAAATAAAAATAAAAAATTAACCGAAGGTGGATCAAAGACCAAATTATAAATGTTAAAACTATAAAAATATTAGAAGAAAACAGCTGTAAGTTTTCTTAACCTTAGGTTAGACAATGTTTTTTTTTTTTTTATATATGACACCCAAAGCACAAGCAACAAAAGAAAAAATTATAATCTGGACATCAACAAAATTAAAAACTTCTGCACATCAAGGAACACTATCAAGAAAGTAAAAATATAATTCACAGAACAGGAGAAAACTTTTGCAATCATATATCTGATAAGGAACTTGTATCTAGAAAACATAAGGGACTTGTATCTAGAATATATAAAGAACTTCTATGATTCAATAATAAAAAGACACCTAATTTAAAAATGGACAAGGGATATGAATAGATTTTTCTCCAAGGGAGACATACATTTAGCTAATATACACATGAAAAGATGCTTAACATCATTAGCCATCAGGAAAATTGAAACCAGAATAAGATACAACCTCACACTCACTATGAGGTAATCAAAGGACAGATAACAAGTGTTGACTAGGATGTGGAGAAATTGGAACTCTGATGGACTGCTGGTAGAAATGTAAAGTAGGGCAGCCACTCTGGTAAACAGCCTAGCTTCCTCAAATGGTTCAACATAGAGTTACAATATGACCCAACAATTTCACTCTTAAGTTATATACCCAAGATAAAAGAAAATATGTATCCATGTAAAAACTTGTACATGAATGTTCAGAGGAGTATTATTCATAATAGCTAAAATGTGGAAACCATCCTAATATCCATCAATCCAAGAATGGATAGATAAAATGTAGTATGTCCATACACAGCATATTATTCAGCTGTGAAAAGAAACAAAGTACAGTTGACCTTTGAAACAGGGGTTTGAACTCTGCATGGAGTGTTTGCAATGCTGTAAATGTAAATGTAAATGTATTTTCTCTTCCTTACAATTAATTTCTTTCCTTCCTTCTCTTCTCTTCCTTTCCTTTCCTTTCCTACCCTCCCTCCCTCCTTCTCTTTCTTTCTTTCTTTAAGATTTTTATTTATTTAGAGAGAAAAAGAGAGAGAGTGCGAGCAGAAGAAGGGGGAAAGGGTAAAGGTAAAGGGAGAGAATCTCAAGCAGGCTCTGTGCTGAGCATGGACCTGAATGTCAGCTTGTGACCTGAGCTTGTAATCAAGAGTCAGAAGTTTAGCCGACTGGGCCACCCAGGCACCTGTCTTCCTTATGATTTTCTTAATAACACTTTCTTTTCTCTAGCTTACCTACTGTAAGAGTATATAATACATATAGCATACAAAACATATATCAATGGACTGTTTATGTTGTCTGTAGGGCTTCTGGTCAGCAGAAGGCAATTAGTAGTTAAGTTTTTGGAGAGTCAAAAGTTATATACAGATTTTTGTCTGCTCAGGGAGTCAGTGCTCCTAGCTCCCGTGTTGTTCAAGGGTCACCTCTACTGAGAATACGTAACAGGATTGGGATGAACCTTGAAACCATTGTGCTAAGTGAAACTAGTCACAAAGCACCACAAATTGTATGATTCTCTTTATGTGGAACATTCAGAACAGGAAAACGGATAAAGATAGAAAATAGTCATTGCTCAGAGCTGAGGGGCATGGAGAAATTGGAAGGTGACTGTCAGTGGGTCTGGGGTATCTTTCTGGGATAATAGAAGTGTTCTAAAGTCGTTTGCAGTGATGAAGGCAGGATTTTGTGAATATATTAGAATTCACTGAGTTGTATACTTTATTGGGTTAATTGTATGATACGTGCATGATGTCTCAGTAATTCTGTTAAAAATGTTTTACTCCAAATTTTCATCTTTGTGTAACAATGAAATTATAAGGAAGAGAAGGCTTTTTCAATATGATAAACTTATCCTCTTGAGTAGGCTTACTATACTGTATAAATATCTTCCCTTTCTTTTTAATTACTTTATCTTTAATTTCTTCCACTGCTCTCTTATCTCTTTTTTTTTTCCTTCTTTTGGTATAAGCCCTGAAGGGCAACAGCAGACATTTGTTAGTTCTGATGGCAACTTACATCTGAGGAATTGCTTGGTTTCTAAAATAAACTCTAAATGACACTCACAGTTTTTATATGTAGCTTACATTTTGGTTTTTAAAAAATGTTCTATCATATTTTAGAAGAAATTAAAAAGTTGCATGCAGATCCACAAAAATCTAAGTTCCCTGGAAGATTCCACAGACTCTTGTATGACTCACCATCAATCGGCAGTATTTTCAGCATCTCCTCTAGTTCCTTATCTGCAAACTCAATTCCCAGATTTCCCAGAACATTTTTTAGATTATTTGACTCAATCTTCTCACCTTTGAAAATAGGAAATTTGGTATACACCTTCATTTCACATAACAGTAATTATTTCTAATGAAATAATTATTTTAGGATAATTAATATCATCTCCTCATTTTCAGACTGAAGAATAAAGTAAAAATAAAACATTTCAACAACAAAATCAGTGTAGATGTTAGGTCAAATTTATTTCCTTAATATGAACAAGAGAGTTTCTTCTAAAATTAGGGACAGACTACTTTCAGAATAAAATTTGATCTATTGATTAAAAAAATAGATGCTTACATGAATTTTTCTTTGAAAAAGTATTTTAGTTAAAAAAATAAGAATTAAATTATAAATGCAATGAAGGCATTACCTCAATCAATTTTAGGCTCCATTCTGATTTTCTGTGTCATTCTATAGGTGGTTATTAATCACTGGTGAACTGAATTATATTATTGACATAAACAACAGAGATTATAGAACTTGAAAGCAAGAGATAGTATGGTAATTTCATTGTAAAAACCGATAATTTTATATCAATACATGAAACATTAGAGACAAATACTTCATTAACAAATAAAGAGAAATACCAGAATTTAGAAGTCAATGATGGAGTACTAGGAAATATCAGAAAAAAACAAAATTTAATGTAGATAATAGGAATCCTAATTTTATGGTAACTTTTCACTCACCTGTAAAATCTGTGATGTTTTCCATCAGTGTTTCTAGAGGAATTTTCTCATCAACTATAGAAGAAGATCAAAATCACAGTATATTATATTATAGATCTCATATGTTATAGATCTCATATATCATATAGATCTCATATTATGAGATACAATACAAAGTTGGTGGAAAAACATAGGAACAACTATAATAGTTGCACTTCTATGGGTCAGGCCTTATCCTAATTGTTTTATATGTTTATTTAACAATTTTTTAAAAAGATTTTATTTATTTATTTGACAGAGAGATCACAAGTAGGCAGAGAGGCAGGCAGAGAGAGAGGGCGAGGCAGGCTCCCCGCTGAGCAGAGAGCCCAATGAGGGGCTTGATCCCAGGACCCTGATATCATGACCTGAGCCGAAGGCACAGGCTTAACCCACTGAGCCACCCAGGAGCCCTTAACAAATATTTTTGAACACATTTTCTAGATTATTATTCTCTCCAGTTTTTAAGATTAGCATGAATGAGAGGAACAACCCAACATGAAAACCATACAATTGCAGTGATGCAATTTGGCCTATAATATCTCAAATTTATTTGTGTTAGAGGAAGTTATTCAGAAGTGAGTGCACTGAAAGAATGCTCCATTCTCGTATTCAGAATTGGAAAGACTACTAACCATGATACTTGCAGAGAGTATGAAAGTCACACCTATAACACATATAAAAAATCTGTTTCAATTTTGACTTTGTTAACTGGATACTCATCAACTCAAATGACATTCTCCATGTTTTAGTCATTGCTGTGTTGTATCACCACTTGGCTCTTGGGCTTTCCCTTCCCCTTATGGAAAAGGACATTTCTTTCCTTAAAGGTTCTTTTAACTAAACTCTCTCCAGGGTTAACCAGTGTATCTGATAACATCCTTACCACCAACATGTATGTTTTCAACTAGATCTTTAAGTTCTGTATCTGCAAGCTTGATCCCCAGGTTGTTCAGAACGGTGTCCACGTTGTTGATATTGACTTTCCCACCTAAGAAATATAACAGTGCATAAAGAATATTAAATGACCCCAAAGGACAAGTGCTTACACTCTTTTGATACACATATCCCATTGTGAATTTCTTAAACAGTAGATCATTACTCATATAATTTGCACACTGTTTCAGACAGATTATATACTCACTAAAGCCTATTCAAGGATTCCCCCAAAGTCTACTACTTACCTAAAGTAAGGAATATTTGCTCTAAAGTGAACATAATAAAAAAAAGAATAATTTGGGAAAATTGCCACTTCTTTGGTGCCAATACACTTGTATTGTTTACTAGTAGAATATAACTCGTTCACTAGTAAAATATACCTCTCCATTAAACAAATAAAGTAAAAAAAATAAATTAATTAGTGTTCAACAATTTTAACACAGAGACCAAATATTTTAAGCCCTCAACTACAAAGTTTGAATTAAGGCTACTTCCCTTGAGATTTGTCTTGGGGACCAGCCTACACAAACACAAGGTTTTAAAGGGCACTCAGTACTGAAATTAGTTTGAAAAAGGTATAGAAATAGAGGCTCAGAGTATGGACAGGTCTCTCAATAAGTGAATGAGAAAGGGAAGAAAGAGATTGAGTTGTGGCCAAAGAGGGGTATGAAGAGTTTTAGTTTGCTTATTTTATAGGATGGGATACGCTGAGCATGTAGATGGGCTGAAAGGAAGGCCTGTCCATTGAGGAAGAGGTTGAAAATGGTGAATGGGATGAAGTCTTAAAGATGTGGGAGAGAATGGAGTCAATCCTGGTAAGCCTTGAAGAGGAAGAGCTACTTTTCACTCATCCTTTGATACTAGGACGGGTATGCTTAAAGATACCTGTAAAGGTAGGGATTGGGGATAGAAAGCTGAGGGCTATCACTCTTGCTAGCCTCAATTTTCTTGGAGCATTGAACAAAATCTGGTGGAGAAAAAATAAATGGTGTTCAATAAATGCTCAGGGAATTCTGGTACTGGAGGTAAATATTCTTTAGTTCTCAACAGTTGTAGATTGACTTTTGATGAATGAATTCAGTCTATTTTTTTTCTGCTATTTATTAAATTCCCTGAATCATTGCTAATCCTTTCTATATTTTTTTGCTATGCAAACTTGAAATTTGGTATTTTTCTTCCTGAAAATTTGGAAAATGACAAGAAAGTGTGGTGCTTTACTTCCAAGATAGAACATGAGATTATCTGCTAAAATAAAGATTGAACTCTAAAAAAGTATACATTTGCAATCAGTATATATGACAGATGGCAGCAAATTCATATTTCAGAAACAGTATAAAATGAAGATCTCATATTCATTTGTATTCTCATTATGTTTCTCACCCACCTTTAAGAGACTTCACACCTTCTAGCAACCTGTTCTTGAAGACTTTGTTATCATCTATAAAAAAAGGGCACATTTAAGGTCATGGTGAAATGATGTGGCTTTTCACTAAAATTATTTCAGTAAAACTGGAATTTTCATGATATACTCTATGATATACTCTAGAAATTTCCCCCATTAATATAAAGTATGAGAGAAAATTAGGGAAAGTTTATAACACGGTAAGTCTATCCAAAATTTAGCACACAAGGTGCCCTATAATATACACAACTTTTTTGGTAACAGCACCTCTGACCTTTTATACCCTCACAGTTTAACACCCCTCTTTCCCTTGTTTACTTCCCACAATTGCCTGTAGCTATCTACAAGGTAAGGGTATCCTCAGAAATTTATTCCCTTCAATGGTATGAGTCAGTATGCTGGGGATGCTTATCCCAAAACTGAAAGATAAACTGCATAGATGGAAAATTCCCTCAGGAATAAGTAAACATTTAAATTATTTTGAGATGGGTATAATTTTTAAATTTATTTATTTTTGCATCTTAGCAAATGGGGATAGTTTGAGTTTTAAAAAAGAGCTCAAAAGGAAACAAAACAAAACAAATGAACATGGGGGAAAAAAAGAGAGAATAAAACCAAGAAACAGACTCTTAACTATAGAGAACAAACTGATGGTCACCAGAGGGGAGGTGGGTAGGGAGATGGCTGAAATAGGTGATGAGGATTAAGGAGGCCCTTGTGATGAACAGTGGGTATGGAAGTGCTGAATCACTAAATTCTACAACTGAAACTAATATTACACTGTATGTTAACTAACTTTTAAAAACCCTTTAAGGTCACATCAATATTTGAAATATTTACCATTGAAAGGCAGACTTTTCATCAGCTTCAAACGTTCCTTATCTGTGAATTCTATTCCCATGTTTTTCAGAAGAGTTTTCACATCTTTAGCATCAAGCTCCCCTCCTTAAAAAAGGCAGACATCATGACATATATGAATTTAAAGGATCATTTAATGATTCCAAATAGGAAAAATCAATCTATAGCTACATAGCTTGAATACGTACAGAATAAAGAACGAAGGCCAATGAGACCTCTCCAAGTATACTATGACATTCACAAAAAAAGAATTTGATCTTTAAATGCTAACAAAAGAAGTCACAATCATATTGACAATGACAAAGCAATTCTGAACCCAGTGAAACTTACATTGTGTATCTGTCTTTTCAATTAGAATACTGTCAATTAATTATTCAAATAATTATATCAAATAAGATCTGTTAGTCTCATTTTTATAAGTTTTCTGCAGTTTTTACCAAAATTTTACTTCATATATTATTTTACTAATATAGAATTTGGCTATATTGTATGGTGACTAACATAACATTAAAAAAAAAACCTAGTACCTGGGCCCCTTTATTAAAAAAAAAAAAGAATTTGGCTGTTCTAAAGTGAAGAACAAAATATATAAATAAAATATATACCAGAAAATACATAAATTGTTAGTAATTTAATGAATAAGGAAATAAATGCCATAACTAGGTGGCAATTGAGGGATAATGATAAAATATAATTACTATAAATACTAAATGTCTTGGATAGATAATTTTTCACTTACCTGTAGTAACTTTGACTTCATCCATCACCTCTTTCAGACCAACCATCCTATTAGCTACCAAAAAAGGCACAATGCAAATAATGTCAGAAGTACAGAACACAAACGTAAGACACATATTTTGTGGAAACAATTCCATGAAAAATTCCCTGGATCTCAGGGAGTTAAAATGATCTCCGTTAATACAAAGGTCTCTTATATCTTAGAAACTGGGTCAGGAAAATTGTGCTCTTCCCAGTGTTTTGGATGCCATTATAAGCCATAGTTGAAGATATCGGAGTTGACTAGGTATTCTGGAAACTTTACTTCATGTAGCAACAAACAGCTGAGAAAGGGACCATTAATCTAGCTTGGTATGTTTTAAGATTGCTTCCTGCAGGAGATAATTCATGAACTATATTAATGTATCAGAGCGGCTAATCTAAAATATGGAGGGATGGAAAAAACTTCACATGGAGAAGCTGAGAAAAGGGAAAAGTAGAGGGGCATCATGCTATGTGTTTGAAACTACAAATAGTTCAACATGGCTTGAACAGAAGGAAAATGAGAGAAGATATATCCAGATGGGCAGATGGAGACTGAAGGTCTCATGCACTATGATAAGAATCTTTGAATTCATTTTAGAGCGAAGATTTCAGTAGACAGAAGGATAGATAGAAAAATGGGCCTGTTGACTTCTCTATAAATAGATTTTCAAATCCTTTTTATTTTGCTTTCTTATTATCTAGACCTATTAGATCCTGACAGTACCCTCTGCAATTCTTGGTATACACAGGGAAAGGTGATGCTACTTTGATTAATTGTAATGATGATCCAAGATTTACTCTGACTTTAAAATAAGGCTCTCCAGGGGCACCTGGGTGGCTCAGTCAGTTAAACCTCTGCCTTCAGCTTAGGTCATGATCCCAGGGTCCTAGGATCAAGACCCGCATCAGTCTCCTTGCTCAGCAGTGAGCCTGCTTCTCCCTCCCCTTCTACCTGCTGCTCTGCCTACTTGTAATCTCTCTCTCAGGGTTTGTGTCAAATAAATAAATAAGATCTTTAAAAAAAATAAAATTAGGCTCCCCTCCTAGTATCCATAGATAAACGAATGGATAAAGATGTGATACACACACACACACAGGCAAATATTTTTTAGCCATAAAAAAGGATGTGATCTTGCCATTTGTAACAACAATGCGGATGGAGCTAGAGGGTATAATGCTAAGTGAAATAAATCAGAGAAAGACAAATATCACACAATTTCACTTATCTGTGGTATTTAAGAAACAAAACAAATGAACAACAACAACAAAAAACCAAAAAGAGAGAGGAGACAAACCAAGAAACAGACCCTTAACTATAGAGGACAAACTGGTGGTTACCAGAGGGGAGGTCTGTGGGAGAACGGATGAAATTTATGATGGGGCTTGATGAGTACACCTGTCATCATGAGCACTGAGTAATGTATAGAATTATTGAATTACTATACCGTACACTTGAAATAATATAGCATAGTATGTTAACCTTATAGGAATTAAAATTTTAAAAACTTAAATTAAAAAAATAAAATTAGGCTCTCCTCCAACCTCTCTAATATGCATCTGTCAAATCAATCTATTTTTAAACACATCAGATATAAAGCAAAATAGAAGATGCCTTGAAGATATCTAATGCTCACCATCAACTTCTAGGTTTTCTGAGAGATTTGCAAGTTCCTCTTCTGTGAGCTCAATTCCCAATTTTTTTAGAGTGTTGTCCAGCTCATTTGTACGAACCTTCCCCCCTTAGAAAAGAGACAATGTAGGAATTATGAAAAAAGTATATAAGTATATTATACCAAAATTTTGCATGCATATCAACATTCTGTTTATTGGTTTTTATAAGGTGAGGTGATGAATGTGGTAATCATTTTGCAATATATAAGTGTATCAAATATCACACTGTATACTTTAAACCTACGTGTTATATGTCAATTATGCACCAATAAAGTTGATAAAGAAAAGACTATCCCATGGCCAACTGACTGAGGAAGAAAAAAAAACTGAATCTGAGCCACTTTGTCTTCCTGTTCCTATGTGTCTACAAGTAAAAAAAGGGATGACTTTACTGATTGGAGTGATTTATTCTGACCATCAGGGGAAACTGGGCTGCTGCTACTACACAGTGGGGATAGGGATAGATATGTCTAAAATGTAGGACACCTGCTGGTATCCCCTTGTTCTGTGATTAAAGCTAATTGTAAATTAAATAATGCAATACAACAGAGACAGGTCCGACAATGGCCCTTATCCTTCAGGAACAAAATTTAGGATCACCCACCAGGTAAGGAGTTAGGAGCAGCTGAAGTGCTTGGTGAGAGAGAGGGCAATACGAAATGGAAATGCAAAAGGCAAGATAAATACTAACTATATCCATGTGACCAGTTGCTAAAGGACTGCCCAAGACTGTAACAGTTATGAGTATTTAACCAATTCTTTTCTTTTTATCTCCTCCTCCATTTTCCCTGCATCTACATAAGATTTGTGAACAGAAGATTTGTGAACAGTAGCTAGTCTTATATCATTGTTTAAATTATAGGATGTCAAGGAAGAATGTGAGTCAATTAGAAAATGAACATAACCTAGAGATGGATAGAGTGATAGCTGGGATTTTGAAACATATTCTGAGAAGAGGGTTAGCATAGTTTTGGTTGTATGAGAAACTGTGATTACTGTTTTTATTAGAAATATAGGAGAGGCTAAAAGATATATATATATATGTGTGTGTGTGTGTGTATATATACACACACACACACACATATATATATATATATGGCTGCCAAGTTGCCAAGGGGAAGATGATGGTAGACTGTGACTGTGTCAAATTGGCTAAACTGGAATTATATTTCTAGGATTTCCCTCACCTATAGAGTTCTGGCAGGCCACAGAAAATTTTGCAGGAGATCTGGAAGGCACAAGTGAAGGAGCTGCTCCTATACTCTAAAGGTCAGTGTCAGGGAGACCCTGGGGTGGCTCAGTCAGTTAAACGTCTCACTCCTCAGGTCATGATCTCAGGGTTGTGAGGTTGAGCTTAAGATTTTCCACCTTGGGGCACCTGAGTGGCTCAGTGGGGTAAGCCTCTGCCTTGGGCTCAGGTCACAATCTCAGGGTTCTGGAATAGAGACCCACAAGGGGTTCCCTGCTCAGCAGGGAGCCTGCTTCCCCCCCTCTCTCTGCCTCTCTGCCTACTTGTGATCTTACTCTCTGTGTCAAATAAATACATAAATCTTTAAAAAAAAAAGATTTTCTACCTTTTCCTATGCTCCTACTCCCCACCACATCCCTGCCCTGGCTCACACACACTCTCTTTCTCTCTCAAAAAATATTACAATCAATCAATCAATCATAAATGTCGGTGTCGGGTTCCAGGTGCCATTACAGCCCCTGATAATGTTCTTAATCTTCTGGATTGCCTTGTTGGCAGAGGGTGGAAGCCATGCATCCAGATCTGGCTCTCACCACTTCTAGTCTTGGGCTAAGCACATGTCTATCTCCTTGGAGAGAGATGCCAGTTTCTTTCTCAGGTCACTTACAGTCTTAAGGGTGGGAGAAACAAGAGAGACATGAATTCCAGTTTGTCCTCATGGGTTCTAGTTTTTTCTTGTTGTTGTTTTCATACCAGTTTTTCCTCCTGAGTGCTGGCATTGCTGACTATGTTGATTTCAGGGCCATAGGCCCACCACCAAAAGCAGAGGTGACAGTTTTCAAAGACTTCTTTACCAGCTCTCACAATTGCATAAAATCTAATCCTTACAATAAATCTTTTATTCCATGTCACTCATAGTGATTTTGCTTCTTTAATAAAGCCCTAATGAATATAATAATCATAAATTCTATTAAAGTAAAACAGAACAAAAAAGAGAAATTTTGTGTCTTTGTATAATCACCTTTGAACAAAGCCCAAATCCCAAACAGACTTGTTCAAGGATACAAAAATCAGGAAAACAGTTAAAGTTAGATCTTGTCTTAATAACAAGCCTATATAGGGGTGGCTGGGTGGCTCAGTAGGTTAAAGCCTCTGCTTTTGGTTCAGGTCATGGTCTCAGGGTCCTGGGATGGAGCCCCGCATTGGGCTCTCTGCTCAGCAGGGAGCCTGCTTCCTCCTCTCTCTCTCTCTGCCTGCCTCTCTGCCTACTTGTGATCTCTGTCTGTCAAATAAATAAATAAAATCTTAAAAAAAATAACAAGCCTATATAACAAAACAAATTAAGCAGTTAAAGCAAGTGAAACTGCAGACAACCAATCTAATACTTGTACGTAATAAATAGGGGCTGTATATATATAATGTTTTTTGCATGAGTTTCTATATTAGCTACCCATAGAATTGACCAAATCCCTTGAACAAGGCTAACCCTTCCTTTCTCTTATGCTGTGACTTCCTAGGTTTGATTGTTTTTTTGGTGGGAGAGGGATGTACACAGTTGAAAAAAAATGCGAGTATATGGAATTTCCTATAAGATAAAAATATATGCTGTTACTGGTTAAGATGTGGATATACTGAAAATAATAATAAATAAGTAATGATACCAAAGCAAGGAGCCAGGATTCATAATTGAATGGTGTCAAGTTGGGGAAGTCAGACAATATGAATTTTAACTGGGTTTCTTACTTACCATAGAGAGATTTCATACCCTTCAGCAACCCATCCTGATATACCTTCCCAGCAGCTGTGAAAAAAGCCGTAATTCATGTAATGGTGAAACTAACATAGAATCACAAAAATGGCCTGAATTAAATAATTTCAGAAAAAACATTTTAAGAAGACTTGTCTCTAATTTTTAGATTACTTCATCTTATATAGCAAAGTTTGGAAACAGAAACTTCTTTCATGGTGACAAACCTTCCTATTCCAGTACCCGAGAGAGTCTACTTGCTCAAACATGAGTATAGCCAACCTTTCTTTCTTTCTTTTTTTTTTCCCCCAATTTTTAAAATTTAAATTCAGTTTAGTTAACATTCAGTGTTATTAGTTTCAGGGGTAGAATTTAGTTATTCATCAGTGGCATATAACACCCAGTGCTCATTACATCATGTGCCCTCCTTAATGCCCATCACCCAGTTACCCCATCTCTCACCAACTCCCCCTCCAGCAACCCACAAATTGTTTCTTATAGTTAAGAATCTCTTATGGTTTGCCTTCCTCTCTGTTTTTATCTTATTTTATTTTTCCTTCCTTTCCCCTATGTCCATCTGTTTTATTTCTTAAATTCCACATATGAGTGAAATCATATAGAACTTCCCTTTCTTTTTATTTCTGCTTATCTTTATTCTTTTCTTCACGGATCTCCAATCTCTCTCTCTTCCCTTCTCATGCTATAAACAAATTAGTGGCTTGACAAATAACAACATGTTTAGTTATTAATGTCCACTCTTGTCTAAAGGGTTACTTAATTTCCATTATAAATGCTAAGACAGGTTGCTATATACCTTCAGGTTGCTATATACCTTAGAACTCAATTTAATATTTTTTCTTTTGTACTTTTTTTTTTTTTTAAAGATTTTATTTATTTATTTGTCAGAGACAGAGGGAGAGAGAGTGAGCAAGCACAGGCAGACAGAGAGGCAGGCAGAGGCAGAGGGAGAAGCAGGCTCCCCGCCAAGCAAGGAGCCCGATGTGGGACTCGATCCCAGGACGCTGGGATCATGACCTGAGCCGAAGGCAGCCGCTTAACCAACTGAGCCACCCAGGCGTCCCTCTTTTGTACTTTTGAAGAAAAATAAACAGAAATGAATTTGGAGATATTTACGCAGACGTAAAGACCCATGAAAGACCATGGCCCTTCTATGATAGCTCACCATCAACTGGCAGGGTTTTCAGCAGTTCCTCTTTTTCCTTATCTGTGAGCTCAATCCCCAGGCTTCCCAGGAAATTTTTCAAGTCACTAGGATCAATCTTCTCACCTTTCAAGAGGGGGGATGGTACATGTATGAGCTTCTGGTACTCTCAGAGTATCTCAAGTTATAAGATACACTCTCTTGCCCCTTAATGAGATGCCAATTTCAAGATGAAGAGTTAGGCAAAGATAGTCTCAATTGTAGAACCATTGAGAATGATTTACGGTATTTATAAAATACTGTATTTAATATAAATTAAAGGGAGTGTTTTCTGAAGTTGGAAAAGACAACTTCCAGAATAAAATCTGTTGAGTGAATTAAAATAATGTAGAATTGTATCTAAATTATTCTTCAAAAACATCTGATTGTTTTGGCAAGAATTATTGATGATTTCAGTGAATACATTATCTTAATCACTTCTAAGCTTCACCATATACATTTCTAGGTTATGTTCAGTTAAACATTTGTGACATGAAGCCTTTACTTACATAAGCAACAGAAAACTTAGGATTTAAAATTAACATATAGTCTTGTATTCTATTGCAGAAGCCTTCCTAATGCCAGCCCAAGGGGTCTTAGAAGCATGTATTTAATAATGAAACATCAGAATTAAGTAAGATACTAGAAATACTACTTTAAAAACTAATATAAAGGGCTGAAACCCTAGATTTACCTTAACTTCTCATTTACCTGTAAAATTAGCTTTCATTTCATTCATTGGTCTTTTTAATGAAATCTTCCTATCAACTGTAGGAGAAAATCAAAGTCACATGAGATAAAAAAGACTCAGAAAATACTGTGAAAGAAAACACGGGAGTAAAGATAATAAATCTTATTAACTTTGTGTCAGGCACTATCTTAAGTACCTCATTTATGCTTACTTAAGAAATATCTACTGAACAATATTTTTCTAGGCTATTGATTTATGCAATTTTTATTTCCTTTAATATTAGAAAGAAAAACTTAAATACAAAAATATATCATTTCAGAAATATAAATTTTACTTAGAGTTTTATAATATTTCAAACCCATATGTGTTAGTAATTAGAAGACATTCGGAAGTACCATCATCTAAGTTGCCTGCATTTTTCTATTCAAAATGTGGAAGACTGTTTTCTAGCGAACATAAGATGGGTAAAGAGCATAAAAGACATACATACAAAGTGTGATGTTTTCATGTTGATTTCGGTAATTGCCTGCTTGTATGCTGGTTACTTGTTTTGCTGATATTTATGGCTTCTTGATTATTTTCAGGGTAGATGACCATTCCTAAGGCCCCTTTCCCTCAGACCACTGGCTATGGTTCTTAAACTCTCCCAGCATGTAACTATGGTATCTGAAAACTTGCTCACCATCAGCAGGGAGATTTTTAGTCAGAGCCTTAAGTTCCTTATCTGATATCTTGATTCCCATATTATCCAGTATAGCACTCAAGTCGTTGACATTGAATTTCCCATCTAAGGAGAGAGACAGTCCATGAAGAAAATTATGTAACTCCAAAAAAGAGGTTCTTAAACCTTGATGTGAATTTCATGAACTATATATCTGTGTTCACAAAGATTGCATACAATTTCGGCGGGTCATATATTCTTTAAAGCCTATTCACAGACATCCCCCCTCCCCAAGTAGTAGGGTTAATGATTCTTGTTGTAAAGTGTGGGGAAAAAAACCCATCAATTTTAGAACAAGAGACTAAGGACTTTATGTCTATAGAGAAAGTCAGCTAGGACATTAGAATTAAGGTCCTTCTCTTGAGACTTGTCTTGGGGACCAGACTATAAAACGCAAGGTTTTAAACAGCACTGAATAAATGCTAAGTAGAATTCAAGTTCTGGAGGAAAATCTGTTTTACTTCTGAACAATATTTTGTTACTTGTTCAGAAGTAAAGTAGTAAAAATATTTAATCTGATGACCGAACTCCCAGGTTAGTACGTGTTGGCAGCTGATTCATTTCCCTGAGTCAGTGCTAATCTTTTCTGTTATGTTTTGCTATCCAACTTGAAATCTCGTATTTGTTTTCTTGAAAAGTTTGGAAAATCTTGGAAAAGTACAAGATTTTCTTCCTAGATATAAAGTAAAAGATTGGCAGCTAAGTGAAGCTTGATCTTCAGTGGGAGCATAAATTTACAATCAGTGTAGAGAGAGAGCAGCATCCACTAATGTCTTGGAAACAGTATAAATGCGGAGATGCCGTATTTGTCTGCACTTCATTATGCTGCTCACATACCTTTTAGAGACTTCACAACTTCTAGCAACCTGTTTTGAAAGATCTTGTCATCTTCTATAAGAAAAGGCAGAATTGAAGTCACAGAGAAATGTGGAAAATCATTAGGATACTCTTAGGATAAATGGCTTTTCAAGAGTTTTCACTAGAAATTTCTCTTATAAAAAAATTTGAGAGAAAATTGGGTGAAATTTAGCACATCAGGCATTCAACAACACACACACCCCTTTTCTTCTGCCCAATCTCGCTTTTTTCACTTCTAAATAATCCTTTTCCTCTTTCTACAAATCCCAGATCACCCCCCTTTTTTTTTTCATTCTTGATAATAAGACTCATCATAATGGAAATGCTATTTCCCAATCTAAAAGTAAAACTGTGTAGATAGGGATTCATTTCGGGTATAAATGGACATTCTAAAAAAATTTTTTTAGATAGACTTTCTTTTTCCTGGAACTGAGGAAATGGAAATAATTTTAGAGGTTCTCACAGACACCGAAATCTAAAGCCTCTTTTTGGTCACATTAGTATTTAAAACATTTACCCTTAGAAGGATGACGTTTTATCAGGTCCAAGAATACTTTATCTTTGAGATCTTTCCCCAGGTTTTCCAGAACAGTTTTCACACTGTTGAGATCAGCCTTTTCTCCTTAATAAAAAGATTAAAATAATGACCTCCAATGAATTTAAGTACAATCAAATGGTTGCAAATAATAAAACTAAATTATGATGCCCATACAAAATGAGGATAAGCTGGGGGAAGTGAGGGTTGCTGAGCTCTGACCAATTACACTAAGGTAATGTCATTCACAGAAACATAATTGGTTTTCTAAAGGCTAATAAGAGAGGGCAATCTCACTGGTAATCATGATAATGTACCTGCAGGACTTCCAACTATGGAGAACATAATTAACCAAGGGCCCCATCTTCTGCTTTGAAATTAATCTGTTTTTTTTGCACAAAATCCACACCTACCATTGGCACTGGTCAAGGGCTAGGTGCAGCTCCTAAGGGAGCCCAGTTCCTGGGGAATATGATGACTTTAACCAGGGGATTTTTTAAAACAGATTATTTATTTGAGGGAGAGAGAGCAAGAGCACAAGTTGGGTGGAGGAGCAGAGGGAGAGGGAGAAGCAGACACTTTGCTGAGCAGGGAGCCTGATGCGAGGCTAGATCCCAGGACCTGACCTCATCCCATGACCTGACCATCCTATGACCTGAGCTGAAGGCAGAGGCTTAACCGACTGAGCCACCCAGGTGCCCCTGACCAGAGGATTCTTGAAAACAGTATTGCCAGACCTTCCTCAGACTGCAGGGCAGTCTTGGATGCTTTCACCCAAACTTTTCTTCCTCTTTCCTTCACTTGGTGTCAGATTTGCAGTGCACTCTGACAACCTCCCAGTGTTTTCACCTCCCCTCCTTATTTTCTCTTAGGCATTTCCCATAATAATGTCCTTCACATGTAATCCTGCTTCTTGGAAGGCTTGAACTAACATATTCAAAATGACAATGATAAGAAATGGGTATTATATATATCTCTTTTGTTAATTAGCAAACAGCAGACAGTGTATCTTAATTCTATTGACATAAGGAAATATTATTTCTTCTTTAAGTGATTACCATGGTCTTTTCCAAAGATCATTTCACCTTTTATTGTAGATTTTGGCTGTCTTAAAATAAGCAAAATGAAGTGTTTTAGTGGAAAATAACATCAGAAAATACTCTGACTTCTGGGCTACTGGATATGAAAACATTAAACAAATAGGAGGTAAAAATGATAGAATTAGCATAGCAATTAAGGCATGAAGGAAAACAGTTACTATAAAAATTAGGCTTCTATGTTTATATTAACTTCTCACTCACCTGTAATAGCTTTCACTCCATCCATTACTTCACTCAGATCAGCTTTTCCATCAGCTTTGAAAGGGGAAAATTGAGAAATGTAATCAAGTCATGAGCTCCAAAAACATATATAAAGGACATATATTGATGGAAAATGATAGGTAAGTTCCACTAATATCATAATTTTACCCACACTTTCATTAAATCTCTGAATTTCAGGGATCTATGTATTTGCAAAAAGATGTCATGGATACTGGAGTTTGCAGAAAGAAAAAGGTACCTTTTCCAGTGTTTCTGGATCATTGGTATTGGTCAGCTAATGGGGAACCGTGAGGGCCACAGCTCATATAGGAACCACTACTGGGTGGAAGTAGGCTGTTAAATGATTGTATCTCAGAGTACGTAGTACATGAGCAAGTTAAAATATCAGACTTTAACTAAAGGAAAAGGGAATGCGTAGAAAGAGCCTTCCACATGGAAGAGAGTCTGAGAAATGTAGAAACAAAACAAAACAAAACAAAAACCTGCCAAAAACCTAGGCACAATATATACATTGTATACATAAGCAAGGTATGGAGAACTATAGTCAGTTCAGCATGAAGAATAAAGTATGATTTTTTAAAAATTTTTTAAAAAAATATTTTATTTATTTTTAAATTTCTTTTCAGTGTTTCAGAATTCATTGTTTATGCACCACACCCAGTGCTCCATGCAATAGGTGCCCTCCATAAAGTATGGATTTGGAAGAGGAAAGCTGATATAAGAGAGTCAGGTTGGGCTGAGATTATTGAGGGATTTGTAAGCTATTTTAAGAAGCTTAGCCTTCATCTACTAGGCTATATAGAATCATTGAAGGGAAGTTCAGGAATGATGTGGACTGATTTATATTTTCTTTTAACTTTCTTTAAATTATAATTACTTTTATCATTACAAAATTACATTTGCATTGAAATATAGAGTGATGTCATCAAGACGGTGACATAGGTTGTTCCCAAATTCAGCTGGGTCTTCACAAAAAGACCATCTTGCAAATATCCACAGACAAGTCACCATTATGAAAATCCCAGAATATAGGATATGAGAATAAGGGTGAAGCACCTCCCTGAACTATAGAGACTGAGAAGGACTGCCTTAGAAGGGTAAGAGAATCGGCTACACTTGAACTGTACTACCCCTCTCTTAGGCTGGTATAGTGCTGCACTGAGAGGGCCTCCCAGAGCTACATTTTCTCTGTTGGGAAAAAGAGAGCCCAAGGTGGACATCTAACTCCTCCAGAACTGTGGATTGCTTCCTGGAAGACCCAGTTGGGTCTTGTCCCATAGATAATGTGGGAGGAATCTGTGGGACTTGACCAATGGAGATCAGATTGAAATGGGGGAAGGGAGAATGACTTATAGCAACCAGAATTTGGATCTTGGCAGACTGTTTCTCCTAGCAGCAGTACCTGAGTAGCTATCCTAGACAGTGGCTTTGCCCATCTGCAGAGCCAAGCTGGTTTCTTGGGAACTCTGCCTGATTTGGGTCCCAGCCAATAAGCCACCCTGGTCTTGGGGCCTGTTCTGCCACCCCACCCAGGTAAGAAAGCAAATTCATGGCTTCTGCCTATTGCTGAGTATAGCCTTCTGTCCCACCTGACCAGGAAACCTATTGAGAGCATTCCAGAGGCTGTGTAGGTCACCCTACAGTTCCTCTTGCAGCACTGCCTGAGTGAAGAGCCCAGCCATTGGCTCTGCCCATATGTAGACAAACCCACATCTAACATCATACTCAGTAGTGAAAGGTTGAAAGCCTTTTCTCTAAAATCAGGAATAAGACAAAGGTGCTCATGTCCACTATTTCTGTTCAACACAGTACTCTAAGTCTTAGCCAAAAAAATTAGGCAAGAAAAAGAAATAAAAGGCATCAGAACCAGAAAGGAAGAGTAAAATTGTCTCTATCTGCAGATCACATGATTTTAGATACAGAAAATCCTAAAGACTAAAAAACAAAACAAAACAAAACAAAACAAAAAAATAACCAAAACCAACAAATCTTGTTAGATTTAATCAATGAATTCAGTAAAGATGCAGGATACAAAATCAACATATAAAAATCAGTGGTGTTTCTCTATACTAGTAATGAATTATCAGAAAAAGAAATAAAACAATCTCATTTACAATAGCATCACAAACAATTAAGGGCTTAGGAATAATTTTGGAAGAGACACCCAATAAATGGAAAGATATCTTGTGTTCAAAGACTGGAAAAATTAATAATGCTAAAATGTCCATACTAAGCCAAAGCTGCCTACAAGTTCAATGCAATTCTCATCAGGATCCAATGGCATTTTTGACAGATATATAAAACATAACCCTAAAATTCATTTGGAACCACAAAAGCCAAACCAATCCTGAGAAGAAGATCAAAGCTGGGGTATCACACTTTTTTATTTCAAACTATATTACAAATCTATAGTAATCAAAAGAGTATGGTATTGACATACAACACACATGCTTTAGACCAATGAAAGAAAATTAATGGCTTAGATATAAACTCATACATACATGGCCAACTAATATCTGACAAGGGAGCTAAGAATACTCAGTGGAGAAAAGGAAGTGTCTTCATTAAATGGTTCTTGGAAAATTGGGTATTCACATGTTAAAGAATGAGATTATCCATTTTTTTAACTATTTTGTTACATTTATTTGTTTATTTATTACTTGCCAATGAAATTTTGTTTTGATTACATAGTAGTTTTTTTTTTTTTTTTTTTTTTGTCAGAGACAGAGGGAGAGAGAGTAAGCGAGCACAGGCAGACAGAGAGGCAGGCAGAAGCAGAGGGAGAAGCAGGCTCCCTGCCGAGCAAGGAGCCCGATGCGGGACTCGATCCCAGGACGCTGGGATCATGACCTGAGCCGAAGGCAGCCGCTTAACCAACTGAGCCACCCAGGCGTCCCTACATAGTAGTTTTATAGTAAGTGCTAATATATGATAAGGCAAATCTCCATTCTAGTTTTCTTTTTTCATAATTTTCTTGGCTATAGTTGGGAATTTCTTCTTTCATTTGTTCTTTTAAATCATTTCTAAGTTCTTATGATAACACCCCATTGGGATTCTGAAAATTTTTATTAAATATTCTATATTAAATATTTCTGAGAGGAAAGTGTTAAAGCAGAGGGTCTATAATCCATTAACTTCCCTTACTGAGGGGGATATGCCTTTGGAGGAAAGAAAAGAAGGCAAGTGACTTTAATATCTTTAATATCTTTGTCAAATGATCCTCTAGATAAACAGACTAATGGTATTTGTTATAGGAAGAGACTTTATGTTAGAAATGTCCTTAACAGTAAGTCTCTCGCTAAGAATAACCTACAGTAAATAGGGCCCATGACTTATGAGGCATGGCTCACTGGAAATGTAACACAGTCTATAGAACTCTCTGAAGAGGCTTCATAATTTAAATCCTTCTGTTGTGTAAGGTGACCTTGTGGTCTTCGTACAGAGACTTCATCTATTCTGGGTCAGAATGGTATGTCCAACATGGGAAGGAAGAAAACTATGGAGCTGTCTTTGACATCTTGGACCTGTTTTGATTTTTTGATTGCTTTTATCCTTGACATTATTTAGTAAAGCTTGATACTTGATAAGATCTCTGTTTCATGTGAGTCTGATTTAACATATCTGATCTTGTATGTTAGTGCTTCAAGGACATTAATTTTTTGTTTTATGTTCCATTTAAGATTTTATAGTTTTTTTCATATGAACCATATTTCTTCTTTTTTATGTTCAGTTTGCCTATTTCTTACAAAATTCATTCCTAGATATTTTATGGTTTGATATTTTTCCCATTTCTATTTCTACTTGTTTATTGTGAGCTTAGGGAAAGCAATTAAGTTTTGCACATTTATCTTATGTTGAGCCAACCTGAACAAAAATGTCTTATTGAAGACTCAATAGTTTTAATAGATTTCCTTTAGGTTGTGTGCTTCTTGGGTTTCCTAGACACATAATCATGTCATCTGAAACTAAAGATAATATCGTGTCTTTCCTGATACTATTTAATCTTACTATCTCACTGAAGTAGCTAGAACTTTTAAAACAATGTTGTGTGGCAGTAACATCAGTAGGCATCTGTGCCTTGTTCCTCATTTTAGGGTTCCCCAGGATTTTGAGCATTTATTATACCACTAACTAAATCTAGTGTTAGAAATTATCATGTACAAGACAGAAAAAAGTCTCTTTTAGGGACTGACAATAGTTATCTGTTATCCATACCATCAGTAGGTAGATTTTTTCTCAGCTGTGCAAGTTCTTTTTCTGTGAGCTTGATACCCATTTTTTCCAGAAGAGGTATCAGGTTGTTGATACCAACTTTTCCTCCTTAAGAAAGGTAGAAAAGGAACAGGAGAGTAACTAAATGATCTAAAACATGAAAAATACATTCATGCCTTTGGATGTTTTTAATGAGTATGTATAGATATTTATAATAAAAGAGACAACAAAAAATATGATTTGTATCTTTGGATTGTTACTGACATTCCTGAAAAGACCATAATTTCCATTTGGCTTGTCCAAGAGGACAAAGAAAGTCAGTAGGAACAATGGAAATGGAATACATTTCTTTTCTTTTCTCTCTTTTTTTTTTTAGGTATACTCTGTCCCTTATTTTATTTTTTATTTTTTTTTCATTTCTTTTCAGCGTAACAGTATTCATTGTTTTTGCATACATTTCTTTAAAACCTATATTGGTGACAAATCTACATAGAAAAGGAGTTCTTAACAAGATTATCAGACTTAATGGCAACTGGCACATACTCGTCTGTTATTTCTAATAGTCCTAACACACAGTAAGAAGCATTTATTTCATTGCTCAGACTCCAAGATTGTCTGTTGTCTGTTGCTGGACAACTTTCCTAATGTGGGAAAGTGAAGCTAATCCTCTACTTCAATTTTGCTGCACATATCCAGATACCAGTTATTTATTTTGGAACAAAATCAAGAAAATTTCAAGTATGTTATTTCCTATGAAGATAAAAATACAGACACCATTTCTCTGTCAAGTGAAAATATATGGAAAGAAGCAAAAGTAAGGCCTAAAAATATAAAGAGAGACACAGGACTCAAAATCTTTAGCAAAGCCTAAAGATTTCAGACAAAAACAACAATACCTTAGAATTCTTACTCACTTTTTAAAGACTTCATGGCATCTAATATCCTATTTTGATACACCTTTCCATCATCTGTTTTAAAAAAATGGAGCTGGTTTATGATACAGGGAAATTTATAAGGGAATACATAAGAATACAATTTATTTCTTATATTCAAAAAGAATAACAATTTGTCCAAGAATTTTATTGTTTTACCTTGAAGTAGCACTAAAGGAATGAGAAATCTTTAAATGTACAAATGTACACTTTGTCTCATAAGACTATTTTTAGCAGAATTCTATCATGCTGAAATACACATGGTTGTAAAAAAAAGTGTTTCAGATATTTCACACCCATTTACACACACACATGTTGATGTTCCTTGTCCAGTGTCCATTCTTACATTTGGTTGTCTTTTTACTTACCATAAAGGTCTTTAAGAAGCTCTTCATTATGTCTTTGTCATACCTGACACAAATGCTTTTTTAAAATTGTGGGTTTTTTTTTTCTGATGCAGAGGTTTTAAATCTTGTGAATTTATTATTTCTGGGTATTTGATGGTAATATTTCTATAAGCGATTCAGGAAAAAAGTGTGCATGCACGTGTGTGTGTGTGTGTGTGTGTGTTGGGGAGAAAGGGAGGGTATGGATAAATGATAAAACAAATGGGTAAACTGAACAAATTTGTGAATCTTTGTACTATTCTTAAGACTTTTCTGTAAGTTTGAAATTATGTCAAAATAGAAATAAAAAGTTAAAATAATAGGAACCAAAAAACCCAACCATCTAAAAATATTAAAATCATTTTAAAGCAACATTTGGGTCATTGCTTACCTTATCATGGCAGGTTTTCACTGGAGAGTTCAGAGTCTCAAGCCAAAATCGATATGACACTGACAGAGCTTTATTAATTTTTAATTGTAGTTTTTTATTTTAATATGGTTTGAGACTTACAGAAAATGGCAAAAATAGTACAAAAAATTTTTACTCTTCACCCAGAATTTCAAGTGTTAACATTTTACCATTTTGTTTTGTCATCCTTTCTGTATGTGAATGTTATTTTTTTTTCTGAATGTTTGTGAGTTGCAGACACAATGCCCTTAACCCCTGAATCCTTTAGTGTGTATTTTCTTTAAAAAAAGTATGCAACTGATGTGTCACTAAATTCTACCTCTGAAACTAATAATATATGTTGATTTAATTGAATTTAAATAAAAATTTAAAAATATATATACATACATATACACACACATATATACACTTCTCACACAACCACAGTATAATTATCCAAATTAAAAGTTTAAAATTGGTGCAGCACACCCAACTAATGCACAAAATTTACTCAATTTCACCAATTGCTCCACTGATGTCATCTATAAGAATTAAGCATTAAGTTGTCATGGCTCTTTATTTTTTTTTAAGACTTTATTTATTTGAGAGAGCAAAAGCACACTCCCCACAGCAGTGGGGAGGGACAGAGGGTGAGGGAGAAGCAGACTCCCCACTGATCAGGGAGCCCAAGGCAGGAATCATGACCTGAGCCAAAGACTGATGCTTAATTGACTGAGCGACCAGGCGCCCCCTCTTGATATCCTTTAATGTGGGAAAATTCATCAATCTTTGTATTTTATGATTTTCACATTTTTGGAGAGTACAAAACATTCACTTTGTAAAACAACCTGGCTGACAGGTTGTTAAATATAACCCAAAGTTTCTATTTTCCAGTAGTCCTTAGGCATTAAATTCTAAAGCTTTAGGCTTTTGCTCTCAGGCTTGTACAGAGTCTAGTTGTTAAGGTTCTGGCTGCATTTTTTTAGGCTTACCGCTAACGGGCAGTGCTTTCACCAGCTTTGTATATTCAGGATCAGTGAGTTCAATCCCCATATTTTTCAGTATGTTTTCCAAGTTATCCAAATCAACCTTTTCACCTTCAAAAAGTTAGAGATAGGTATACATATTATTGATGATCTCAAGTTTTAGGTTGAATAACAAAAGCACAACACAGTCCTCATTCATTACATAGTATTGAAATCTTAGTTGATCTTTCAGTACTCATAGGTAAGGGGATCTTTTTAACTTTGGGGAAAAATAAATTCATTTCTATTACTGTTCAAGTTAATCCACATAGGTGGCTAATGTAAGAAAGTGTTATGTGATTTTATTAATAATGTAAATGTTGACAATGTTAACTCAATCCTTTGAAAATTCACAGTGCCATTTACTGTGCCTGCTTAAAGTTTCACACAGGGAAACATTTTATTAGGAAGTAAAACTCTATAGAATGCAGGATCTTACCAAGATTTAGTCTTGTAGGTATTTTTTTGTATTGTTTTACTTTTACTTCCTTTTGCCAAACTTAAATTTACATAATCTAAGATAAAACTTTCTATTGGATCTAGTGGCAGGATATTGGAAAAACACCACAGAAAAGCAGAAACTATTATAAAGCTGTGGGGCCCCCAGTTTATTACTAATGTATCACTAACCTGTGAAAGATTTCATTGCATCCATAACCTGTTCCATAGCAACTTTCCCATCAACTGAAAGACAATATACAAATTATACTCATATGTAACACTAGAGATGAGAAATTGAGCCAAAAAGAATTTAGTAATTATTACCTGCTCTAGAATCTTATTCTATTTTCCCCCTTCATTAGTGTGAAGAGAAAGGTTTTACACTTCACAAACACAGTTAATGTGGCTTTAACTTTTTTCCTTTAAGATATTAAAACTTTTAGTCATAAAAGAATGATATATAAAGGAAATCCCTTCTATCTTAGTTGCTTTTTAGCATTTAGATCTTAGAAAATTATTATTTACCAATGCTATTGTGGAAAAAAATAAAAAAGTTAATATCTACAATATTTCAATGTTTTAAGTTTGGAAAATTTCCATTCATGTAAAGCCAGCCCACACTCACTACTTATTCATTATTACAATTAAACTGAAAAGACTTCATCAACCCTTTAAATTATATGTGCAAGTCAGAAATGATTTAAGACATACTAGAGGTTAACTATAGCCTTCAGATATATAATAGATATTCAATGGTTTGTTGCATTAGCTTTTTTTTTTTAAAGATTTATTTATTTATTTGAGAGAGAGCACAAGAGTGAGTAAGCACGTGGGTGGGGAGGGGCAAAGGGAGAGGGAGAAAGAGAGAATCTCAAGCAGACTCCCCACTGAGCACGGAGCCTGAACTGGGGCTCGATTTCATAACCCTGAGATCATGATTTGAGCCAAAACCAAGAGTTTGATGCTTAACCGACTGAGCCACCAGCTGCCCCTATATTAGTTTTTAAACGGACAAGAAAGTGGAAACATTACTTAGAATTAGCTCACTAAGTCAGAATTCAACTCTATTGTGTTTCTAGAAAGAAAAGCAGCAAAAACACTTTTGCACCTTTATTTTGCACTATTGTTTGACTAACAGCAGAAGACAAAATTAGTGAAACGTGAACTACATTATTGAGAAAATATAACTAATAAGGGCAATGCAAAAATCCACCATGATCTCACATGGGCATTTTGAGCCGAAAGAAGGTCTTCAAGGCAAAAGTTGATTGGCTCACATCTAGAACCATGTTTCTCTATATACCAGTGTAAATTCAAGCCACAAACAAAAAAGGAAACAAAATATACATGTTGCACTAGTGGATCAAAAATAATGGAAGATCAAAAGTAATTTAACAAAATGTCTTCTATAAAGAGCTTATCTCTGACAAATGGAAAGTAGAAATGGCAAAGATGCCACTGAACACCATCAGAATAAGGTGAGAAAAAACTGACTTGCCCAATGGGAATAGCTAGGTAGGAAATGTTCTAGGGGAGATATTTCTTGGCCTTATTGGAATCTTCTAAGGTTAACATATTCTAGTTCTTGCCCTTCTGGAAAGGAATTGCTTTGTGAACAGTCACACTTCAACTTTATTTAACATTTCTTAAAAACCAGAGCTTGTTTCTTTTTTAAAAAATTACATTCAATTAGCCAACATACAGTATTATCATTTGGTTCTGATGTAGTGTTCAATGACTCATTAGTAGCATATAACACCCATGGGAATCCCTAAAGCCTTCAAGTAGGGAGAACATGTCAAATACGCTGGCCCAAATTACGGATAACTTTGCTCTGTGACAGTGTCTATGAGGGAACAAAAAAGGTGACATAATATCTCTTTCTCTGTATTGTAAATAGCTGGGGGAACATGGTCTCTGCAAATTTAAAGCAATCTTGTGTGAAATTTTAATCATTATTATACCAATTAGGGCTTTCTATGTTTCTCCCTTATTTATTTCCATTTACCTTTTTAAATTCTCTTAATTCCAGTCACAGGTCCTGGCCTCTGCACCCTCTTTCCACATTTTTTTTCTCCTTCCTTGCCTCCCTTCTGGCCCTACACCAATCCTGGTGACATTCTCAGCAATGTGTAGACTTCACAGTATAAGAAATCACTAACATAGATTGATGTAAATGTCAAGAGAAAGGTTTGTTCTTACTTTAGTATTGGGTCCTACTCAAAGTTTTTCTAAATGACTCATATCAAGTAAACATTTTGCAAAGGTTTGCAAATATAATCCCATAAGCTTTTAGAGGGACTTAATAACAATAGTAATGATTATAATAGTAACAGATGATGATAATAATAAGTAACTTCATTGAACACTATTATGTGCCAGGCACTGGCCTGATTTAATCCTTATAAAAAACTCTTATTAAGTAGGTGGTACTAATATAACCCTTTCATAGATGAAAAAACTAAGGCATAGAAACAGTAAGAGGACACAAATTTTAAGCAGATGGGTCAGAATTCAAACCTAGTCTGTCTGGCTAAAGAGTCTGTGTCTTTAACCAATGTACTGATGTGTCTCTGAATGATCATTCATTGTCTGAGGCTCACCATCAACATCAGAGGAGCTGCCTCACCTACGATTATGTCCCCTCTCAGAGAACAGCCTACATCCAATGACTGGTTGGTGCAGGCACAAAGGCCCAACCGCTGTGGGATCAGCAGAGGCTTCTGTAGCAACCATACTGCCCAATCCTGCTTCCCTCACTCTCTTATAGGTATTGTCCTAAGAGTATTCCCCAAGAAACCTCTTGCATATAAATCTCTGTTACAGGTCTGTTTCCTGGGATCAAACAAATGGCAGGTTACAAAGAAAATAAGCCAACAAAAATTACATACACCTCGTTCATCAATTCTGAAATATGAATAGGGAGCTCAGGAAAAGTCTCACTGTTTCCATCTTTCAACTGGGATTTCAAGCTCCTGAACATTACATAGACTCATGGAGACTTGCTCAGAGATGTGGGAATCCACAGTGCCAGGAATAGGAGAAACATGACATACTTCCTAGTGTCACCACAATGGCTTTCCTCTGCAGTAGCTGCCATCTGTGGTGGAGGAGCAGTCATGTTCATTACTCCTTGTTCCTTTTAACTTTCTATTTTGAATAGCTACTTAAGAAAATTTACTTAAGAAAATTCCTATTTGCACTTTAATAATTTTCAATGATTATAGTTTTTTCCTTCTATTCCTCATTATATCCTACTTCCATCCCTCCTCATCTTCCTCTTACTTTATTTCTTTTACTGTTTCCTCTTTTCTGATTTATTCTTTTTCTCTGCCCTGGGAATTTCCCTGAGCCCAGCTCCACAGTGCAAAAAGCTGTCATGAAGTTGATGAGACTGATGGGAGAAAAGATTCTTACATTAAGCTTATTTTTTCTTGTAACTTTTCCAAAAGGGCTCTTTGATTCCAAATAATCATACTCTGGGGTTTTTGTAAAAAAAAAAAAAAAGACACACTTTCCTGTGCTCTTGTGGAGCACAGTAATGTTTACATGTTTACCATTTTCTGGAAGATTCTGTGTCAGATCTTTAAGTTCCTCTTCTATGAGGCTCATGCCCATATTTCCCAGAACTGTGTCCAGCTTGTTGACATCAACCATTCCTCCTTGGGAAAGAGACATGTATATAGACAAAATTTAAGGAATCCAAAAAGTGACAAAACTACTAATTCTTATGTATTATGATTAACCCTTTAGCATAAGGGAGTAAGACCCAAGGGTCAGTAAGTCTGATAAAATGATAACAAAAATCAATAACAGGCACAATAATTAAAACCTCTTCAAATAAATCTGGTTCCAAGGACTAAGCTATATGGCATAAAGTTTTAAAGGGGAAAATTAATTAATTTGAAGGTTACAGTAGTCCCCCTCCCCCATCTGCGTTTAGCTTTCTACAGTTATACACTGTCAACCATGGTCTGGAAGCAGATATCTTCCTGACCTGTCATCAGAAGGTCAATAGTAACCTAATAATACATCACAACGCCTACGTCATTCACGTCCTCTCATCTCATCATTGTAGGCATTTTACTGCCTCACATCATCACAAAAAGAAGGATGAGTACACAGTACTATAAGCTATTTAGAAAGAGACAGAGACCACATTCATATAACTTTTATTATAGTATATTATTATAACTGTTCTATTTTATTATTAGTTACTATTGTTAATCTCTTACTGTACTTAATTTATAAATTAAATTTCATCAGAGGAATATTTGTATAGGAAAAACAGAGTATAATATGGGGTTCAGTACTATTCATGGTTTCAGGTATCCACTGGAGCTCTTAGAACACATCCCTTATGAATAAGGGGAGATTACTGTAAAGCCAGTTCAGTATGAGAGTCATAGGGAGACAACTTTTGTATATTTTTAACCAATAAGTGAAGTTTACTTTTGTTAGCTAAAACTCCAGCTTATTTCTACTAATGACCAGATTACCTACATAACTGAATCATTACTTAATTTAAAAAAATTACAGACAGGCTTCATTGATTTTTTTCCTCTGAGTTCAAAAAAATTCCCTAAGAGTATGAGACTTCTTCCTAGCACACGAAAGTAAAAATACAATAGCAAATTACAGTCTTATGAAGGAGTATAAGATCAATACAGATGCCCAGTTATATCAAAAATCTAGTGACTAGGAAAGAGTGGAAATAAAAAACTTGACAGATTTCAGATCTATCTGTATTTTCTTACAATTCTTACCCACCTCTAAGAGACTTAACAGCATCCATTAGCCTATTTTGATAGATCTTTCCATCTGCTGTAAGAAATTGCACAATTAGGGTCACAAATTATGTAGAAATTCACTGAGATAAAATATAAGAGCTAGAATTTTAAGAAGATATATTTGGTTAATTACACTAGAGTGCTCACTTTGGCAGCACATATATGATTACTTACTCTACAAATACCCAGTTTACTCTAAAACAAGGAAATCAAGACATAAAGAGGATTCACAATGCAGACATTCCACCTAATCATGGGCAGTAGAGGCAGCCACTCTTGGCTAATGAAACACGTTCTTTTTCATTTCTTGCTTTGACTTATCCTTCTTTACCTCTTAGTGCATACTTTCTATTTCTCATATTCACAGTTCAATGTTTTTTTGCCTCTCAGTGGACTCAAAAGTGATGATATGATTTTTTTTCCCTTAATGGCAGGATCCATGACTGCTGTATTTGTGATTCCTAAACTGAAATGGAACTTCTTGATTCTGAGGCAGAATAAGGTCATGCTTATTATTTCAAGATACATATTCTTTCTTCCATGATCAAATAAAGACAATGTTTAAACTTTTTACAAATATGTAAGTTCCCTTAAAGTCTACACGAGTATTTGAAATTCTTACCAGTTATTGGTAGATTTTTCAGCAGCGTCAACAATTCCTTTTTTGTGAGTTCTAGTCCCATGTTTCCTAGACTGTCTCCCACATCACTGGCATCAATCTCCCCTCCTTCAAAAACACAAGATGTTATCAGATAAGAACTTTAAGGATGATCTAATTTCAAAATGTGAAAAAAAAATCATCTGAGCCTGTTCACGTGAACTCTACTGCTTGATGAAGGCAGAGTAGACATATCTAATTACCTAACCAGTAACATTCATGCAAATAAATCCCTTCCCTTAACACTACTAAAATGACCCACGTTCTATTAATGGAGATAAAATAATAATTACAAAAAGTGTGGATTATCAACACAAAAAAGAAGGTTTACATATTTTTCTAGTGAATTAGAATTTTATTAGGATTGATCCAAATAATTCTGTCATCAGATTAGACAATGTTTCTGATCATCTTTAAATAATATAATCACCTATATCTTTCTTAGAGCTTTACTTTACTATTCATTGATTTGATCTAGAACATTTTCCCCAACATAGGAAAAGTGATAATGTCAAGTTCAAAAAACAAAGAATTTGCTAACAAGACACAGAACTGAAATTTTATTACTAAAGTATAGATGAGCAAAAGCCCAACTCTAAGAAATTAGATTTTAAAAATTCTATCAGATGAAAGATAAAATGGTAGAATAAACAAGTAGTAAAAAAATCTTTAAAATATAATTTTGAGAAAAATTTATACTCTTAGGCTAATATCACTTCTCACCTGTAAGAGCTTTCACACCATCCATCAACTTATCAAAATCAACCTTCCCATTACCTATAAGAAAAGGTAAAAATAAGAATAATAAAGTGACCCAGGTTCAGATAAACAATATATGAAACCCCTATATTGTGAAAGTCTACTTTTTCTCATTGTGCCCTATGTTAATCTTCAACTTACAAATCCTGGTTTTCAGAACTTCAGTTCCAGTAAACTATGGAACACTGGCCAAATCCAGCCCACCATCTTTTTTTTTTTTAAGGTCCATATATCTTTTTATTTTTTTACCACCTATTTTTATATGGTCCATGAGCTAAGAATCATCTTTACATTTTTAAATGGTTGAAAAACCCAAAAGGATGTTATTTGTGACACATAAAAAAAACCTATAAAGAAACTGTTAAAGACTTTATTCATCTCATATAGGTAAATTTCCCTTCCTTTCTTATTTTCCAATACTTTTATTTATTTAGTCACTATGTATTTAGTCACTGACAAGTGGCCAAGAAGTCCCTATTAATGGTGTGGTGTGGTGTTTAACAGGGTCACAAAAGTCATCACTGAAGCTCCTAGCTTGGCTTACCACATTTCCACAGATTTTGATGGTAATGAGACAATAAGCATAAATGGGTTTAGACAGTTACTTATAAACTAGAAGCAAGATCAGCACAGGGTCGAGCCTTGCCTCTTTAGTCCCAGGATACATCACTGAATCAGCTGGGCCAAATGACTGGCACATACAATAAGTTGTTTCACTGTTGAGGAGGCTCACTCAAAACTGTAACCAACTAGTTCTATGGACTTACACAGAACCCTGCAGTTGTACCCTAAGGGAGAGAGGTGGAAAGTCTGTGTTCAACAGAAAATAGGCAGATGGGTGAGAAATGAACTTGTAACAGTCTCCTGCAGATAGGAAGCCGATAGAGAAACTGGTGGCAGCTCCTCACGAGGCTGCTTACCTCCTCTCATTCTGCGAGGAATCATGAAGCTTTCAACTAAGACTTAGGTTAGATTTGCCTTGAGATGTATTTATGTGGCCTATGTGGAGATAAGCAAAGTTGTCAGAAAAGAGCCATTTCCCTCAAGTTACATACCTAATATTTGAAATATGTTAGGTCACCAGGGTACAAAGATGATTAAAGTATACTTTCTACCATTACTTCAGAGTTTAGAAAAACTGGTATGCTGAGTAAATAAAATTCAGAGAAAGTGTACAGTTATGGAAGACTCCTGTTCCAATTGCCTGAAGTTTCCCCATACACGCCACATACTAATTTTCCTTTTCCCTATATAACAAATTAAATTAGGGAATTATTATCTGTTATTCTTTTTTTTTTAAATAAATTTTATTTTTTATAAACATATATTTTTTTCCCCAGGGGTACAGGTCTGTGAATCGCCAGGTTTACACACTTCACCGCACTCATCATAGCACATACCCACCCCAATGTCCATAATAACCCCACCCCCCCAACCCCCCTCCCCCCAGCAACCCTCAGTTTGTTTTGTGAGATTAAGAGTCACTTATGGTTTATCTCCCTCCCAATCCCATCTTGCTTCATTTACTCTTCTCCTACCCCCTTAACCCCCCATGTTGCATCTCCTCTCCCTCATATCAGGGAGATCATATGATAGTTGTCTTTCTCCGATTGACTTATTTCGCTAAGCATGATACCCTCTAGTTCCATCCACGTCGTCGCAAATGGCAAGATTTCATTTCTTTTGATGGCTGCATAGTATTCCATTGTGTATATATACCACATCTTCTTTATCCATTCGTCTGTTGATGGACATCTAGGTTCTTCCATAGTTTGGCTATTGTAGACACTGCTGCTATAAACATTTGGGTGCACGTGCCCCTTCGGATCACTACGTTTGTATCTTTAGGGTAAATACCCAGCAGTGCAATTGCTGGGTCATAGGGTAGTTCTATTTTCAACATTTTGAGGAACCTCCATGCTGTTTTCCAGAGTGATTGCACCAGCTTGCATTCCCACCAACAGTGTAGGAGGGTTCCCCTTTCTCCGCATCCTTGCCAGCATCTGTCATTTCCTGACTTGTTAATTTTAGCCATTCTGACTGGTGTGAGGTGGTATCTCATTGTGGTTTTGATTTGTATTTCCCTGAGGCCAAGTGATATGGAACACTTTTTCATGTGTCTGTTGGCCATCTGGATGTCTTCTTTGCAGAAATGTCTGTTCATGTCTTCCGCCCATTTCTTGATTGGATTATTTGTTCTTTGGGTGTTGAGTTTCCTAAGTTCTTTATAGATTCTGGACACTAGCCCTTTATCTGATATGTCGTTTGCAAATATCTTCTCCCATTCTGTCAGTTGTCTTTTGGTTTTGTGAATGGTTTCCTTTGCTGTGCAAAAGCTTTTGATCTTGATAAAATCCCAATAGTTCATTTTTGCCCTTGCTTCCCTTGCCTTGGGCGATGTCCCTAGGAAGATGTTGCTGCGGCTGAGGTCGAAGAGGTTGCTGCCTGTGTTCTCTTCAAGGATTTTGATGGATTCCTTTCTCACATTGAGGTCCTTCATCCATTTTGAGTCTATTTTTGTGTGTGGTGTAAGGAAATGATCCAATTTCATTTTTCTGCATGTGGCTGTCCAATTTTCCCAACACCATTTATTGAAGAGGCTGTCTTTTTTCCATTGGACATTCTTTCCTGCTTTGTCGAAGATTAGTTGACCATAGAGTTGAGGGTCTATTTCTGGGCTCTCTATTCTGTTCCATTGATCTATGTGTCTGTTTTTGTGCCAGTACCATGCTGTCTTGATGATGACAGCTTTGTAGTAGAGCTTGAAGTCTGGAATTGTGATGCCACCAACTTTGGCTTTCTTTTTCAATATTCCTTTGGCTATTCGAGGTCTTTTCTGGTTCCATATAAATTTTAGGATTATTTTTCCATTTCTTTGAAAAAAATGGATGGTACTTTGATAGGAATTGCATTAAATGTGTAGATTGCTTTAGGTAGCATAGACATTTTCACAATATTTATTCTTCCAATCCAGGAGCATGGAACATTTTTCCATTTCTTTGTGTCTTCCTCAATTTCTTTCATGAGTACTTTATAGTTTTCTGTGTATAGATTCTTAGTCTCTTGGGTTAGGTTTATTCCTAGGTATCTTATAGTTTTGGGTGCAATTGTAAATGGGATTGACTCCTTAATTACTCTTTCTTCTGTCTTGTTGGTGTAGAGAAATGCAACTGATTTCTGTGCATTGATTTTCTATCCTGACACTTTACTGAATTCCTGTACCAGTTCTAGCAGTTTTGGAGTGGAGTCTTTTGGGTTTTCCACATATAGTATCATATCATCTGCGAAGAGTGATCGTTTGACTTCTTCTTTGCCGATTTGGATGCCTTTAATTTCTTTTTTGTTGTCTGATTGCTGAGGCTAGGACTTCTAGTACTATGTTGAATAGCAGTGGTGATAACGGACATCCCTGCTGTGTTCCTGACCTTAGTGGAAATGCTTTCAGTTTTTCTCCATTGAGAATGATATTTGCGATGGGTTTTTCATAGATGGCTTTGATAATATTGAGGTATGTGCCCTCTATCCCTACACTTTGAAGAGTTTTGATCAGGAAGGGATGCTGTACTTTGTCAAATGCTTTTTCAGCATCTATGGAGAGTATCATATGGTTCTTGTTCTTTCTTTTATTAATGTGTTGTATCACATTGATTGATTTGCGGATGTTGAACCAACCTTGCAGCCCTGGAATAAATCCCACTTGGTCGTGGTGAATAATCCTTTTAATGTACTGTTGAATCCTATTGGCTAGTATTTTGGTGAGAATTTTTGCATCTGTGTTCATCAAGGATATTGGTCTGTAGTTCTCTTTTTTGATGGGATCCTTGTCTGGTTTTGGGATCAAGGTGATGCTGGCCTCATAAAAGGAGTTTGGAAGTTTTCCTTCCATTTCTAGTTTTTGGAACAGTTTCAGGAGAATAGGAATTAGTTCTTCCTTAAATGTTTGGTAGAATTCCCCCGGGAAGCCATCTGGCCCTGGGCTTTTGTTTGTTTGGAGATTTTTGATGACTGTTTCAATCTCCTTACTGTTATGGGTCTGTTCAGGCTTTCTATTTCTTCCTGGTTCAGTTGTGGTAGTTTATATGTCTCTAGGAATGCATCCATTTCTTCCAGATTGTCAAATTTGTTGGCATAGAGTTGCTCATAATATGTTCTTATTATTGTCTGTATTTCTTTGGTGTTAGTTGTGATCTCTCCTCTTTCATTCATGATTTTATTTATTTGGGTCCTTTCTCTTTTCTTTTTGACAAGTCTGGCCAGGGGTTTATCAATCTTATTAATTCTTTCAAAGAACCAGCTCCTAGTTTCGTTGATTTGTTCTATTGTTTTTTTGGTTTCTATTTCATTGATTTCTGCTCTGATCTTTATGATTTCTCTTCTCCTGCTGGGTTTAGGGTTTCTTTCTTGTTCTTTCTCCAGCTCCTTTAGGTGTAGGGTTAGGTTGTGTACCTGAGACCTTTCTTGTTTCTTGAGAAAGGCTTGTACCGCTATATATTTTCCTCTCAGGACTGCCTTTGTTGTGTCCCACAGATTTTGAACCGTTGTGTTTTCATTATCATTTGTTTCCATGAATTTTTTCAATTCTTCTTTAATTTCCTGGTTGACCCATTCAATCTTTAGAAGGATGCTGTTTAGTCTCCATGTATTTGGGTTCTTTCCAAATTTCCTCTTGTGATTGAGTTCTAGCTTCAGAGCATTGTGGTCTGAAAATATGCAGGGAATGATCCCAATCTTTTGGTACCGGTTGAGACCTGATTTAGGACCGAGGATGTGATCTATTCTGGAGAATGTTCCATGGGCACTAGAGAAGAATGTGTATTCTGTTGCTTTGGGATGAAATGTTCTGAATATATCTGTGATATCCATCTGGTCCAGTGTGTCATTTAATGCCTCTGTTTCCTTGTTGATCTTTTGCTTGGATGATCTGTCCATTTCAGTGAGGGGAGTGTTAAAGTCCCCTACTATTATTGTATTATTGTTGATGTGTTTCTTTGATTTTGTTATTAATTGGTTTATATAGT